AGGTGGTTGTAGAGGAAAGCGCCCGTCTTCAGAATCCCGATGATCCCCATATTGGTTTCGGTCATGCTTGCCTGCTTCACCGGGTTCAAAGGCAACGAGAATTCCCGTCCCTGTTCGCAGACCTGATTCGGATTCACCGTCACTCTGCCGACGTGGTACCGGTGGTTCGGGATCCCGTTGGCTCGGATCACTCTCCTTTTCGTCTGCTCGTCTTCCTCCTCGAAGTACCTACTGGCCACGTAGTCCCCGCAGGCCCGGTTTGCATCCGGTTGGCACGTGTTTGCGTTCGACGCGAAAGAGTTGCCGCGGGTCAAATCTACACCGGACGCGCGCTCCTTGGGGCCGATCGCGTAGCGCTGTTGCAGCTGGCGACGGTAGGAGGAGGCGGCCATCGCATGGCCGCTGTGCGAAGAGGAACTACCTGAATTCGATCCATACGCTCCTGCACCGGCGCTGCTACTACTGTACGTCCCCATGCCACCGCCAACCTGTGTGACCACCTGCTCCTCCAACAGCATACTGGTCACGTTTCGTGGGTTCCGCAGCGAGCAAGTTGCACCGTTGTCTAGCCTCTCGATAACCGCTTGGGTTAAAATCGCACTGCCGGCGAGAAAATTGAACTCAACGGGAATCCCGACGTCCAGTGTCGGTGTGCCGGACAGTTGCGGCATCCTGCTGTGCACGTTTGTCGGCACAATCTTGATTGTGTCCTCGTAGGTTGTGCCTGACAGTTCAACGCCGCTTCTCTCCACGTAGTACGTGAGCACGTACTCAGTGTCGGGCTTCAAGTCGCAGTTTTCAATCGACAGGCCGGAACCGCTGCCCGACATCGCTCCAGCCGCGGCAGCGCCCGTGGCGAACTTGGTGTAGTATCCTCCACAAATGACCTTGTAGTTGACAGGGCTAGTTTCTGGCTTCGGCGACGTCAGTGACAGGCTTGGAAGAGAAGGAGCCCCGGCCGCCAGACTGGCGTTCGAACTCCCGACGTGTGTCCCATTTACTGCTGCTGACAAATCGTCAAAGTTGGTCAACGCGAAATTCTTAAATTCCTGAATCATGATTTGCCTCACTGGTAATTCACTGGTTACAGTAGCAGCCGGGATCATTCTTGTCGAAGAAAGAGCTGCACCGTGCTCCGTGATTAACACGAACAAATCTGTCGTCCCCAGATCGTTGTCGAATTGAATTTTTTCCAAGCTCACTGTCTTGTTCTGGACGCTGTAGCTCACAGTCGGCTCGGTACCATCAACGATCGCCTTACTGCCCGCGGTGGTGAAATCGTGCGAGAAGTCTGGAGCTTTTCCTTCCACAAATTTCTGCTCCGGCACATTCGCCAAGTACATTTTCAGTTGGTATGCCGAGCTGTACTTCCAATTGCAACCCTCGAGCCGCAGTCGTATGTAGAAGCTCGTGATGATCGTTTTGTCCGCAAAGCAAACCACCGAGCTCGTGTTAGTCAAGTTCAGACCCGGGGCGTAAATGGTCGTCGGAGTCAGGGTGAACGAGTTACTTTCGGAGTTGCCTGTGCCTGAGGAAGTAGTATTTCCAGTAGAACTACTAGCACTGCTGTTCACCGCACTGCTGCTGGTGTTCAAGACCAAAACTTCTTCCACAACGATCCTAACTGATCCGCCCCGTGTCGTGTTGAGCGTCACGTCGATCCAACCCGCTTCCAAGTCAATGGCGGCCAGCGTGGGAAGCTGGAAGAAGCGATTGATTTCTTGCTCCGAAGGGAAATCGGAGCGGGAAAGAACGACCGCAGAAGCACCGTCGGAGTCTGGATCAGACGAAGATGAAACTCCGGTCATTGATACGTTCAAGCTTACTGGATTGACCACCACCGCCTCGGCCAGACTTCCGTCCGGAAACTTTGCGTCCTCGAAATCTTCAGCGTAGACATACGCTTTCCACGTTTCTGGCGATTGGTACAGCAGGTCGCAAGTCGCCGGAAGAGGGATTTTCTGTTCCGTGAAAGCGTGGACGACTCGCTGTCGGACGATGCAGCCCTTCCCGGAATCGAGAACAGAGAACGCCGGCTCTGTGGCACCCTCGACCGAGACATCAGATCCTTCTTGCGTGATTTCGCGGTAAGACTCGACGACGTCCTCTGAAGCATCGGGCTCCGAGCTGACCTCTATCTGGATCATGTCCTCGGAAGATGACGCTGAGTACGCAGCAGTTGCCGTGCTGGAGGAAGGAGCACTACCACCGCTAGTCATTTTTCTACCAGAAAACGGATGCACGAAGCTCACTTTCCCCTCCGCTACCTCTTTTGCAAAGGACTGGATCAGAAGAGTCAACTCGTCGCCGGTCGTCGCAGCTGGGACCAGGAGCCCCCACATGTACTCTGGCGAGGTCTGGGTTTGGTTCGATAACGCATAGATGGACATGCCACCGAAATCGAATGGGTACTCTTGTGGCAGGTTTGCGGACCACGCGCGCTCCAAGTAGTCCAAATTGTCTAGCCCGTGCCGGTCAAAGTTGCTCGCCTCGTCCCGGAGGATGTCCAGGTTCTGCGCTGTCTCCATCAGGAGTAGCGGCTGGTTGAAAAAGTTGGCTTTTTTCTGCACCAAAAAGGGGCTGGAAATCTTCTGAAAAATCCCGGTTGGCGCGTGCACCGGCTCCAAGCGCACCACCGCGTCGATCTTTTTCCCTTTGTCCAAGTTGCAATTCTGTATTGAGAGCCGCTCCTCTGTGTTCTGCGAAGATATGGGACTCCGCTCCACCGCCGGGCACACGGACACCAGCTTGTCGTCCACCTTTTTCTCGTCGTACAAGAAGAGCGACGCAGCCCCCGGCTCGCTCGTTTCAAACGCCACCGTGACTCGATTGGGAATCGCGTTGCCCTGCAATTTCGCGTCCTTCGCGAACTCCGGATGGCGGTTCGCCGGGACTTTAGGTAGTTGCACTGTGGCTAACGCACCGTCACCCGCGCGAGTGGAAGTCGTGTCCTCGGCGTAGACAAAGACGGTGTAGAGCTTCATAGGATTCAGCCGGCAGTTCGACAACCGAACCACCGTTGGAACGAGCGCCGCGATTTCCGGCCGGAACTCCACACACTGGGTCGCGTTGGAGACGGGGAGAAAGCCGTAGTTGTCGTCCGGGGTCGTGGCCAACACTGAAATCATTGCCCGCGAGCTCGTCTCCACCGACGCCAGCGTTGGATTTCTGTACTCCGCGGAAATCCTCGTGATAATCTCCTGCTTGTCCGCCGTGGCGACGAAAGCCGACTCCACTACCGCAAGCCACACGTTGGCCTTTGCCCGGGAGGAATCGAAGGGATCCTCTTTCAGAGTGAAGTCGACGAGGAGACCGTCCACCGTGAAGGAAGGCAGTCTGGGGACCGCCGTCAAAATGTACTTGGACAGAGGGACCAAAATCGAGATCGCGCACGTCAACAAACCGATCCCGGGCTCGTTCTTGTCAACAACGTAGACGCAAATGCGGTACGTCTCGCCAGCGATCAACTCCGAGCGTACCCGCTCGGAGAACTTGTACTCGTACACTGAATTCGCCTGCATGTCTGCAAGGAACTCGCCGCAGCACTGCAGTGCGGTTTGATTGGTCACGGGGATGGGCGCCGATAGGTTGTACGCGGTTTGAACTGCACTCGCGTTCGCGGTTCCGTTCGTGGCATTAAGGCTGTCAGTGCCGTTGGTTTCGTTAGAGGAAGTGGCACCAGTGTCGTCCGTGGCGTTGGTGTCATTCGCGTCAGCTGGTGTGGCGGTCGTCGTTGTGGCGGCGAAAACTACAGTGGTGGAGGTCGTCGAAGTTGTGAGGACTTCGATCGACACGTCCTCGCCCATAGAGTTAGCCGCGTACGCCACAATGGACTCCGGTGTGACGGAGGAAACCTGCTGGAAAGGAACGAGTCGCACAAAAGCCAAGCCGTCCCGGGTCGCTGCGAACTGCAGATCCGCGATCGTGCCGTCGACGATCCTGGGCACGATCGAGAAGTAGTTCGTCGGTTCGACCACGATGCGAACCGACGTGGACACCACGCCGACCGCGCCGGAACTCCCGTCGTCTTCGATATACAGTGCGAAGTAGTAGACGACGCCCGGTGTGAGCGCGCAATTCGTGATTTCCCGCTTGATCAGCGTCTCCCCCCTCATACTGTTGAGCAGGCCGGCATTCGCGTCGTCGGACTTTATTGTCGTGTCCAGCGTTGGCGCCAGTTTGCAACCGTACGTCTCGGCTGCAGTGGTTTCCTTCATCAAGCTGGACCTCGTGTGCCCCAGTCGGGAAAGCAAGTCCCGCTCGAACAGGTCAAACACCGGATCGCGCTCTTCGAACACTCGAAACCAAAATCGTCCCGACCTCGTCGTTTCAAACTCAAACGCGAAGCCCGTCGAGGTGATTTTCGCTATCCGCAGAAAAAAACCCATCCACATCCATTTTTTGCATGACAAGCACAGAATTTTATGTATGTTTTGCATGACAAATTCAAATTGGATGTGGATGGGTGTTTTTTCCTGGATATTCGCGATGTCCGTGATGTTCACCGTGTTCTGCCCCGCGCTGGACTGCTCGTAGATGACCGGCGGCCCCTGGAGCTTGTTCGCCGGTAGCAGCTTCTGGTCCACGCGCACCAGGGTGCCGCTCCCCGCAGCAACCGGCCCGTCGAGGTACATGAACATCGTGTACTCCGACGCGGGCTGCAGGAAATCGTGGCTCACAAAGGGCAAACCGTTTTCGTAGGTGATCTCCCCCTTGCAAGTTTCCTTCATCTGCGCATACGGGGTCTTCGTCGCCTTCCCGATTGCCATGGAAACGCGGTTTCCGTTAATCGTGTTCGCGAACTGGAGCGACGTCCTGGTGTACTTCTGCACTTTGATGTTGCTCAGGATGCACCTCCGCTGTACAATGTTCTCCTCCGCAACCTGCAGCTGCGCCACGGCGGTATTGCGGTTCGACGACTCGATCATCGCGATCTCTTGGCTTGACACGCCCGTCTTCGGCAAAATCACGACTTTGGCAACGCCATCTAATGTCGGCACGAACACCAGCGTGAACCCGTCAGCATCGAGGTTCGTGATCTCGGGCGGGGACAAGAGCAAGTCATTCGCCAGAGGAAGTTCGAAATCCACGGCGGACACCTGCCCATCGTTGAAAGTGCGTGATCCTTCAATGTAAACGAACGCACCGTACACCATGGCGGGGAGCAGGTTGCAGCCCTCAAACCGCAGGGTCTCGACGCGGTTGAACAAAACCGCAGTGGTTGGGAGTCGGCAATTCCCCGCCGTTTGAATATTTTCCGGGGACAGCTGCGGAATCAAGTACTCCTCGACGATCGAAGCGAAAGCGACGCCGGAATTTAGCGGTGTGAATTTCAACTCCACGAAGTTTTCGAAAGGGGTCCTGGTTAACGCTGGCACCGAGACAAAACTGTTCGAGAAGGAGACGGAAAAGGGGATCGGAGTGGAAATCCGCCCGTCGTTGTTGCCGCCGGAGTCTTCAATGTAGGCGAAGATCATGTAGCTGGTCTCGTACCAAAGCAGGCAGTCTTGCAGGATGTACATGGGAAGGTTGTTGTCGATGTCCTGATTCAAGAAACGGCACGGCGCCTCCAAAATTGCGTTTTCCTCTAGTTTCGTGTCAATCGCTGCCAATTCCGCGACCGACGGCTGCCGCGTCGTCGCACGCTTCACGACATTTGGCGAATACAACACGTCCTCCTCTCTTTTCATGATCCGCACGTCCGCTTTCGCATTGTTGCCGTAGAAGATCTTCAGCCAGAACTTCCCCGGGTTCTGCGTTCGGAAACGAATCTGAAGCTGGTCGACAGATAACCGTCCTCGGTTCGACAAAACCGTGGGCGCGATAGAGAAGGCGTTCGAGGTTGTCAAGGCGAAGGACAGCGAGGTCGACAGCACACCATCACGGTTCAACCCAGGCCCTTCGACGTAGAAGCAGCCACGATACGACTCCGCAAAAGAGAAGGAGCAACCGGAGAACGCAAGTCTCGTAACGACCGTGTTACTGGTCAGCGGCAACTGCTCCGCACGACAGGTGGTGGTGCCCTGCGCGTTCACAAACTGCAGTAAAGAATCTCTTGTGACGAACTCTGCCACCGCGGCGCGCACAAACATGCCCCACAAGTTCCCACTCGCGCCTGAGGGAAGCAAGTCGACCTGCAGTCCGTCTCTCGTTGGTTCCACACCGGCAGTTAGCGTTGGGTTCTTTGCAAAACTGTTGCTGACGGACAGCGTGATCGGCACCGATTGGAATGTCCCCGTCGTAGAGTCGCCCCCACCAAATTCATCCTCGAGGTAGATGAAGCCCGTGTACAACTTCTCGGCGTTGAAATTGCACCCCGTCAAAACGCAGGAGACCATGGTCTGTGCGGGAACCTGTTGCGCGAACTTCGCGCAGGTGTTCGGGTTGCCAACGAGCACGTCGGTGACTCTTTTCAGCCTGAAGTCGTCCATCAATGGCGAATCCTTCTCTTCGGTGACCTGACACCAGTAGACACCCTTTTTCTCCGCAGAGAACCTGATGCTCACCGTGTCCGAAACCGCCCGCGCAGTCAACGCCGGCGAGTCGATGAAGTCGTTGCTCGCGGGCGTGGTCACGTTGATCGCCTCCGTTTTCGAACCGTCGCGATTTCCTCTCATATCCTCGAGATACACCCAGAGTGTGTAGGGGGTCTTCCAGAACATCCGGCAATCAGAGAAGTGGAACTTTGTCAGAGAGTTCCCCACTGTCTGTGCATTCAACGCACAGCTCTGCTGGTTCCCGACCGGTACAAGGTTGCCCAACTGCACATCCCGAATGGTCGGGGTGAAAGCCAAATACTGGTCGTACAACCTCGCCCACATCACCCCGTTGAACTTGGGTTCAAACAGAAACGTGAAGCGCTGGTTCGTCGTGACCACTGCTCTCGCGGCTTTGATCTGGTACCCCAACTGCAAATCTTGCTCCATCGTCGCGACCTGGTTCGGGTAGTAGATCTGGAACGCGTTGTTGATCTGCTCATCGTAAAAGTAGCCAACCGCGCGACGCTGCACGTCGTCCACCGTGGCCGCGATCGCCGGGTAGATCGTGAAGTAGTTGGTGACTGGGACTTTGAAACTGATCGCACGAGACAAACCCCCGCCCTTTTCGGTGAAGTCCGTGACGTAGGCGATCAGCGCGTAGGTCTGTTCAGAGAGCAGGTCGCATTTGCTCAAGGTGAACTCGTGCGGGTTTGTGGCCGTGTTCACCGGATACCGGGTGACGGTACAGAAAATGCTCGACCCGAGGCCGATGTAGTTCCGCTTGACGTCGTCCACTTTGTAGATGGTCACATTCGCCGCCAATTCCGGCGTGGTCACAACAGCCCACATGAAGCCGTTCGCGGTCACGTTGGCCGCGAACTTTAACCCGTCCCCGGTCGCGGACTCGGTGATGTACGGGTTTGACGGGGACAAAATTTGATACGCTGGGTGGTCATTATACCACTCCATGGACGCGGGGATTTCAAAGCTGTTGGTGACCGGGATTCGGATCGGGATCCTCTGACCAACGTAACCCTCCAACGTGTCCGCACTCCCCGTGGCGCCGGCCCGAATGTAGACGAACACGTAGTAGAGCTCCCCCGGTGTGAGGTTACACCCCTCCAGATCCACCACCTCAATCGCGTCGTTCCGCGTGAACTGCTCGAAGCGCTTGCACGTGGCCGCACCCAGCGCGTAGGTTCCAGCCGTGATGTCGTCAATCAAGACCCCGTACCTGTCCCCGTAGAATCCGCGGAGAAACTGGTCATAGGGCAAGGCCTGATCGCCAATCACGTGGTTGATCACGTTGATCCAGTAGTAGCCAGTGCGATCCTTGGTCCGGAAGGAAACCTGGAAACCGTCCGTGCTCACCGCGCCACTGCCATCGACGAACGACGTTCCAAACACGTCCATCCTTCCCAGGAAGGGCGACATGCCGAAACCGATGGACTTCCGGCTCGCGACCACGACATCGAACGCCTGCGTCGCCCACCCGCCGTAGGTCGGATCGTCCCACGCTTCCAGGTAGATGAAAAACTGCATGTGCGTGTCGACCGGGATGCGGCAGTCGTTCAACTCGATGATTTGGTCCGTCTGCGGCTGCGGGATCTTCTCGCGGAACGCCGCTTTGTGGCACTGGTTACCGACCTGGAAGGGGCGTTTTTGTTCCCAGAAGGAGAACTTGTTCGGCACTTGGGACAGTCGCGCGTACTCCTGCAGACGGTTCAAGTGCTGATACTTGAAGGTGATCATCTGCTGCCCTGGAGTCTCCGCTAGGTGGATGAAACGCTCCCGATTGAACCGTGCGGTCGGTGTGCGCATCAGTGCGCGGAACTGTGAGAACCAGAAAATGCCGTCGTTGTTGCCCTGGTCATTCTCCATGTACAGGACCAGCCGGTAATCGTAGGGAATGTTAAGCCAAACAGTGTTCATCCGGCAATTGGTCAGTCTCACTGTCGTGAAATTCGCCGGGTCGGGATTTGCCGTGATCGGAATCCCGAGCTTCTTGCAGTCCGCAGAATTGATGTACTGCGAAACTTCATACCCTAAGTCATAGGTTGTCGAGGAATACGTCCCGGACTTCATGGTGCCTCTCGTCACCCTGGTGAAGTTCCCCTCGCCGACCACAAACGCCCACAGTTTTCCGTTCATGGCCGGCTTCAAGCTGACGTCCAACCCGAACTGACTGTTTCGGTCGACACCCACGTAGTTTGTGTCGTCGGAAAGCAGCGCGTCGCCTGTTGTCGTTCCCGTCGTGCCGTAAATCGGGTCTTGGAACACCTGCGGCCGGAAGTATTCGAAGATCGGGGGCGTGAAATTTGCGCAGAATTTCGTCGTGTTCACGTACTCGTACTCCCCGATCGTCGTAAGTGGCTGATCCGCGGAGACAATTGCACTCGAGTCGACGTACTGCCCCAACTGCAAGTCAGTAGTGAGCAACTTCAGTTTCGTAATCAGACCAGTTCCACTTTCTGTCTCCGTCACGGAAACTTCCGCCATGCTGTAGTCGTCCGTCCGGTTGAACTGCATGCACACGTAGGTGAAATTCTCCGGTGGGCCCGGAGTGGAATTCACGACGCCACCGAAATAGGTTCCATCGACCGTGGATTCGTTCCCAGTTCGGTTCACGCCAAACGTGTCGACTAAATTCGTCTCCTCCCAATCCCTGTAGGCCTGCTCCGTGACGGGCGCTAGTCTCGTGTTCTGCACGTAGCCCGTGATGATCTGCTGGCGGTTGAAAACCTGCACCAGCTCGTTGCTCGGCATCGTGCGGAAGCTCAGACGGTAGAGAAAGCCGTCCGTGGTGTCGTCCATGTTCTCTGCGTACATCCAAAGCTCATACACAGTGGAATAGGCGAGTCCGCAGTCCCGGATCGACATGGAGACAGGCGATTGGTAGTTTGTCGCGGTTCTGGTAACCACCAAGCCGTTGACCCAACACGTTCTGAATGGCGAGAACTCGGTGGTGATGTTCATGGCCGTACCATTCGCACTGGCCTGCTGCTGCATTTTCACGAGTTCGTAGTACGCCAGGTAGTCGTTGTCTTCCGTGTCCTCTGTCGTGTTGGTGACTGCAGTGCCGGAGCTCCCGGCGATCGCGAATTTCAAGTTTTTCGTCTTCACGTCGAAGGGCTTCACCGGAGAAGTCGCGAAGTCTAAAATGTTCAACCCCTTGTAGGACAAAACGTTGTAAAACGCTTCCAAATTCTCCATCGGCACATCCAAACCCTGCGACTCCGCGAGGTAGTTTGCGCCCATCTGCACCCCGTCCGCTGTGAGCAGCGACATCCTCGGAGTGATTATCGACCAAATCCTGCCAGAGGCCGCGGGGACAAAACTTACTTGCAGCAAATTTGACTCCGCCTTGGCGACGAGAGTCGGCGACTCGTAAAACCAGTTGGTCAAGGGGACCTGCAAATCCTGCGGCTCGGACAGCTGCCCGTCCCCGTACTTGTTCACGTTTTCCACGTACACGACAAGACTGTAAGTCGCCCCGGGCGCAAACTCGCACCCGATCAAGTTGAAGCTGTAAGATTGCCCGCCGGTGATTGGCACCTCGTTCTGGGCACAGTTCCGGGTGACGTTTCTGGTGCCGCCAACGCCCAGAAACCGGTTTTTCAAGGACGCAATCGTCGCGGGCGTGATGTAGTAGCTCCGATCCACGTAGCGGACAACGATGGACCACAGGAATCCGGTCACATAACTCTGCACGTCGTAACTGAACCCGTCACCGGTGATGCTGGTCTGGGAAACACGCGGAACCAAGCGGTACTCGTTCGAAAGCGGAACGTAGAAGCTGACCGGCGCGGCCATCGTGCCGTCGGCAGACTGGATGATGCCCGGAGCCGGGTTTGGAATCTCGTCGAACGGGGTTTGCACGTACGCGTACACGTAGTAGAGCGGGCCGGAAAAAAACTTGCAATTCTTCAACTGGATCACCACCCTCGTATTGGCCGTGACCGCCTGGTTGAACACGGCGCACTGCGTCGGGTCGCCGAAACCGACGTACTGGTAGCCGTTCATATTGTTCGCTGCCGAGAAAAACGTAGAATTCGGCTCGTATTTGATCACTTGCGTGGACACGACATTGGGGTCCGCCACGGCTTGCAACCAGACGAAGCCGGAGTTCGCAGGCGTGAACTCAATGTTGACGCCGTACCCAAAAGCGGTGCCGATGAAGGCGGGCAGGTTCAAGTAGCTGTTCGAGGTCGCTTTCGCCTGCGACGAAATCTCCGCCAGCGTCCCGTCGTCGTGCCCGCCGATTCCGGACGCGTAGAGGTAGATTTTGAACTCCTGACGCTCCTCCAGCCCGCAGTCCGCGAACGGCCACGACATGATTCTGGGGGAGATCGGCTTCTTGTTGTACCGGCAAGCGGAGGAGCCGCGAACGGTGCCGGGATCGGGATTCTTCACATCCGCGAGCGAGACCAGCTGCGACGCCGGGTACACCGCCGCCCACGCGAACCCGCTCCCGAGGGGCTGGAATTCTAGCGTTGCGCCACTCGTAGTCATATCCCCCGAGATCCGTGGATTCAACGCAAACGCGTTGGATTTGCCGTCGAGCACGGTGAACGCCACACGCATGACCGTCCCAAGTTTGTTCGGCGGTGGCTGTGTACCGAGGGTCAGATCCACGATATCGCTGGTCAGGTAGATGAACGCGTGGTAGCCCTGCCCGTACTCGAGCAGGCAACCATCGGCGTCCAAGGTTCGACCGAGATGCAGTTCCTCCTCCACATTCGCTTGCACGGATTGGTACTTGATCCGGCAAAATTTGCCGCCGAGCCCGAACTGATCCTGCGTTCCCAACGTGTCTTCGCGGATTAGTGGGGGGAGGTCATAATCGATTTCCGTCTGCTTCGAAACCACAAAGGCGTGCACGGTTCCGTCGTAAATGGTGGTGAACCGGAACCGAATGTCTCGGACCGTCGCGGTTGCGGAGAGATATGGATAGTATTTGAACGTATTCGTAATCCCGGGGGTGGTGACGGTCGGCTCGAGCGGCGGCTCTGGCCGGTCGGAAGCCAGGATACAAGCTTCCGCTGACGGATCTCCCTCGCCGAGCGCGTTCACACCCTTCACATAGAAGCGGTACGTACCCCCGCCAGATAGTCCGTGGATAACCGCCTCGGTGCCGGTGTAATTCCCTTGGAAGACGAAGGGATCGGCGATTCCCGACGCCATGTACAGGCTGTAGCTCGTGACGGGCAAAAAGTTCAAAATGTTGTCCACCGTGAGCCCCTGCCACCGGATGATGATCGTCGTGCGATTCGAGAACGTCCATTGCGGCGGGCTGCCCAGAGCCGACGGGCGGTTCGCTGCGTACGTTGTGATCGTGTTGGAAGAGACGGAATACCCGGCTGGCCCGTCGAACTGCCCGCCCGTGTCGTCCAAAACCGCGCCACGTGCTTCCACTCGGTACTGGTACATCCTTCCGGGGATGAAGCAGTGATTTTCCAGCGGATCATCCGAACAACTGCACCCCTGACTCGTCCCGCAAGCGCCGTTGTCGGTGTACTCCTGGGGCGGCGCTAACGCGTTCTGGTCCGTTACCTGGTCCGCGGTCAGCGATTTCGCCACGACTTGGAACGATGGGTCGGTCGAAGCGTGGTTGTGGGGAAGCCGCTTGATGCGGTATTGGAACAGCTTCTCACAACCCGGAGTGGAGGGAATGTCCCAGGCGATCTTGATCGTGCGCATGGAAGTCGTGATCACGCGGAGGTTGCGGGGCTCACTTGGCGGCACTGTCAGCCGGAAGGACAGGTGCGGCTGCACAGGCAGGATGGAAAGGCCTACAATGGACCTTATCCCGATCCAGAAGTTGTAGATGATTCCGCAAGTGAGAGGATGGGTGTAAGGGGTAACGCAGGTGGTTCTGTCGTTCCCCTCCCCGTAGTAGTCGCACGCCATCCACTTTGTCGCATTGAACTCATCGGACACATAAACCTGAAATCCCCAAGACTCCTTGCTGTCGAAGATTTCCACGTTACCGCCAATGTCACCACGACTGACGGTTACCCACCGGAGGGTCACAGACGTGCGGTTCGACGCTGTGCGCCACACTTTGTTGTCCCCGGAGGGGCATATCCACAGAAAAGAACCCCGCGCCGTTAGCATGGCTTGGCTTTGCCTTTGCCAGCATCCATCTTCGCATGACAAAAAGAGCTCTAATTTACTATTTCATGATTTGTTGCATGCAGCCACAATGGATTGGCATTGGGATGGGTTTTTTTCTGGGCGTAGGGAAGGACGGAACGTTACTCGCGAGGTAGTACACCGGAGCGGAAGGTTGGGAAAACGTGCCCAGCGTGTTGACACCGACGATCTTGAGCTGGTAGGTTCTGTCATTCTCCAAGTTGAACATGGTCTCCGGACCGAAGAACGTCCCCGGCACGTCGATCGCGTACCACGTTTCGTACGTCCCCTGCCTGGTGCGCTTGGAGAAGAGAATCAGTTGGTATTTCAGCGGCGCTAGCTCCTGGAATGGCACGGACGACCCTTTCCACTGCAAGGTGATAGATCTTGTTGAAAGCCTCGTGTACGACAGTTCCAGCGGCCTTCCCGGCGGGCGCATCATCGGAAAGTACAAGATCTCGCCGCGCATGCCGACGCCGTTCCAGGATACCCCGACGACATAAGCCCGGTAGATCCGGCCAGCCGTCAGACCCTCGACCAGGGTGTTGTTCGTCATGCGGTTGCCGCGCTGCGTGCCGTCGAACTCGAGATGAAAGGGGCCGCCCCGTCCGTCGTCCAGGTACAGCTGGTAGCCGAGCAGCGCGTTGGGGTCCTTGTGCCCGATCAATTGCTCCTGGAACGTCGCCCCCTTGTAAAACAGATGCAGCGCCTCCGATTTGTCGTAGTTTTCGATCTCCGCGAACTCGTACGGCACCCACTCGAACCACACACCGGTGTCGCTCGTGGCGCGGCCGAACAAACCGTCCAGGACGCACTCGTACTGACAGTTGTACCATTTCGCCGATTCGCACAGCGGCCGCTTCCACCGCTTGCACACTCGCTGCGGCACGTTGCCGATGGGCACCCGGATGGTCGCGGGCTCGCTCCAGCCGTGGCAGTTCTTCACGCGCACAGAGTAGCTCATGTTGATCGCCCGTGGGAACTCGGAATCCGAAGCTGTTTCGGTGCGGAAACAGGTCTGCGGGAAGGAAGACATCAATCCTTGGGACTGCGATGACTGCAAAAGAGAGTCACTGTGGGCCAGGACCTGCGAGCTGGGGTAGTTGTCAATGTAGAAGTTTTCCTGATTGTATCTCACCAAGCTAGTCTTCGTCGGTAACGGCGCCGCTGGCCCCTCCGTGCTCGGGACGTACTGGTAATTGCCCTCCTGGTAGCTGGTGTTCGACCAGAGCGAATCTTCGCGCTTCACCTCGTAGACGTCGATCGGACACATTTTGTCGTGGTCTTCGATCTGCTGGTCCCACGTCAAGCCGACACAGGCGTCGTACTTCGACATCAAGGGAATGGTCCACGTTTGCCATTCGTTGTGCTCCGGCTGGGTCGCGTACGCTTCCTGGAGAAACATCCGCGGCGGCAGCGTGTCCCCATCCACGTAGTGATTGCAGTACTTGTCGAACCCCGGGATCGTGCAGTGCGCCCACACGACGCGCACGTTCTGCGGCGGCTGCAGGGCCTGGGAGGTGCGCAGAAAGGAGATTTCCGAATACTCCGTGCTGATTCCGATCCGGTTTCTCGTCTTCACGCGGAACTGGTACGCGCGACCGGGGAGCAAATTCGAGACCAGGGCGGACCGCTCACTCCCGCGGTAGACCGTGATCCACCGCGTATCAAATGCAAAAGTGTCTGGGTCTGGAAGGATGCAACTTGTGATGCTGAATTTGGATTCTACAAAAATCTGTATTGCGTGAACTGCAAAAGAGGTCCACTTTTTGCAACGGCGAGAGGGCATTTCTCATGCAGTATAGGCATCAGGAAGCCCTCACAAAATCTGTGATGCTAGAGCCTGCGTCACAAACTTCAGGAGTCATGCAAAGTGTGCATGACAAACCTTGCATCCTTCCGGACCCAGACATTTTTACAGTTGATACCGCGCTGCGTTCGTTGATTCGTACGCGTACATCTGGTTCAGGCTATCCTGTGCAAAAGTATAATTGCAGTCACGCATTACAAATCTCTTGCTTAAGGTAAATTAGCATTACAAATTTTATTTTTCATGCTGAGCAAATTTGTAATGCATTTATACGAGTACAATACTTTTGCAATTCATACAGGCTCGGGTCGCGCAAACTGTGCAACAACTCTAAATTCGTGTTTTTCAGCTTCAGGTAGAAGCTCGTCTTGCCCATCTTTTCCGTCCTACCACTCGCCCCAGACGACTGCGTCTGCAGCGATCTGGGCATTTGCCGGATCTCCTTGGGGTTGATCAGGGACAAGTTCCGGCCTTCCACCTTCAAGTTGTATTCGCTGTCCACAGCCATTTGGTTGAGCTGCTCCGTCGTATACCCAAAGTTCACCAAATTGTCCGGGTCTCCATTCAACGCGGTTACCACGTTCAACTTGCTCGCATCCACTTCGTCCGCGGATATCACCGTGCCCTGCACGTTGAAGAGGTTTCCGTAGGCGGTATGCATTGCAAAACAAGTTCTAGTACCGTGCTCGTAGTAATTGATGCAATCATGCATGGCAACATTCTACTTCAACACCAGGATTACAAGTTACGTTTCTAGAAGTGCGGAGCCAATTGGATGTCATGCGACTTTTACTTAGTACAATAGTTTTGCTGCAATGCATAAACCGGGTTGCTGTACAACTCCTCCACGTAGTTCATCTCGTCATCGGTCAACTCCTCCACCAGAATCTCCAGCACGTGCTCCACAAAGGGCTCCCCGCCGTGCAGCCGGCTGTCGACGTTTGCCGCCGCGGCCCAGCCCACGACCATCGCGGTGGCGTTGACCCGTTCCCACCGCGTCGGCGTCGCCGGTTTTTGCGGCACATCGCCGGCCACCACCGTGATGATTTCTCCCTCCTTCCTCCCGGGCATCGGGTAGAAAGGGTAGTCTTTCAGCTCCTTGGGATCCGCCGTGCCGTACAGGGCGGCTTTCAACCTTCGGAACTGCTCGATATCGTCCCGGAGAACCAAATCGGAGTACCGGTCAATCACGACGATGCGGTACTCGTACGTCTGGCCCGCGATCACATCCGTGTCCGCGAAGGTTTGGTCCTTCACTCCCTCGCCGGCGCAGCGGGCGAGGAACTGGAAGGTCTGCCCCGAGCGGTTGTACGTGAGGTAATTCTTTTCCAGAAAAGTGATTTTCGTCGCCTCGTCCGGCAGCTCCCCCCAGGAAAGCAAGACGCGGTCGCTTTTCGGTACGATCGTCAACTCCGCCAAGTTTTTCGGCGCGCTGGGTTCGTTCACCGAGTACGGCGATCCAACCGCGGCATCTCGCTCGGACCGTGACTCGCGTCCGCGGGATTCCAAATCCGGCAAGATCGCCTCCGCCTGCGCGCTGGAGTAGAGGAGGTTCTTCGTGCTGGCCTTGTCTGTGTCGATCACGTTCAGCATCCGGTTCTCGTCAAACTGCTCGACGGTCGTTTGGTCCGCAAAGAGCTGCTCCTGGTTCTTCCGCAGGACCAACGCGTCGAAGAACCGCTTCTGCGCAGTCAAAACCACGCGCTTCACGATGGAGGGCTCGCTCAAGCCCTCGGAGTTGTTGACCCGCACCCGCACCCGGAGAACTTTCTTGGAAATCTGCTCCGTCGTCAGCGGCACTGCGATCACGACCTGGTCCCCCGCGGCCGTCTGCGTGTACTTCAAAAACGGGGCGTAGTCTTGCTCCTGAATCACGTAGGTCGTGTTCTTCAAGAAGTAGAAGCTGTTGTTGTTGACGTTCGGACCCAAGCCCCGCAAGTAGTCTTCCAGCTCGCCCCCGTCGTGCTCGACGAGGTAGTTGAACACCACCCCCGCGGTGCTGTTTTTCGGCGGCGCCAGCTGCAGAAAGAGGTTGCTGTCCTCCAAGTACAAAAACGAAAAGTCCGGTCGGGACGCGATGAAGCGCGTGTTGAAGCTCCATTCCGTGGGCGTGGTCGCGTTGTTCGTCCGCGTGGTGCGGTAGAACCGGAACCCGTAGCGGTAGTTCGGGTTCAGGTTCGTCACCGTGTACGTGTTCACCTGCGGGAAATTGTGCGTGCTGTGCAAGAAGGACCAGCGAGCGGACACGTCGTCGTAGATGTGGATGTTGTAGCCCGAAGTGCGACTGTGGTCCTTACCGTTCGGGTCGTCGTACCAGTTCAAAACGATCTGCGTGTCGGAGATTGGCGGGTCGTCGCGCGTGACGCTGGTCGGGCCGCTGACCGGGATCTCCAAGCACTGTGTGGTAACCCAGTCGGAAATGATGCCCTCGTAAAAGCGCTCCCCGCCCCCCTGCCCGTTGATGGCAAACACGCGGTATTTCAGAACGTCGCCCAGCTGGATGTCCTTCTTGTCCCGAAATTCCAACTGGAAAATCGGAATGGGGCTCATCGGCCCCCAGTGGTAGAACTCCAGCGGGTCGTGCTCCCACCGGCCGCCGGTCGGCCCCTCGTCGATCCCCTGCGGCTCGCGCTGCAGGCGGTACCCGAGCAAGGGACGGCCGCCCGTGTCCGCGGGGGGTGTCCAACCGATCCGGACGAAATTTTCAAACGTGGTCTCCGGGTTCAGCTGAAAGAACGAAGCGGGGCGGCACTCGCTGTCCACCACGTACGGCTCAGCCATGCGGCTTGGGTACCGCGCGCAGTAGTCCGTGCGCTTCAGGAGCGAGCGGTCCCCGATGATGTTGTCCCGGTAGTACCGCGACTCGCCGGCGGCGTTCACCGCATGCACGACGATGTCGTAGACCTTTCCGTTCTTGCAGTTCCAGAGCGTGTAGCTGGTCACACCCGTGTCCTCGATCACGTGCTCCAGGACGTTGTCGATGTAGATGTGGTACTTCAGCAGGGGCAAGTAGTTCGGATTGATCTTGTTCGGCAACTCCCACTCCACGTGCAGCTCGTCGTAGCTGGTCGAAATCACGTTGAACAGTGGCTGGTATGACAGAGGTCCCGTGACCATGGCGTTCGTGTCGCTGTACTGGATCGGTGGCCCGCGGACGTTGTTGTTTGCATACACGCGGTAGTCAAACCGCGAGTTCGTCACGTAGTTGTTGTCGTAGTATTCCAGGATGGGTGTAAACTCCTGCGCTTCGTAAAAATCTGCAGTCACCTCCACCCAGTCGGTGCTCCACTTCTGCAGCAAGTAGCAAGCGCGATTCCAATTTTTGTACCTGTAGAGTGACAGGTGTTCGTAAAATTATGCGAATCAATAGGAGTGTGTGTGCGTTCGTCTTTATTTTGGGGCGGCCCCACGAGGACGACGCCGTATTTTTTTTTCCATCGGACCAATTACGCACCGACGCGATCACCTCGCGGCCGCGTCGCCGCTAGCGCAGGCACCGTCGCCAAAAGACGCCCGATGTGGGGCTCGAACCCACGACCACCAGGTTAAGAGCCTGGCGCTCTACCGACTGAGCTAACCGGGCTAACGAAAACACTCTGCTACGTGGTCGAGACTGCTGCTTTAGGACGATAATCCCAACCTACTCCGGAGTTACTTTTTGCACTTGCCAGCATCGAGCTGAGCGCGTAAATCCCAGGCGCGCAAAAGTCGCCCGATGTGGGGCTCGAACCCACGACCACCAGGTTAAGAGCCTGGCGCTCTACCGACTGAGCTAACCGGGCTGCGGAACGTTGCCCGCCGGTTTGAACTGATTGCTGCTTGTGTGCCCACGTATCCAAGGACGATAAGCTGCCCACACTCTAAAGAGATCATTTGCGCTAGCACTTGCCACCATCGAGCTGGTGCCCTAAATCTCAGGCGCGCAAAAGCCGCCCGATGTGGGGCTCGAACCCACGACCACCAGCTTAAAAGGCTGGCGCTCTACCGACTGAGCTAACCGGGCTGATGGCCCTAGTCCACCGCGTTGAGCAGATCGCTCTATTTCTAGGGTGACCATTTGCACTTGCGAGCATCGAGCTAAAGCCGTGCATCAATCTCAGGCGCGCAAAATAAGTCGCCCGATGTGGGGCTCGAACCCACGACCACCAGGTTAAGAGCCTGGCGCTCTACCGACTGAGCTAACCGGGCAGCTGCAAAAAATCGTCTGGCTGCCGGTCTTTAAAGGTTCGGGGGGATGAACGCGGAGAGGAGCCAACTAAGTTCCCCTGCATGCCTTACACGATCGTTATCTTCAGTATGCAGAAGCGGATAGGTCAATCAGCAGTAGGAGCTCCTACACCTGCAGCGCGATAAAAGTGTAGTTCTAAAGTCATTGCGGACCCCCGGCTGGCGAGGAGGAGCGGCTCGCGCTAATTTGTGAGTGCCCCGCTTGAGCGATGACAACGTCACGGCGAGCAAGCCTCGCGCGACCGAAGTCGGAGAGGCTTCCAGCCTACGTATTGAGGAGGGGTCGGTATTAGTGGGTAGCCAGATTACGTACTGCTAAATACCGAATTCGGGAGAAAAAAACCCACGCGGCAATTTTTTTTGTAAAATGCATCAGCCGGGAATCGAACCCGGGTCACGTCGATGGCAACGACGTATTCTACCACTAAACCACTGATGCTGTTGCGACATACTAGATGGCGACCGAGTTTGGACCCAAAGCGAAGCAATTCGAGGAGAGGGCGGCAAAGAAAAGACTCAAACGTACGAAACAACGAGGAAAGCCCTGGGGGGCGTCGGGGCATTTTCGAAAACTTGCATCAGCCGGGAATCGAACCCGGGCCACGTCGATGGCAACGACGTATTCTACCACTAAACCACTGATGCCGCTGCCCACAGGTTGGCGCTCGGCCCCTAGCAAGAAATTTTCAAGTAAGAAGAGAGCGGCAATGGCAAAAAGCGACACTGAAACCCACACCAAACAGCGAGGAAATCGAAATCCTCAGTGTCGGGCATAATTCGCAAAAAAATGCATCAGCCGGGAATCGAACCCGGGTCACGTCGATGGCAACGACGTATTCTACCACTAAACCACTGATGCCGCTACCCAACTGGTGGCGTCCGGCCCCTAGCAAGAAAATTTCAAGTAAGGGGAGAGCAGCAATGGCAAACAGCGATACTGAAACTCACACCAAACACCGAGGAACTCGAAATCCTTAGCGTCGGGCATAATTGGCAAAAAAATGCATCAGCCGGGAATCGAACCCGGCTCACGTCGATGGCAACGACGTATTCTACCACTAAACCGCTGATGCCGCTGCTCAAAGGATGGCGCTCGACCCCTAGCAAGAAAATTTAAAGCAAAGGGAGAGGGAGGTAATCGCAACAAGAGGCACTGAAACTCACACCAAGCACCGAGGAAATCGGAATCCTTAGCGTCGGGCATAATTCGCAAAAAATGCATCAGCCGGGAATCGAACCCGGGTCACGTCGATGGCAACGACGTATTCTACCACTAAACCACTGATGCTCCTGTTTCAAAACTGGCGCCTGACCCCGTGCAAGAGATTTCGGGGAGAGAGCGAGGAACAAAGAGAGCGAGCGACTGAATGACCCAAGCAAAACAGGGAGCAAAGAAATTCTTGGCGTTGGCGTCGCGCAGTTTCGGAAAAATGCATCAGCCGGGAATCGAACCCGGGTCACGTCGATGGCAACGACGTATTCTACCACTAAACCACTGATGCTGCTGCTTGCAGACTGACAGCTGAACCTGGGCAAGAGATTTCGAGGAGAAAGCGAGTAGCAAAGCGGGCAACTGATTGAATGTATGACTCAAGCGAAACAGGCAGCGGATAAATTGTTGGCGTCGGCGGCGCGCAATTTCGGAAAAATGCATCAGCCGGGAATCGAACCCGGGTCACGTCGATGGCAACGACGTATTCTACCACTAAACCACTGATGCTGTCGCCACCTAGATGGCGACCGAGTCGGAATTTGAGGAGAGAGTGGCAAGGAAAAGACTCAAACGAAACAACGAGGAAAGCCGTGCGGGGGCGTCGGGGTATTTTTGAAAACTTGCATCAGCCGGGAATCGAACCCGGGTCACGTCGATGGCAACGACGTATTCTACCACTAAACCACTGATGCTGCTGCTCTCCCACTGACAGCTGAGCCTGGACAAGAGATTCCGAGAACAGAGAGGCAAAGAGAGAAATTTAAAAGAGCCTAACGCTAACACCGAGAAAATTCGCTGCGTCCCCAGTTTTCGAAAACCTGCACTAGGCGGGATTCGAACCGAGGCTGCGTCACTCGGAGCGTTGTTCTCCACCACTGAACCGCTGGCGCGCCTGCTACGAACTGCAGCCGCTGAAGTGTACCAATGTGCCAAAGTAGCTACACGGCAAAAAAAAAACCAAAAGCGAGCCGGCTATCCTTCCACTGAGCGCAGCGCCTCCTTCTCCCTGCTCTGTTGCCAGCCTGAGGCGGTGCGGAAGTCATTATCAGCCAGGAAGCCACCGCCTACGCAGTGGACCCCTTACCGACTGTACTCTTGGAGAGGACCGACTCTTACACTAGGGAGGAAGCTCGCTTCTGGGTAGCCAGAATATGCACTGCTAAATACTTGACTCGGGCAAAAAATATACTTCAATGCATTTTATTCCTAATTTTGCCACTGACTGAAGCAAAAGCTACACGAGATGGTGGATGCTGTTGTGAGAAAACGTTGCAGTAGTGTTGTGTTCCATAGCTAAGCAGCTACACTCTGGATTCATAAAACCAGACGCAGCTAAGAAACTATGGTGACCGAAAATCGATCTTTTTCTAGGACCCGGAGCTACTCATGATCGCAACAAAGAAGTGCATATCTTTGACGCGATGATATAAGCTGGTCCGGAAAATCTTGTTTTTGTTGTGCCTTTGCATGAGCAAAACATTCATAACGATGAGAGCGGGTATTAAGAAAGTCGTAAGATGGTCGAAAGTGGAGCAGGCACAGTTTTCTTATTCTTGTCTTTTTAATACCGCACGTCGTGTTCTTCAATATGCAGCATGCCCTGCGGATTGTACTGATCACTGAGTTATTTTTTTGCATCAAGCACAGCACTGACGTATTCAAAAAAGTTGCTCAGCTTTCTAATCAGCTTCCGACAACTTTTTGTTTTTATTGAAGATACTAATTTATTGATTTCGAAACTTTTTACTTTTTTCATTGATATCGTCTATCTTCCCCGAGCGGCTCCTAATTTTCTTTGCTTGCGTCCAAAATGGGTAACAAAAAACAAAACGTCACCATAGCATCCTGAGTGGTTTGCTACAAAATTTTCCGGTTGCACTGCAAAAACCTGCACACCATCCCAGTGGAATGGCCTTCGAAAAAACAAAAACGCAGCGCACCATGCGGAATAGGCGCGCGACCAAAAAAGTCTCACCATAGCATGCGGATTTGAAAAACGAAGAGCTCATGCGAAAGCATCACACCCTCCTGATTCAGTTTTTGGAAAAGTTTGAAAAACGACCATACCATGCATATTCAAAAAAATTGTTTACACTTCTCGATTTGTGCGTGTCATCCTTGCGCAGGGGCCATGCTAATCTTCTCTGTATCGTTCCAATTTTAACGGATGACTCCCGAAGGAGATCCAACCACTACGAAAAATGGAAAACAGGGTAGCCAGAATGACCTATGCTAAATACATCGATTCGGGCAAAAAAACTTTTTTTTTTCTTTTTTTCATTTTTATACGCGAAAACGGGCGCAAAATTCCAATATTGCAAAAAATAATCACCGCCCTGACGACCACGACGTGGTCACTTCAGGCGTAACTGAATCTTCCCGTGCCATCAACACCTGTTTGTTACCCGATGAGTCCCGTCATCTCAATGCATATTTGGTCAAAAGGCGACAAAAACTCGGTAGAAAAACTAAAAGAAAGCTACTTGAATCTAAAATGTACGTGACTCCGAGCCCGAGATCTCCGCCCGGTCGCAGCTGAAAGCCCTCCTGGCACATGACTTTTCCGTCAATCGGGTTGAAGGGGTCGATGCGGTCCTCGATCAATCGGTAGTTCAAGACGCCGTAGTAAATCGCCTTCGACGTCAACGTGTCCAGATCCAGTTCGCACATTTCGCCCTCCATCGAGCACTCCCGCAGCCGGCTGTTCGTCTGCCCGCCACCGCAGGCACAGCACGCTTGGTGCACCGGGACGCCCGAGCTGTTCCGCGGCGGCTCCACGACGCTGTTCGGCAGCACGCAGGCTTCTGGGTGCTGTGCGTACCAGTCGCAGTTGTACAAAGAAGACTCCGCTTCGTGCCACGTGTGGTCCGACTCGCACTCGTCCTTCACGATGTAGCACTTGGAAGGGACGCTGTGGAAGTTGATGCCCCGCATCGGATCGCCGAAAGTGTCGTCGTTGCAGGGAATTTGCCGCTCATTGTAAGAACGCATCCGGTTGTAGGCGACCTGGGAATTGGAATTTCAGCAAGCTTCATCAAGTGTCGAGCTCCTGATGTCGATGTATCGTGCTGCGATAACGATAATTCAACAAGGCTGCGATTCAAGACAATCGTTTTTCCTTGTCGTCAGGTCGCCGACCGGCTGCTACTCATAAATGCATGTTGACGAGCGTCCGTTTATTGTCGGTGCGTAATTGAGACATGCACTTTCGTAGCGGCACACGCCTACAAAAACAAGCGGCGACAATCTTCGCGGAGAACTCCCGGAGCGTGCGCTCCTGAATGCGGCATCATCCTGCTGGAGGTGACGAGCAGTCGGACAAGCCCGGGACGGATCAGGCGATCGGTGCCAGGAGGTTCTTGTCGGACGTACCTCGCATAATTGCCTTGTGCAGACCGGTAGACAACTGCCCAAGAGCCAGCTCATGTCCTTGCTGACAAGACAAGGAAAGCAGAAGTCGGGGTCGCCAGAATTGCAGTGCTAAACACTGCAATTCGGCGAAAAGACTGAACATGCGTGGAGCTTTTCGTTCTTTTTGAAGTCAGAAAAGGTGTTGACGGCTCGGATCGACACGACGCCGTGGTCACGGAAGTTGTATAGATCGTTTTTCCAGGTGCTTCGATATCAACATGCAGATTTAACGCCGAAAAACTACAGTTATTTTGGAAAAAATCAATGCGGAATAAGGAATGATGATCGACATGACTAAAAATTAAACACAAATAAGACGAGGGTGGAAAAGATGAAAAGCTATCTACCAACAATTCCGGCTCCAGCAGTTCATTAACCCGGTTCAAGTCGAATTCTTGGGGTTTTCCGTCAATTGCGCGCAGGTTCTGAATCCGTTGTAGCAGCATTTCGTCGGTTTTCTCGGTCACTCCTTCCGTGTAGTTGGCAATCGAGCTTGCGTTGCCGACTGTTTTCGGCTTGAAAAAGTTCGGATCGTTGAAGATGTCCAGTTGCGTGGCTAAGTCTTCGCTACCGAACTCCCTACCAGTGGCCACACCGTAGTAAATCTTGGTGGACATCATCTCCGAAAGACCGGCGTCGATCCAGTTGCGCTCGCGCATCACCGTTCGATCGCCAATCGGGTTGTTCACCGTGTTGAATGACGCGTAGACGCAATTTTCCGTCTCGCGCGCGCACTGTGTCAGAAACACGCCCGGGTTGCTGTTCTTTTTCTTCTCCACCCGGTAGGACTGGATCGGCTTCCCTCCATCCGTCTGACTGGGGTCCCATTTCAGGGTCAAATATCCGTAATCAAGCTCGTGTGGGTCGTGCCGGAAGTTCTGCGGCTTCGAGGGTGTTCCAAATGCGTAGACTTGTACGATGGAGTAGCCCGCGACTCGGCCTGCGGACGTGACGTCTCGCAGCGGCCTTCCCTCCAGTGCGACTTGGGTGTACAAGTATTCCGGTGGGACGATGTTCAGCAGGTTATCTCTCGTGAAAGCCGTTTTCGCCATGTTGTAGTCATACCCCGCGGCGTTTACACCCAAAACGTACACGTCCAACGGCAATTTCGTCCCGTAGATCTGCGGTTTGTTCGTCCTCAAGGTTTTCATGGGCGGCAAATCCGTGATGTAGCATCTGCGCAGCCGCGGGCTGACGGACGTCGTGTCGCACGCGAGCGTCTCCTGGTCGATGAAAACGACGTAACCGAGAAAGCCGAGGCCTTGGAAGATCGGCGGGTCCCAGGCCAGCTCGATGTGCGACGAGGAACTCGACACCAGCTGGAGGTTTTGCGGCGCGGACGGCGGCTCCGTGGTGACGAACCGCGCCAGCGGACCCCAGGCACTGACGCCGATCTGACTGACCGCCCGGACGCGCACGACGTAGATGAAGCCCCGCTGCAGGTTGGTGAACGTCGTGACGTTCTGCCCGGCGGGCAGGCGCACCGTGGCGACAAACTCTTTTTCCGTGAGGAAAAACTGCGCCGCGCCCGCCTGCACGTCCCGGTTCGCGACAAAACATTCCACATCGTACGCGTCAACCGGGACCGCGCCGGAGTAGAGCGAGTCGCCCCAGGAGACGGACAGCTTGTCCCACGAATTCAGTCCCGTTTCAATCGACCGCACGGGGGGATCTGGGGGCGGATCCGGGACGGCCACTTTGCAGCAGACCACGTCCACTTTGGCGGAGTGGTTGGTCTCCCCCGAAAGCGTCATGAAGGTGAGAGAGAACGTGTAGTTCCGCTTCAGCAGTTCGATCTCCGGATAGACGACCAAATTTGGATTGTACGGGTACCCGACGAACTCCCCCTCCTTCACCAGCACCTCTTCTTTCGACGGGTTGTACTTGTCCCATCCCGCGTTCTGGTAGATCCGGTAGTGCGTGGTCAGAGGCGTGTCAACGGGGGGCGGAACCTCCAGCGTGATTTTCCCAGCGGGAATCACCGGATTCGTGAACGTGTAGTCCAAGTAACCACTCTCGTCCCCGGGGTAGTAGTCCACGACGGCGTGCAGCCGCACCACCGGATTCGGCATCGGGGCGCGCGGAATCACGGTCAGTAGCTTTTTCACCGGCTGGCAGCCGCCGCCGTCCACTTCTCGCTCGGAGTCTAGCCTCTGATCGTTGCAGGCGGTGATCTCAAAAGTGTAAACGTGGTCGCGAAGCAAGTTCCGCTCGGTCCCGGAAGTCAATGCCACGTCCGTTTCCGGGTGCCGGATCCCATACCGAGGGTTGAAGAACCGGATTTCCACGTCGCGCTCCGGGGACAGCAGTGCTTGATCCGTGATCGTCGCCATCGACGCGATGGAGATCCCGCGGTCGCGCTTGATCTCGTAGTGGGTGAGCGGTTTGTACCCGCTGGACCGCGGCGGCGTCCACTGAAAGGTGACCTGGCCGTCAACGAAGGGCTGAATGCGGAAGAAATGGGGGACGATGTCGGGGAAGTCGACGACCAAGAATCTCGCCGGGAAGCCGGCGAGAAGGACCTTCGGAGAGTAGAGGTTTTCCGACGGAATGATTTGCTTCTCGATCAGCGGCTCCTCGACGCCGCGCCGAACCGTGACCGGAAAATCTGGCACCCAGTGCGTCGCTTCCCAGTAGAGACGGAGCCGGAAATTCTGCGTGTTCTCCACCAACTGGATCTGAAATTCGAGCGGGAACCCCTCGATGAGCTCGATGGGCTCAGCGGTGCGAACAGACTGCGACAGTTTCGATTGGATGGACAGGTACGAAAATTTTCCAAAAATCAGCATCTTCGCGTTGTCCGTGCACTCGAGCGTGAAGGTGTAGTTCCCCGACTGCGACGGGATGACCGCGCCGTCGAGAATCGCGGACACGAGGTCCTGGTGGCCGTACTTGCTTGTTTGGTTCGTTCCGAGCAGCCCGTCGGGGTGGTAGTAAATGTCCATGGAAGAAACCGTTTTCGCCGTGTAGTTGTCGGTCGGCATGTACGGCTGCACCCAGTCGAAGAACCGCGCCTGCAGGCCGCCCCTCTGCATGTAGGAGCAGCGCAGCGCCGTGTCGCCGGCGATGGGGATGGGCACCAAATCGACGCGGAACTGCGCAGACTCCGCCAGTAACTTCACCGGCAGCGGGTGGCCGAAGGGCACCCGCATGCTCCCCTCTTCGGGGTGCAGGTCCGGCCGGTAGTAGGTCAGCGCGTCGCAGGACAGCGCCACGTTGTAGTCGTTGACGATCTGGTTCCCGGCGGAGTCCACGTAGCCGAGCATAAAGTACCGACTCGCCTCCTTGCCGACGAACTTTGCGTAGTCGAGTCCGCGGAACCAGGGGTCCTTGGGGTTGTTGAACGGAAAGGCGTGCTCGCCATTTTTTGGCTCCTTCACCTCGGGCAGGGGCGGGTAGATCGTGAAGCGGAAAATCGAGGGCGTCAGCAGCTGCCGGATGTTCTTGGAGACGTCGCCGTGCATGTACCCAATCAGCTCCACGATGTTGTTCGGAGGCAACGTCGTCACCACCACACAGCACAGGTACGTCCCGGGCTTCTCGGGCATCTCCGCCACCGTGACGCGCTCGTTGTAGGCGCCGACCGTGAACTGGAGGTCGTCATAGGTGGGCAGGCCGGAGAGGAGCTGGTAGGGGGGAATGTACGCCGTGTAGGTGTTTCGGTCATTGCCCGCGGCGTCGCGCAAGGTGACCTCGAAGCAGTTGTCGCCCTCGCCGGCGCGAAACGGCGGCAGATCCTCGACGTAACTCATATCGTACCGCATCGCGCCCGGCAGCACGTCGAGGAAGATCGGCATGTTGTCGAAGAGATCGTCGTCCAGCTTCAAGTACAGAGCCTTTCCCGGGCCCGCGACCTGCGGAATGATGGTCAAGTCGTATTTCCCCACCGCGAAGTAGACCACTTCGATCCTCGCCATTTTCGTGTCCCCCTCCACGTACCCGGTAATGGTTCGGCCGGAGGGGAGCGGATCGGACAGCGCGTTCCCGAACTTGTCACGCAGCTGAATGCGAATCTTATTGCTCGTCACTGCCCGGAGCCCGTTCTGTTCCAGACTTGCTCGGTCCTCCACGTCCGTCGGAGTACTGGCGGACAGCGCCTTGATCCGCGTGCGCGGCGGATTATAGGTCCCGACATTGAGCGGGAACCGCAAATTGTGCGTCGGAATCGGCATTTGAAGTGTCGCGTCGCCCATCCACTCGAGCTTGATGAACGCCGGCCCCGAGCCGTGCACGTAGTACACCTCGAGCGGCACCAGCTGCTCGCCCGCGAGCTGGTAGGACTGCGTTAGGAATTCCGTCGGCATAATCCTCTCGCCAAAGCTCGGCAGCGTGTTCAGAACCTCCTCGCCAAACAGTTTCCACCTCAATCCCCCGTCGGCGGACAGCTTGAACTGGTAGGTCCCGGTTCTGTCCGGCACGATGAAGCCCTCCCAGTAGACGGCAAAAAAATCCGCGGCAGCTAGCTCCGGGCAGGATTCCGGTACGCCGGACCACTCGAAGTCGAGATTCCTGTCAACCACAGAAAAGTAGGTCGACTCTGTGTGATTCGGCTGGGTTTCGAGTTTGACGAGCGTGTTGAACCCCAAATCCCGGTAGTAGTACCCAACCAGGCCGCCGGGGCTGCGGACGGAGACCATGATGGAATACTCTCCCTCCGTTTGCAGCGTGAACGGGAAGTTGTAGCTCTGCTGGCGCCAGTCGAACGTGCCGTCGAAGAAGTAGAACATGCCGACGTTCCGGTTCTCGCTCATGGCCACTTCCCTCTTCATGAAGCTGGCACGCATGGACAGCTTCGTGTTCAGCACGGGGTTCTTGTACTTGTCGCGCGGAAAGCAGGAGAACTCGGACAGGTCGCCCGCGTTCACCTCCACCACCGGGTTGCAGATCGTCCCCGTCGGGTTGGCGAGCTCGGCCCGGAAGAACACCTGGCGTATCGGCACTTGGTCCAGGAAATCGCAGGGAATCCCGTTGGGCGTGGCGCAGCCATCGCCGACCTTGACGTACAGATCCAAGTAGCCAGCGACTTCGGACCGGACATTGATGCTGTAGGTCCCGTTTCCGTTCATGTAGTTCTCCAGACCGATTTTGTTGAACAACACGTCCGGCTCCGTGATGCCGGTCAAGGGGTTCACGAAGTACGCCCGCATTTTCGTCGTGGTCTCTCTGTTGGTCAGCAGCGGGTTGCTGTTCTCGTCCCGCAGCTGGAGCAGCAAAGTGAAATTTTGCCCCACTACCCGGTCCATCACCGTGGTGTCCAGAATGTCGCCGACAATTGTGCACTTCTCCGCCTTGACGTTCCCGGGCGTGACCGTCAGCGCGAAGGGGCCGGGGACCAGCTGCGGCAGCGCCATGGGCGCGTTCTCGTCCACGTACATGGCCGTCAGGTCCCTGCCGCCCACCATGACGTACAAGTGCAGCCCGACGCCGGCAATCGTCGGCGTGGTGCGGCAGACGTAGACCCCGCGGCCGCGGTCCAGATTTCCGTCGCCGTTAAAGTCCAGCAGAATCCCCTCGTTGCAGTCGCCGGACGGGCACTGCTTGTAGACGCAGGCCCCCTTATCCGTGTACCAGCCGCACTGGCCGGCGTGGGAGAAGATGCGCGTGGCGCAGATGTGCGGGGAGATGTGGATCTCTACACTGTTCGCGCCGACGTCCTGTTCGATCGGGTTGCTGAAACGGTCGCGGAGCAGGACCTCAAACTGGATCGGGAACGTGAAGGTGAGCGAGAATTCCGACACCGGGTAGTTGGCCTGGATGATCGTGTACTCACTGGGCTGGTCGTTCCAGATGCCCTTCATCGCGATTGGCGACTGGTCGATCGGCTTGTCGTCCAGGTTGATCCGCAGGTAGGAGTGCCCGGCGCGCAGGGCGGTGAAGCGGATCACCACGACGTTGCCCTTGATAGTTTGCTCCTCCCGCTCGATTCCTGTCGCGTCGACAAAGGTCCTGGTCATGATCTGGGTCGGCTCCACATACCCCTGCACGAACCCGGGAAACGTGCTGTCGATCACGCTCATGTCGTTGCCCCGCTTCATGTTCAGTTCGCCGCAGTCGTTCTCGAAGTCCTCGAACTTGAAGGAGCAAGCGTCGTACTGGCGCCACTCCACTGAGATGGAAATCCTGCGCGGGTCAAACGTATCCGGCGTGATCAGATTTCCGTACGCGTCCCGGAGCTCCAGCAAGAACGTCGATTCCACCCCGGCGCGGAAGCTGTACGTCGTGTTGACCGGCAGGGAAAGACACAGCCGCGAGTCGCTCCAGCAGCCCACGGCGGTCGAGGCGGAACTCGCAGGACCCGGATGGACGATCATGGACTGCGGTCGCGGGAAGCCGGCGAGATGGACGGGTTTCCCGGCGGTGACGGAAAAAATCGACACGTCGTACGTGCCCGCCTTCTCCACGACGAAGTCGATCCGGTGCAAACCGATCTTTTTCTCGGGCGTGACGTCAAACACTTGGTCGTGCGTGGTTGCGGAAGAGAGGTAAGCGCCCAACGAGATCGAGAACGGTTGGGAAGTGAAGCTCTGGCTGTAGCGGGACGTGCCGACGACCGTCCGGTTGGCCGGATCTGCCACCATGCTAGGGTAGAGCTTTATCGTCTGCCCGCTCCAGGTTTGGTAGTATTCGATCTCCTGCTCCGTCCGGCTGTTGTTCAAGCCCGATATTTCCAGCACGAAAACATCCCGATTGTGGTCGGCGTGGTTCCCCATCGAATCCTGGGCCTGGACGAAAATTGTCGACAAGACCGACGCGTCCGTGTTGACCAGCGCCTCCCCGTACGCCACCGCCGTCGCGGTGGGCAACCCGGTCACCGGGTCGATCAGCTCTTCGCTCGTGTCACCGACGGAAACTTTGACTGGGATTGGCGTGTTCTGAATGTAGGAAGATTTGAAAAGCGCTGTCTTGGGGATGATTTGCGTGAACTGGTTCGGACTCGACCACGACATTTGGATTTTCGCGTTTCCGACCTTTTCCAGATACTCCACCACAATCGGCGTGAACTTCATGGCCTCCAGCTTCACCGTCGCCCAGAAAATCTTGCAGCACATCGTGCCCGCCGCGACGAGGCCGTTACCCACGTTCATCCTCGCCTGTAGCGCTGCGCGCTCCTCCGGCGTGGTTGCGACTCCGCTGTCTGCGGGGTCGGGCACTAGCCTGTAGTCGATCAGCCGCTTCTCGCCGATCCAGAGCCGCGCACCGTTATCGACATTGAGCAAGATTGTGTAGTTCTCCGTGTAGTTTGCTCGCAGATACCCAACCCAGCGCGCAGACACGTAGTCGGAAGAGAACCCCACGATGGCACTCCCGCCCCAGTCTTCGTTGATGATCGCTTGCTCGGACTTCATGGGCAGGCCCTGGAAAAACGCGTTGTCCCAGGCTTCGTAGAGCAAGCCACCAGCTTCTACGGCTTGCACAATCATGGAGAAGTCGCCCGAGCTGGTCGGCGTGTAGTGGATCAAATGCGTGCCGTCCGCCCGGACCTGGTTGTTCTCCACAGACTCGATGCAGCACACCGTGGACTTCCGCGGTGCGTGGATCCCGATGCCCTCGATGGCCTGGTACCGCGGACCGAGGCCCGCCACGGAACTCGTATTGTAGGTCGCCAGAACGTGCTTCGGGATACAAAGCGTTTTGGACGGGTTCAACTCGCACTCTTCCACGATGGACAGCAAGTAGATTCTGCACCGCGGCGGTCTGTGCTCCGGCGGGCAGTAGATGTCGCCGGAATCGGATTCGTTTTGCCTCGTGACCGGGTGGACGGCCTGGATCCGAATCGTGTCCTGTATGCCTGCCTGCACCACGTGGTAGCCGTGCCGAACGTAGGGGACTTGAAACGGGAGCACTTTCGGAAACCCATTCCACAAAGTCCCATACGCCTGACTGTAGATGTCCTTTACCGGGTCGGTTTGCCCAACCGACCAAAAGTTGACCAGGGATAAATCCGTCGACTCGGACCGCTGGACGGTGTAGGTTTTGCCAACGGGAATGCTGTACCCCACCCTGTTGATCGCGTACAGGCGGAACTTGTAGCTCGACCCCTGCTTCAGCTCGATGTTGATGATCGCCTGCAGCACGGTGGGCTCCCCCGTACCGTTGTACACCATCTGGTAGCTGGCGGATTGCGTAAACAGACCGGTCGTGGGGTCCTGGCGCTGCTCCACGTAGTCCAGAAAGTACCCGGTGACGGGCGACCCGTCCCCCGAGGGGGACTCCCACTGCATCTGCAGGGTCCGAAACCCCGGCTGCTTGATCGTCGGAATGAAGACGCCCCAGTTGGGCACGCCTGCGGAAATGAACATGACCCAGTCACTCCATTCACCTTTGAAGGAGTACTGCGTCTGCGTCGGCGCGTAGTCGACGCGGAAAATGCCGCGCTGCCGGAACCGGTAGTTCTGGTCGGCGCGGAGGCCGTCGGCGGTCACCCGGGAGGAGCACGCGACGACCGCCAGTTGGATTCGTGCGGAAGACAGCTGGTCCAGCGCAGTGCCGGGCTCAGATCCGTCGTCGCGCTGGATCTCGCAATCTAGAGTGGTGATGGTGGTCGAGGTTGGTAGAGAAATGGAGTAGGGCCGGAGAACCACCTCGCCGGCGGCAGACGAGAGTTTCGTCGGGATGCCGTTGTCGGTCGGGATCGGGTTGGGAACAATCTGCGTCATCGGGTTGGGCGGGAGGAAATTGCCGAAGTCGTCGGTGGCGGCGAACACGGGTGCTGGGGTGATGGAGAGGAGGAAGGACGTGAGGAAAAAAAGGATGAAACTCTGGAAAGTTGGTTTCCAAGAAGATTTTTGAGTGCAGCGGCGGGGGAATACCGACGTCGTGTCTTCATGCTTGATCTCGACTCTATAATCGGGCGGAAGAACAAAGCCAACACGTTTCGCGCCCTTGGCCGCGGCAGCTTTCGCACGGTGGATGAAGATCCGTGGTCTTTCAGCTGGTGGACCCTGCGTGTCGAAAAGCGAAGGGTTGGTGACACTAGAGCAGAAATCCTGTTCCTCATCCTTCCAATTGCAACTGCGGTCCGTTTCCCTGGTCTCATCCCTCCATGCGTCATCGTTTCCTCGCGCCGCCGTCGTGGGGTGCTGCCGCTGCAGGTTCCGTCTTCTTTCTCTGTCCCTGCCACCATGCGCGCCTCGCCGTTTGCCAGCGCGGAACTTTTTGTTCGCTTCACTAGCAATTCCGGCCTCGTCGACACAGCTCCCTCGTGATCGACTTCTACAGGCGATGCTTTGAAACCGCCTACATCGTGATCCGACAGATGATCCTCGAGGCCCAGCCAATTGGTATCGTATATTTGTGACACGATCTTCGAACTCGGGACTGCGGGTGCGAAAGCGGATAATCGCGGCGTTTCGGATATCACTCTCGCTGCCAACTCGCCCGCCTGCAATTGAGATGGTTGCGGCGGATCTTGATGGCTGAGACGTCCCAGTAGCCTTAATTTTCGCTCCTTGGGTCGTTCGTCTACGTCTTGCGACCCGAGGTTGATGTGCTCTTCTCGTCTTGCGTCCTCCGTCAGCATGATCAACGCACTTCTGTGATGCGGCATTGGAAGTTTGTGATTCTGCCGACGCCGCGCCGGCTTTGAGTAAAGATACTTGTTTCTCCGGATCTCGATGGCCGCTCTGTGCGCGGATCTCTTGATGTGCCTTTTCCGACGGAAAAACGCTGCTAGAAGACGCTTTTTCAGTGGATCCAGACAGTTGTAACTCCTGTCTGCTAGACAAACCAGAGTGGGACCTTGCTGCTGGCGGCAAATGACCATGGCCGTTTCTCCAGTAGTCTTGACGTTCACACACGTAGAAGGTGCCCGTCTGTTGAGTCTGCGTACTAAGAAGCGCAGGCGATGTTCTTCTTTGCGCCGCTGCGCGTTTTTCGCTACCGCTGATGCTGCAATGGTGCTGCAGGGCGATCGGCCTAGGGGTAGTACGCGTGTCGGACTGCTGTAAAGCACCTTTGACTTTCCCAGGAAGTTCAGATCTGAGCTGTGAGTGCTGTTCGGATAAGTTCGTGCGTCGCATCTGAGAACCCATCCTGACCTTTCGTCCCTCAGCACGGGACAGAATGCTGTCGTGCCAAATCTGTTTTGCAGCAATTGTGAGTGTGCTTGTTGAGCCGTCATTGTCATCAGGCCTCCCTGCTGCTGCGCTTGCGTTGCTGCTGTTGCTGAGCACACTGATATCCTCGATGTGCGCCGCTCGTGGACAACACATGGTCTCTCGCCCAGAAATTTTCTTTGATCCACGAAAGGGACGTTGCTTGTTGCTCGCACATCCACTTCGTAATGGTTTCGGTTTGCGGTTTCGCACATTATCGTGCCCGCGCTCGCAGTGATTTTCTGCACAACCTGACGCCGCTTTTCTCTTTCGTGCTGTCGCTCCGACGTTGTTAAACCTGGCTCTCGCTCCGTCGATAGTATGCATCTGCTTCTGCGTGGTTTGGGTCTGGAACGACTGGTCTTGACTCTGCTCCATCTTTGCTCCGAAAAGTCGCAAATGTACTTTGTCGTGCTCCCATTTTCTGACGGAAACAATTCTGCGACGCCATCTCTGCTGCCCTCCCGACTGCTGGCTAGGTCCTTTATTCTTCCCGCCGCGCTTTGGCTCTTCCTTCTTGCACTTGTTTCTGTTTCTTGTTCTGGCACCTCCGCGCCCAACCATGCTGGAGACGTTGACGATGCACTTTTTTCGTGGCCCTTTCTGTGTTCCAATACCTCGTCGGACCGCAAAAGCTTGCTCTCGCGCGACCAAGATGGTCGCGTGTGGCAGGCAACTGTCTGCATAGTACTGCATGCTCTCATCATGAGTCACGCAGAGTCACAGAGTTCTTGCACAGTAACATTTAGAAGCATGATGAACGAAGTTTGCGACGGAGACGACAAGCAGAAGCCATTTTGTACCCAAGCAATATTACTTAGAAACTGAAGAAACAGGGAACGACAACCGCGACGGCAGGAGCTCCTCCTTCCTGATCTTTAGCACGATAGGGATTGATGTGTGGGCGACGCGGCCTCTTTATTCTCAATAAAACTAAAACTTCCGACAAGTAGATATTAGATTGAACATGTGTCACACGATCCGGTAACGAGATCTGCCCAAGGAAACGTAAGGCGTTGGTGCGCATCTGGAGCAACAACAATCATGCAAAACTCATTCAAAAGGAAAACGGAAAACGCCATCAAAAAGCCCATCCACACTCAGTCCCTCATGATGATTGATGAACGTGGTCGTGGACGGAGATAATTGCATGTGTGGTTTTGCATAGAATTACTCTCGGACATCTTGGACATATCGTCACACACACAGCACAAATTTACCGATTGATGTAAGGCTGTCAACCGACGGAGTTTAGTGGAACTTGGAGGGGACTAGGCCTAAAGTTTCTGCTCCGTCACTCTATTTTGCGCTTCTTGCTGTAGTTTTGCTCATGCAACTCAGAAGCAACTCTTTCTCTTTGAGATAAACACACCAAAAATATGTCCGCGACCTCTTACGAGGGTCCTTTCCGCAATTGTGGCAGAAACCACGAGCTGTACGCCACGCGGGCGTCACCTTGTTGCAGGCTCTTCTCGCTTTATTATTTCACAACCAAAGTGAGTGTAAGTGGATATGAATACTTACTGACCCAGAAAGACTGACAGCATCAACACCAACCACATGAGCTTAGCGGATGGCGGCCTGACAGGCACGAGTGTGGCTCGGCGCCAAGAGGGGGAAGGCCTGCTCAAATGCAAACGCACATCATCGCGTCAGCCCCGCCCGGGCGGGTTGCAAGGGTACCTACCCAAAACAAGCACCGGGCCGACCAGCAGACTAAGGAGGGGGGCTGACGACCAGAGGCACATGGATTCAGATGCTGGGCATCCAGAACGGAGGCAGGGGCGCTGCGCGCGGCCGAGCGGGCCGCGCCCTCTGAAGCCGCCGGGGCGGTGAAGCACTCCACCGCCCGCACGGGCCGCATGCCCCGACACACGCGTCGGGGCGTCGCGCAAGCTCGCGCGAGGGAGGCAGAGGGGGCGGGGGAGCATCGGCCCCAGGCTCAGGCCCGGCGCCTCGCCCGCCGCCTCGCAGGCGCGCCAACGAAAGGCCGGCGGACGGGGTCGCTTGGTCAGGCTGCTCTCGTTGGCGGCAGACTGCTCTGCGAGTGTAGTCGGCCCGGGCAACTTCGTGCGTCACGAGTCCGCCAGACGGCGCGCCAAGTATTGGGGCAGCCCGGCGAAATACTACAAACGCCAAGACCAAGCTCTGCGCGCCGTGTAGTCGCAGGCACCCAGCAAGCGCTGCCAGCGTGTTCGACCAGGTTAGAAACAAACGCGACACGCTCATCGGCTCCACACTGCGCAGATTTCCCCAGCATCGGCCCGGTTTCGTTCGTGCGGGTTTGTTGGTCGCGTAGGGCTCGAAATGAAGCAAAAACGCAAGCAATAGCGTCAATGCTCTACGTCCATAGATAACCGAAGCGGGTTCGACAAACGCAGCAGCCACGCATGTTACATGCTTACGACCACGCAAAATTCTAAGACGAGCTGCGCAAATGACTGAAATCAGAGCGCAGCCTGCTACTAATTTCTAACTATTGACATTGAGTTTGTCTGAATATAACGGAAAAAGTGCAACAACAATACCACGGTCAGGCACTCTGCTCAGAAGACTGGAACGTCTCTCACTCTGATCATCATCTTCTTCTTCTGGGTGAGTTCCGAGCTCCGCTCACGCACAGACTATAGCTTTATAAATATGAGATCCGCTGAACTGATCTACTAGATCTGATGCCCTCATTGGAAGACTAACTGATCTCTCTGTTTAGCCAAATGGAAGTGAAACGCTCCGTCCTCGCATCTTCTCTCTAACGCAATCCATGACAGTGCAGCTGGCCCGATATGCCATTATCTCAAGCTTCTTGTATTTGTGGTACTTGCGCTTAGGTGTAGAGCGCAAGAACAGGACAACACAAAGACAAAACATGTGCATTCATTCTTTTTTTCACACAAAGTTTCAGCAGGTAACCGAGGACGACGAACTCATTCTCATTGCAAACTACGTTACAGTTACTTTTTTTTTGTTCTTGGTCTTCATCTACAAAACGTCGGGTGGACAGTGGGTTCGGTTACTTAGTCTGTCGTGCAGCCCTCTAATCTAACTACAAAGGACGACGTTTAATGTTCTTCAGGCGTGAGCACGCCTATACGAAAGATTACAAAGTGTTTCAGGCACAGCCGGGAAGAAGGAAAAGTTTTATTTCGCTATATTGCTTTCGTGGCATTCATCATTACAGATACAGTTTCTCCTGCAATTGTACATGCAATGAGTGACAGGAGTGCATGATGTGAAGAGGTTTTTATACAAGGTAGTCATACTGAGTAGTAGCTAGTAGGTCTGATTTCCGAGTGTTACAAAAACAATCAAGTAGATCTTTTTTATTCGTCGTTGGCGAGCTCGAATTGATTCGCTTAAAAATCTTTCCACGACTTTTTTTATCATACATCCAAACTCAAATTCAGATCCTGGATCAGCGCCGACTGCTCCCCAGCTGGCAGCGATGCGACGAACACCTGATCCTCATCCTCGGCCGGGTGGTCGCGATTGACGATCACCCCCGGCAGCAACCGGTCCCACGCCCGGAGCGCGGACGCCCGTCTCCTGGCCTTGGCCTGCCGTGCCTCCCGTTCAAGGTCCGCCCGCGTTTTGAAAAATTCCTTGAGCATCTTGTGTCCCGCAGACTTGTTGCGCTTGAAGCACGGGCCGCACTGCGAAATCGTGCAGGACAGACACGCGAGCAGGAAAAACACCAGCAAAACCGCCGTGCAGAAGCGCAGAATGCCCTTCAGGACAAAGTTGTGCGGAGAAAACGCGATTGCGTTCAACTGATCCTCCATGGTGTACGACTGCTGGACGATTTCTTCGACCAGGTAGGACGACGCGCTGGTGTAATTGTTACTCGAAGTAGTAATTTTCGTCCATGGATTCGTCGTGGTTGGAGCGTCAGTCTGCGGGCTCTCTTTAGTACCAGCAGAAGAGGCTCGGAACGGAGCTGCCGTCGTGAGGTGCCTGGCTTCTTCCACCTCCGGGTCCATCACTTCGGACTCAAGCTGGTGGAGGTCTACTTGTGGCTGAGTAGGGGGTTTGGTCGGGTGGTACGACGATGAGTGGTTGATGTCCTTCGCTCCTGCGCGATTCTGCTGTTTGTTGTTTGGTAATGCTGCAACGGCTGGGTTTTGCTTTTGGCGGATGTGAGAGACCGTGGCTCCTTCCCCACTGTCGCGCGAAGTTCGGATTTGACCTTCGGCGGGAGGATGTGTCCGCGTTCCGCTCGCAGGGCGCGGTGGATGAGAGCCGTCCTGGTCTGATCGTTTCTCGTGCTGCGCTTTGTTCTGTGAAGGCGAGGGAGCAGGACCGCCAGCGCTCTGCAGTGAAGCAGTCACTTTTACAGGTGGTTGAGTTTCGGATTTCTCCAAGGCTCGATGGTCGCGATCATCTGGCCTTGAACGCTGGCGGCGGGTATTGATATTGTCATTCTCGTTCCGTGCTGACGTGGCGGCGTCGCTCGTCTTCACAACACCATCCGGATCCGTCCTCACCTTCGGCGCCACGGAACCCCGTGCCATAGATGTAGTCCCACTCGCACCGTTAGAACCTGGAATGACTAGATTCGACGTTGCTCTTGCTGCAGCTGGAGTAAGGTTCTCTGATGGAGCCGAAGGCAGGGGAGGAGCTGCAATCGGGATTGGGACTGTGGCAATTGCCACTGCGTCATCAGCGATCACACTTGTCGATCCTTGGCCATTTATCTCCTGACCGATGCTCTTTGCGGCTAGCGCGGTATGCGCGTTTCCGGTGTCCGCTTGTGTCGATCCTTTTGGTGCCTCTCGTGTTTTGGACAACGAAGTACTGCGGTCCGCTTCTCGTGCCGGGTCGTGCAGAGACTCGGCTAGAAAAAAAGCGCGAGCAAGAACGCACACACGAAAGAGTGCTGCAGCTGCCGACATTTATTTTAGCGAAGTCGAAATAGGGTCGTGCAGACGCGTCTCCTTGATGTGAGGAGACGAAAGCGCGCGGTTTCGTGCTCTTGTTCAACACGAGGACCACTAGCACTATCGAATATTCGAGTTACAACTACGACTGAGACAAAGTGTGGAGTAGCTCATTAAATTTGCTACTTAAAACAATCACGATGAAGCCACCCACGCGGGCACCTCATACTGGCTGCAACACGCCTTGCGCAGCGAAGATTTCGATCATTTCAAGCTTTGCTTTTCACGACGAAAATGGAGATGAAAAAGGACGCGTCTGTATTTACAGCAAAAGCGGTGCTCATCTCTACTTCTAACTATCGCTCTTATTCAATGAGATCGATGGCGACTGGGACTGTTCCTGCAGCGAAACGAACTACGATGGCCCCTTCACACAAGCAGGACACAAACACGACTTCTCTAACGACACGAGCCTGAACGATACAAGAACCCGACCGCTTGCTTCACGACCTGCACAACTTCATCGCATTCTACTATGAAACTTTCAATGTCTGACCTTTGTCGTGGCGCAATACAGTCAGTCACAGTAGAAGTCGACGCGGGAATTTCTATTTCATGGCTGCAGAAGCACTGCTTACTGCAAGAACATGGCCGACGTGGAATCGATGCTGTGCAAAAAGCGAAGTCCTCAATATCGTTATCGAAGGAACCAAACCACGTTGACATCGGGAGCACCGGTTACACAGTACGAGCACACAGATTCGACTGCAATTCGATCGGCCATTTCAAGAAATAGGAAACACCCGGTCCAGATGTAGTGCAGTTTGTTCGTCATAGACGTCATGGCGGCGAAGACCACCATACTCATGCAACGGAGCGCGCGCCACGGGATTGAACGGAACGAGTTCAACAGAAAGGCCTCAGCTGCCAATGAATTGCAACACCGATCGGCGGCTGCGCCTGGTGCGCGAGCGGGTGGGGCCTTCCGGTTCCAGTTCCGACGCAGCGCCAAACCCTAACAGGCATCAAAGAAAGAAAGACGAAGAGTCGGGCGGCGTGCGTCTCAGCGGCCACACACGCACGCACCTGAAGGGGAGGGGGCGCTCCCGAGCAGCGGCCGGCCGCGGAAGAAGAGGCCCCGAGGGGCGCCGGCCGCGCGCCTTTGCACGGCCGTGCCAGGAGCGCAGGGCTGAAACGAAGCCCCACAAGGTGCCCGGGCGGGCGTGCGAAAAGAAGCGCGCGGCCCGGGCAACAAGATCCAGCGCGCGCGCGCGCTTCTTACTTATGCTGTCGGTCGTCACCAGTCAGCGAGCGAGCCCGCGCCTGCCGGTCGCCGCTTCTTTTTGTACCTGCGGCCCCCGTATAGGTGTATCTTTTGTCGTTCGCTATGTTTATCGCGGCGGGCCGCTGACTGGTAACGGTAAGAGCCGCCACACCACTCGCGAGGGGCTCACTGGTAAATCGCAAGCGCCACCAAAAGAGGCACGTCTTGTTGCCCGTTGACCGGAACGCGCACACGTCAAGCAGGGCGCTCCATGTTGCTGTCTTCTACTCTCTCAATATCAACTTCAACGGCGAGATCAACACAAGAGATGCTTCTAATAGCTGTACTCCAATACATTTATTCGATTTCCGTCCGTATTCGTCCACGCACGGGACATACGAATACGTAGGGAAGAGGGAAAGGCTAGCTTCGCAATCTCTCGGCAAGGCGGGGTTGAAATACAAGCTAGCGCCACAACCTCTCTGCTTACCTCACTTTCAATAGAAATTCCGACCAATCACGAAGACCTCGCACTCACTATTCATTGAGAGAGCGGAACATCATGAATTCTTATCCGGCCCCGGGGGCTGAAGCGAAGATACATGTCGCTTCATTTGCTGAGAAAGGTAAGTGTCTTCCTTGGCTAGCAGAATGTGACCCTATCTGAATCTTTTCCGTGATGAAACAAAAATAAAAAGGACCAGGATACTGACGAAGTCAAGCTTGTTTATTGAAACTGACACTTGTCTGTGATCGTACATTAGGTTTTGGGAAGTTGTTCTTTGCGCAATTTTATATCCTACTACATCATGATCATCATCATTTATACTGCACTTGGGGGGGACGTGCGGCGGGTTTTGGGTTCGAGGTTCGTATATCAAAAAAAATGTTCATTTTCGTTGGCCTTGGTCTACTCGTCGTACTCATACATACATAAATGCATATTTCTTCCGATGCTGATGCATGTCTGTTCAGAATTCGAGATTTGCCGCCCCAGTGATCTGACTCCCGATCAAATCGAAACTGAGTCGGCTTTTGTTGTAAGATTTCCCACTACCACCAGCCGTGGACGCTTGGAAGTGCACTTGCTTCTGCAACTGTTTTGTTCCTTGCTCCAACCCGTTCTCGCTCGCTTGTGTTCCAAATGAGCTTTTCCTCTTCGCCACACTATCACCAATCTTTCCCTTCGCCTCAGCGGCCGAGAATTTCTGTTGCTGAAAAAACAACTGCGGTTCGTCTTCCGTGACCAAGTTGCTCACCAATCTTGCCATCTCCGCGTCGACGGACTCTGTCGCTTCTACGAACTTCTTCCACCGCTGCACTTTCGCCGAATTGAAGCCCGTGTTCGCGACAGCATCGCCGATGCCGTCGATTTCGCGGCGGGTTTTCCGCTCCTCTTCCTCGTTCATCAGGAAGATGGAACGATGAATTTTTTCCACCTGAAACCGGAGCCGCACGTCGACGCAGTTTTCCTTGATGATTGCGGACAAAATGCTGGCGAGATCTAGTTCCAGCAACTTCGCGACGTGCACGGTCTTCGACAGGGGGCAAAGCAGCATCAATTCCAGCCCGTACTCCACCGCAGTGTTGGTCCTCATCGAGGCCATGGAGAGCTCCTTCGGCGGTTTATTGCTGCTCAGCGATGAAGATAAGGATCCACTGCTGGCATTCAGATTCATCATGCCGGACGGACTTGTTGTAGCCGTCGTCGGACTCTTTTTCCCGCCCGCGTTCGCTTTGACGGTTAGGTGCCGGGCCAACGCCGGCAACGCCTGCTCGAGCAGTCTGACCTGCAAGCGTTCGTTGTTCTGCAAATCGAACGCTGATTCCTCGCCCACTTCAATAGCGTCCCTGCACGCGGTTCTGAACTCCTCGTCCGCATCCAGAAGGAGTTTCAAGGCGTGGAGACTTTGGCCGACCACTTCGTAATTCTCGCCAAAATTTTCGCAGTTGGTCAGGAAAAGCTCGAGCAGGTAAGAAAACTGGCGCTTGCGGACCGCGGGGGAGATTTCTGTTGTGGAAAACGGTTTGAGTAAGGCGATCTTTTGTGCTCGCTGGGCCTCATCTAACAATTATTGCATTCGCCGTTTCGATTTGGATTTGCACAAAACACGGTGAAAAAAAATGATCTGATCATGAGCGACATCAGACAGCGTACTTGTCCTCTGTGGCAACGCCAAATCCGTGTGCGAGTCCAAGTTCGCACGATTCGGAATCACCCCGTTCAATCCCAAGCTCTTTGCCGCTCCGTACACTCCGGCGTCCAGCTGCGATTTCCGCCGGACCTCTCCGCCATAAACGTCAATCAGGTCGATTTCCGCGTTCTGCTGTTTGTCGTACGGCTGCGGACTGTAAGCCGGTTGCGACCGGTTTGCAGAAGAAGATACATCCTCATCGTTCGGAGTCGTGAAGTTTGATCCTTGATGCTGGAGCTCCTTCATCAGCGCGAGCGTGTCGCTGTTCCGCTGGAAGGGCCGGCCCTGGAAGAACTTCACCAGAAAGTGGGAACTCATGGCCTGCACTTCGTAGCAGAAAAAGAACTCGTCGATGAAATCGAGGAGCCATTGCAAACGCGTGGTCTTCATGTTCCAATCGTCCTCCTCAAACTGCAGGTCCTGCAGCGCGGTCGTGATCCGCGGCATGCACTGGAGGAGCAAGTTCTGCGTCTTTTCCGGCAGCGTCTCCGAAACTTTCGCCAGGTTCAGAAAGTTGCAGCCCAGAAACTTCACCGCATCGGACTTCTTTGACTTCACAATCGCCTGCAAGTTCGGCAAGTTGTTTTCCAAAGAGATTTGCTTTTCGAGCTGCTCGCGGTACAGGGAAAAGATGGAGATGACGCAGTTCAAACCCATGTAGTTCTCCACAAACAAATCGCAGTTCTTCAAATTTGTGTCCAGCAACACCGCGACGACCTGGAGCAAAGAGTCCAGCAGGTTCGGGATCTGCTCGTTGAACTGCACGAAGGGGATGAGGTAGGTCCAGAGGAGTTCAAACAGAAACCTACATCCCCCGGGAATCCGCCGCATGCGGTCCTGGAACCGGTCCACGATGTTGCGCTTCTGGGACTTCGATTGTTTCTGGGGCTGCGTGCTGTTGATGATTTCCGAGAGGAATTCGTGATGTTGTGGCGAGGACCCGCCGTTGGAAGACGCTGGAATGTCGAAGGACACTGAAGGCTCCTCCTGGTCCATCGGGTCGAAGGATGACACAGAAGCGGTCGCACGTTTCAGGATCGAGGGCGGTTTCACCTGAACAGATTCGATGTCGATCGTCAAGAGCAAAATGATAGAAATACGATCTGCACTTTTGATGCGTGAGTAGCACTCATGCTCATCTTTGATTTGCAAGTGCAAACGGAAACAACTGCAGAAGAGAAACACGCACAAACAAGTTTACGTCTCTCGCCTTCTGTTTCGCGAAGTACTGCAGCTGCTTCTTCGCGCCAGGTTTGTTTCCAAACAGCGCTTTTCGCGGGACGCCTGTGGGCAGGTAATTCGCGAGCGATTCTTCGTCGTCTTCCGAATCGGACCAGACTTTCAATGGCGACGGAGAGTTCTTCGGCGAGTTCAGCAGCGGACTTGGGAAGAGATTCCGCACTTCCTGATCCACCTGCTTCACCAGCCGTTGCCTGCTCTTCGGTGTGGAGGGGCTCGGCGCCTGACTAGGGTTCAAATTTCGCGAATTAGACGACGACCGCTTCCTGTTTGCAGACGACGATGAGGATGAAAACTCCAGTCCGCGTGGCCGCACGCCGCCGCCCTCTGCGGGGAGCAAAACGGAAAAATCTTCCTCCGTTTCTTGGTCGATGAAGCTTCGGTCAGTCGTGTTCGAAATCACCAAGGCCTGCAGCCACCCGTGCAAGTCGAGCAGGAGGTGAAAGTAAGATCTCAGAAACGGGCTCGCGGCGGTTAAGACAATTCTGTCGGCTTCGTGGTCACTGTCCGCGGGCGCGATCCCGGCGGCATCCGACGCACTGTTGACGCTCACGTTCGTGCCCCCGGCGGAGGTGCCGGACTGCCCCAGAATGTCCCGGTAGCTGCGCACCAGCGCAAACCCTTGTCTCGCCGTCTTTGCGACGATCTCCAGACCGTGCTGCGCGAGGAAGGAGAGACGAATCTTTTCCTCGTGTTCGGCCGCCACGGCGGCCTTAGCACTCGACTGTTTAGTTCTCGCTTTTCTATCCATGTCTCCGTGGATCGATGGGGCCAGTAACCGGTTAAACAGGGCTAGCACCAGTGTCGCGATGTGCACCCGGATCTTGGCCATTTCTGCCTCCGTGCAATTGAAAGCGCCGTTTTTCGCGGTGTGTCCGTCGTGGGTGCGCAGAACCAACTCCCTCAAAATCAAAAGCAGCAGGGACAGACCGTTAAAGGAATGCTTGGAGTTTTTCTCTCCCGGAATAGTTGCCGTGGCACTCCCCCGCACTAGGTGTCCGATCACGTAGCATGATTGGGTCGTTGCCTGATTCGCGACGGTCATTGTTGGAAGTGCGGGATTACTGCTCGGGACAGCTGCGCTCGGATCACCTTCATTCGTGCCCAGCATGCAGTCGCGGAAGTCTTCGATGTTGTGGTACTGAATGAGAAAAAACTCCTGCATAATCTTCTTCCAATGCGTCGTTGTAGTACTGTTCGGGCTTTTGGATGTTGTTGCATCGGCACAATGTCGGCCCATACTCATCTGAACTTTGTAGTCCGCGTGCTCGAGACCAGAGAAGTACAGCAAGCACGAGAGTGCCGCCACCTGATGGTCCCGACGGTAGAAGTGGGTCTCCAGCGACCAGAGGATTTGCTTCAAAACCTGGCAGTCGTGGAGCTTTTGCAGCAGAAACGCCGTCATCAGAGACTGGTTGGCCAGTGCGAACATTTTCACTGTATGCTCCAGCGCAACCAGGCACAAGCGAGAGATGTCCGTCTCGGAGGTCCGGCGGTTCCACAGCTGGAGCAGGTTTTCCAAATGCCCGCGATGGAAGAACAGCTCCTGCAAGACCCGGACGCTCTGACACTTGCCCAGCAGATCGATCCGTCGGCGCTCCTCGTGCGAGGTCAAGCAAATCTTATCCAGCGCCAGCTCGTCCCCCGCGGCGGAAGATTTTGGCACGCGCTTCAACTGCTCCTGCACGAACTGGGGTGGAAGACGGGGGCCGGAAGCATTCGTGGCGGTACTTCGCTTATGGAGAGAACTTTGATTTCCTGCTGGCTGCTGCGTTTCAAAATTGTCTCTATCGAGAGAACTACTCCGCGCCGCGGCGTTCATTTTTTGCAGTTGTTCAATCGTTGCGGCGGAGCTACGACTGGACGCGGGAATCTGGCGCCTCAGACTTGCCACCGAACCGTGCTTCGCGTTCGCCGGCCTGTTTACCGAGCCTGAAAAATCGTCATCCAAGGGTGACGCGGCTGCTGAAGAGGACGAAGAACTACTTCCGATATCGGTACTGTAGCTCTCGCTGTCGCTCGCCGTTGGCGGAGGGTACACCGAGTGATGCGTGCCGGTTTTTCCAAAACCCATCTTGCTGCCAGCGCCGTTCTTCATTTTCCGCACTCGCGGCGGCGCGGAGGGCGCAAGTGCGAAACCGAAGGTGGACATTTATTTTCTCGGTGGCCGCAATGCAAACTGAAGCTCCCAGCACGCGGTTTGCTGCAACTGTTGATGCTGAGTTTATTGGAAATAACGAAACAAAACTTGATGGCCTTGGAGGCAGCACTATTGAGTATGAGTGCGGTTGGCTTCGTAGATTTTCATTGTTCCCTTGGCACACGCAGAATATGGTTTTCAACTCGCTCGTCTACGAAAAAAGTTACAGCGGGGAGAGGTATTCTATTGAAAACCAAACCTCAGCCGCTTTTTTGTCTGTTTTGCAGATGCTCTTCTCTCGACGGCTCATGTCCCGAACGCATCACCGCTCAGACCCATCCATATGCCCATAGTAGTGCAGCTTCTGACTTCAGCCAAAGCCAAGGAGCGGCGTCGTGACTGCGAATGAAACAAACATTGACAACATACACGTCTTGGCCTTCCGGCCGGAACACGGCATGTATTCGAAAATGAAACCATGGCTATGACAGAAAGCATGTCGGATCATAAGACAGTTGTCACAATGTAAATGTAAAAAAGATTGATTGTGTAGGCATAGAAAAGCCGTTTTGAGTCGCTTGGAGTTTGTTCTTGTTGAGTGACATCAAATCAATTAGCTGTCGCCTTGGTTAACTTCCTTCTTTTTCTTTGAGCTCTCATCTTCTGTTGAATTGCAGGCAGGGCCTTTTATAACCACCGTTACTAGATACGGATCGTCTTTATGCTCAGCATGCAACACGGATGCAGATACGCACTCTGTGCCTCTGTAGTTCTTTCCATCACTTATTGTGTGCAACTCTGGTGCATGCTGCTCCCCTTCGGGTGAGCCTACTGTCAGCGAGCGGGCTGCTTCGCTACCTCCTTTCAGCACGACACTTCCACCAGCTTGTTCCTCAATTTCTCTGGGAATGCGTTTTTCGTTTTCGTTATCATCCAGTTGTGCCTGCAGCTCTTCTTCAACAACAGCTCCCTCGTACTCGGCAAGGTACTGCTGAAATTCTGCGTCTGACAAACGCGTGGAGCTGTTGTAGAATTCGTCGTCATCTTCGTCTACATCATCCACATCGGTACTATGACTATCGTTGTTGGTGCCTGCTGATGTCGCCGTGCTCCTACAGCTTGTTCCACCTGCCGTTGACCTCTCCGCCGGGGAACGTTGATCTCTTTTTTTGCCGTTCCTCTCCACCTCGTCTTCCCTACAGGAGAGCACGCACATCAAGTCTTGCTCGGGAGCCGTCACTTCCGCGTAAGGGGCCAGCACGTGGAAGTCGTGAGGGTACGCATGGTAGAGCTCCTTGAGCGCTCGCAACATCTTCTCCCTCACCGCGTCGTCTGGAAGTAAGCCTCGACACTTGTTCTGTGTCAGCGCGACCTTGGCGCGCGCGGCCGGGGTGCGGTACTCATTCATAACGTGCAAACGGGCGTAGAGGAGCATTTTCTTCCGGGTGTCCATGATATCCTCTTCTTTCACGTCCGCCGGCAGCGCGCCACGGTCGTAGCGGTCCGCACAACACTCCCCTCGGTGAAGGAAGCGAAATGCTGTTGGCTGTGGGTTCTTCCTGGTAACGCTGCTACTGGCTTTGTTTGTCGTGGGTGATGTTGATTTGGCATCGTGCGGATCGTAGACGGTTGTACTGGTTCCAGGCGTGCCTGCGTCTGGGTATGCAGGACCGATACTTCCTGCAGATGAAGCGGCCTTCTTTTCTCCTGTCAAGGTCCAATACTTTGCGAACGTGTGTGTGCGATCCGACATAAGGCCAGGGCGCATCTGGTTCACCCACGCTGCTCCCTCTCCGTGCTCTGCAAACTTGCTCATGACGCCCTCGTAGGCACCGTTGAAGAACACTTGAAATTGCCCGTAGACGTCAAAAAAGATTTCCAAGACGTCGGGCCGATTTCCGTGCTTCGGCTTGTTTGTCTTGCTCCACCCAAGCAAGAACCCCAGCGACCCCCACCAAGCCGCGCTCTGCGCAAACTTCCGGCGTACACTGTAGAGTTCCTTGTCCCGCGTTTTTGTGAGTTCTAAAAGTTGCTGCAGGCGCTCCTTCTCCTGCTCCGATTTGGTTTCTGCAGCTTGAATCCTCTTCTCCAAAACAACCCCAAGAGAGGACTCGGTGTCTAGCTCGTTTTCGACCGACCACAAATCCCACAAAATACGCAGCTCCGAGTCCAAACCTCGGAAGTAAAACCATCTGACCCACTGAAACTTGCTCAGGTCGGCTACTTCGGCCTGGTCCGTCTCCAGAGCGCGCACATTTGCTTCCAGCACACGGCAGTAAAGTGGGGGATGCGGCGGGGGTGCGGCAGTCTCTATTCCTGCTACCGTGTTATCATTGGACTTGTTTGCCCTTCTACGACAAGAAAAAGCGTTTACAAGCCGGATTTGCAATGGGCGGGGCTCAGATGTCTCAGCATGCGTACCAGAAGAAACAGAATCTTCATCCGCTGCTGACACAGCGCTGCCCTCCCTGCGAGGCCCAGGAATCGTGTGTTCGGGCCCGAGTGCATTTTCTTCGAGGATTGCGCGAAATTGTTGAAGCGCGTCGCGTGTCGTGGAAGACGACCCGGTGGCAGAATAAAAATCCTCCACACTAGCAGTAGCACTTTTTCCCTGCGAAACTAGATCGGATGCCTCGTTCTCCTGCTCTTCGCAAGTGATCGGCTCTCCATGCAGTCGCTGGATGAAGTCTTTTCTCAGAGCCTCTGGCTCCAATACGGCCTCGCCACGAAAAAGCGGATCACCAGCTAAGTTTACATACTGCACGTGGACAGGAACTGGGCCCTCGTCTAGAGAGTCGCTTGCGGCTTCGATTGCCCGGGGTGCTGTCTCGTGAGCTTTCTGCCTCGCAACACTTCCGGCAATCGAATGCGCAGCAACAACGTGGTGGCTACCACCGTCCTGTTCTCTAAGTGAAGTCTCTCGGTTTCTGGAGGGGCACACACGGCCGGCCACTTTGAAGAACGACAAGAGGACACGAAGAGACTTGGCGACATGGTGTCGTACTCGTATTGAGAAGGGCATTCGTTCCTGCCCGGGCTGCCCCCCATGGTCCGCTCCGAGGACTCGAAGATCGCGATCTGCGTCGGGTTCCATCTTTGCACGAGAAATAAATGCGCCCGTAATGGTGAGTCTTCTGTTAATACGTTGCTCAGTCTTTGGCTACAACTGCTTTGATGTCGGTGGATGTGACGTTTCCCGCCACCGTCTCCGCGTCGGCCCCATTGTTATGTACCCACTCATATCTTCAGTGCTGGACCACGCCTGTTTCATCTTGCGATGATGTTCGATCACATGCATGCTCATGGTCATGACGAAGAAGCAATCGTCATTTATTTCTTCGCAATCTCGTCGATCATCATCATTTTCATTGTTGTTCTTTCAGTGGCGACCGAAATAAACCATTTCATCTGCTTTTGGATTGGCTGCAACAAGCAAAGAAATAGGATCAATGCCTCCAGCCCAGTTTTTACTTTGGCTTTGCCTGAAAATCAGCGTGAAAAAGGTGAAAACAAAAAGTCCACCAGGACCAGGTCTCTTGTATAGACAGAAAGTCAAAAATCGTTTGCGAGGCGAACAAACGGCACATAATAGTTGCCAATCTTGATTGGTTCAGCTACTACGTCAATGAGGTACTTGATATCGACTGGTATACAAAAGATTCATAATTGTCAATCATCATCCGCTTCTGGCACTGAATCAGTCGTCGAACAAGAACTACGACGAGGGTTCATCTAGGATCTATTTTATAATACAATCGAATAAATCGAATTCGAAGATAATCATAATTGCTCGTCGAAGAAAACAACAGGCTACTTCTAGATTTGCATCATGTCTAAATTCTTCATCTTCACCGTTGTGCTGCTTTATCTTACAAGTACGCATAAAATGCTCCAGTTTCGTATTTTGATATTCAGTTTTAGAACCTGATCGTTCCATCTGTTAGAGGCCGAGGGTACATATTTTTGACATCTAGAGCTCAACTCTACGTTTCAATAGGCAGGTGGGTAGTGCTAGTGGAAGAAACGTGAAACGGGTCGTCCTTAAGTTTAGATTGTTTTAGCGATGAACGCGACGTCGTCGGCAGGTCAATAAAGATATCCACGAATTTGCAATACATTGAAAGAAACCAAAAACTATGGTCCATAGTGACAACATAGCGGACAAACAAATACTTGTGCAATGCCAATGACAGAGGTAGAAGTTGTTGTTATTGTTTTTGAAAAGCGAAAAGAATTAGGACAATGACGCAGCAGCTGGAGCGTATTATTTAATTAATTTGTCAGGAGTACCTGCAGAACCGCTCGGGAACAAACTTACATTGGTACTGCATCCTGACACGCTCGTCACGATGAATGCTTGCTTACTTCTCGATCCCGAACTTCATGTCCGGCAGCTCGAGGTGCGCAGCATCCAGATGATTTCCGTTCAGGATTACCGTATACAACTGCTCCTTCACTCTGTTGGTAAACAAGTCGTCGAAAGAACCGCTTGCTGTTGATTTCGTTCTTTTGCCACCACAACTTTCGCTTTCCAATAGCAACGAGTCTTCTTCTTCGCCGGCTTCCTCGTCAGAAAAGTCCGGCGGCACTTCTTGATTGATATCATCCATTCCGAAACCCGCATCGTGTCCCTCGTCCCTTTCGCTTGCAAATCTGGCGTTCTGGTCTGCGTCGCGTCCCGCATCTTTCTCGTCCTCGACCAGGATACAGGTTAAATCGTTCTCCCCAGCCGCTAGGTACGGGGCGAGTACGAAGCCACGCGGAAAATTTGTTTTCAAAGCCTGCAGTGCGGAATCCATGATATCGAGATCTGCCTCCGGTACCGGATCTCTGTACTTGTTTTCGGTCAGGGCGAGTTGGGCACGAACCAGCCTGGTCGGAGCGGTCGCTAACCGTAGCAGCCTCGACAAGATATTCAGACTACTGCGCAAAATGTCGGTGCTGGACCGGTCAACCTCCACCTCGCCGGATATGAGTAATCGAAACGACGAGCCGTTCTCGGTGGTCCAGTAAGCTCCGCCTTGCAGCTCGTGCGGGCCCATCACAAGATCTGTTCCCGAAGCACAAGCATTCGTATGCCACCAGAAGTCGTACGCCCAGGCTGCGCCAACGTCGCACTGTTTCAAGTTCGAAAGCAGGCCGGCCGACTCGCCGTCGATGAACACTTGGTAGTTTCCGGTCGTGTCCAGAAAAACCTGCAATAGAGCGGGTTGCACCAGAGCGTCGCTTCCAACAACAGACTGAGAAATTGCAGAGAGCACGTTGCCGTACACTTCCCGACCGGATAGATACAAGTGTTCCCCGAGGTTCGTGATGCGGTCCCGCATCTGCTGAGCTTCTTCCGAACACTCACGCCACTCCGTCTCAAACGGCATGTCGGTTTCACCGAGTACTGCGTCGCCGTTCGTACGTGGAGCTGTACCAGCGTTGCAGCTATAATACTCCGATTTCCTTGCGGCAATCGCAATGCGTTTTCGAATTTTTTCTGCACGGATGAACTCCTGCATGAAGTCGAAATTGTTTTTCGAGGTCTGCAGCATGCAGCGTTTCACAACCTGCAGCTCGTCTGGAAGCGCATTCAGGCAGTTCGCCAAACTACGCAACATTCTCTTGTCTGCGTCGAGCGTTTGCACCTGCACCTCCATCACTTGACAGTAAAGACGGGCCGAACGTTCCCCTTGGGTTTTCGCATGTAGTTCGCACTCCGACTGTGATTGTACCCCCTGCGCATCCGAGGACTGAAAAGAAGCTTCTGCTTGTTTCGGCGTTGGATGCTGCATTGACGTAATTGAATGCTCTTCCAGAATGGATTTGTACTCGTCCAGCAGCACATGCGAGTCGTCGCTCTTGCCGGATTCGTGCAACGAATTTTCGCGAAACTGCTCCAACAAGATTTTTTCAGAGAACTCCTTTGCATCGTATATCCGCTGAGCTACCTGATCATGCCCAAGTGTCAACAGCTCGTCCCCCGCAATATTGAGAAACTTCACCGGGCCCGTAACACCAAGAAAAAACGCGAAAGATCTTACTCTTTCCTGCTGCAGTTGCTGAGCTACTGAGCTGTCGCTGCACTCGGAAGACATGAGCACGTGCACGTCGGGTTCGGAAGATGCACCGTTGATGTCGTCACGAAGTGAATTCTTCTGCATCTGCTCTTTTGCTTCTGCATCGGAAACGACCGGTGGCGCCTCGTCCTCCGCGTTGTCAGTGTTTCTGGTGGTTCCTGAAGAACAAGAAATTGCTGCAGGCCCATCCCCATTAATGTTTTTCCAATGATCCTCGGCGACGACATTGACATCGGCATCGCGGCCTTCAGCCACCTCTTCTTGCGTTTGGTGATCAGGGAGCGCAGACGAATCACAAGAACAAAGAAACTGCAACTTGGCAAGCAGCTCCAGCAGGAAATTATTACGCGGCTCGTTCACTGACATGATTGCTTCCGTTCCCGCGCGTTGTTTTGGAATCAACAGTGTAGCAGCCTCGACATTATCCAAAAAATCACACCATAATTGTTTCCATTCTTAGGCTAGAAAACAAATACCTAAGAACTTGAGAAAAAATTGTCGTATCAATATCGTTTCTTTGAATATCACAATGAACTGACCTTAGACGCCGCCCATAGAAAGAACCCGTCCTTCATATTCTCCAGCAGGTCATTGACATGCCGCGGGAACGAGGGGAACGACAGCCACGATATCTCTCGAGTCGTATCGCCCTCATATCGAAATACTCAGCATCATAGCGCAGACGACGACGGCGAAACATCAGGCAACGCCTGTGTATATACGAGTGCTTATCCATGAGGACAGCCCTTCTATCAAAACGAAGGCAAGGTCATTCGCACTTCGTCGGTGAACGCACAAATAAACGATCGATATTCATGTGAAGAGACGTTGTCCGAACGTGCCAAGGCTTTTGCAGTCACGGTGACCACGACCCTTCCACACTGAAACAGAAGCACATCCAGTGGAGCAAATTTGTTTCAAGATGATCCATCTTGCATTTACAACATCGAAGATAAAAGGATGTACAACTCTGTGCTTTTATACTTCTCAACTGGTGCCGTCCGTCTGAGATTGCAGCTGCGCCTGATTCTTTGTTGCGCCTGGGTTACCTCTGTCGAGAAACCCTAACCCGCTCACGTGCTCAAGCTTCTTGCATTTTCCCAAACTAGCACAATATCTAAACGTCGTCCGCACGAAGTACATTTACGCATTTCTATTCATTCTACATGATAATTTTAATTTTCTCGACAACAAGAACATACATCGAGCTGTAGGTGCATTACGTACATTCAACCTGTGTAAGAAGTCAGCAAGCTTTCAAAAAACCATAAAACAAGCACTAGGGCCGGCGCGAAGACGACGCTGAGTGAGAAACAGAAATAAATTGCTGTAGCTCCGCGGCATACTTGGTTCTCCGTATGGCAAACAGCTTGTTTGATGCCTCCTTGTCTAGCACCTCCCAGAGGGCGAAGCCACGGGCCCCTTCGTCGTCCGCAGTCCCCGGCCGAATGTAGTTGGTATTGATCACAACGGTGACTATTCTTTTGTTTTCATCAATATCATCGCCGCTTTTTCCGCTACTCGTCATGTCGCATTGCTCCTTCAATTTCCGGTCTGAGCCAGTTCTGGCCTGCGCCTGGCAGCTTGTTTGCTCGTCACCATCACTGGTCCCGGCGCTGGTTTCGCCGGACGAGGATGCAGCGTGATTTTGTGCAGGAACCTCATCCTTCTTTCTGTGATGGTGGGAACAGTCGGTGGCGCCGTCGCTAGACAGCACCGTCGGCGTCGCTTCACCGTCGTCGGTTGGAGTCTGTGTCCGCGACGACGACGCAACGCTGGAAGCTTCGCTATCACTCGATCCTGCCGACGTTGACGACGTTTCTCCTGGAGCTGATGCGTCGGGGGTAGTCACATCACTAGCTCGTGGATGATCGTCGGGAATGAAAATCAGATCCTCCGCGTCCGCGATCAAGTACGGTGCGTAGAAGCACTCCGATTGGTACTTCTCTTGGAGACAGCACAGCGCCCGTGACATGATATCACACTCTTCGTCGGCTGGGGCCAGGCGGTACTTGTTCACCGTGAGCGCGAGGTGTGCCCGGGTGGCCCGATTTGGCAGTTTGCTCAGTCGCTGGAGTCTGCGTAGGTGGAAACACTTGGTCCAGCTCTTCATAGTCCACTCCTTTTGTTCCTCACTTGCCGTCCAGCCGGCTTCCCCCCGCATCGGCAAACGAAAGGAGTCGCCTTCTCCGGTAGTCCAATAGCGCCCTATGTTAGGGGGCGGACCGTTGTCGGAATGTTGCTTCGGCAAAGGCGACAGGAGGGTGCTCAGGTGGCTATAAGCCCAGTCGCTACCGGCCGAGCACTCCTTGAGGTTCGTCAACAGGCCTGCGGGACGACTGTCGATGAAAACTCGAAAGTCGCCACAAACATCGAGAAAAACCTCAAGTAAAGACGGCTCGAGCATGCACTTGCGCACAGCGCTGCAGGATGGAGGAAACCTGAGAAAAGCTCGCTTCAGCTGTTCCCCCCACTGGAACATTGTTTCTTCGGTGTCCGCAAGCCCCGTGAGGTTACCGCAGGCAGCGGCGATGTAACCACGAAAGTCTGCTTCTTCCCGCTCCAAATCCGGGTCGGCCGGAGTTTCCTGAGCAAGTTTAGAAAGCGCCGCCTGATATTTACCGCCGAGGCCATCGAGAAAATCCTTGTGCACGCGACGGAAAAGTACGTCGACATTGTTATCACTACGGTAAAACTTCGCCACGTGAATGTCCAGGCCTTCTGATGAAAACGTGTTCACAACACTCGGCTCCCCAGCTGAACGAAGGCGAGCGAGCTCCCTAAAGAGCTCTTGCTTCGACCGGAGGGTGTGCACTTTCATGTCCAAAACCTTGCAGTACAGATCGGTGCCGCGCGGAATTTTCTTCTCAGGTGGGGGACCGGGAATCGAAAGGTCCAGGTTACCGCTAGACTGCTCCACAGCAAGGACGTTAGCACTACTAGCGATGTTTGAGTCAATCTGCGAGCGAATATCAGCGGCGAACTCCTGTGTGGTGTCCTGCAGTCTCTCCCTAGTCGGTGCCAAGCGGCTGCCTTCTGGGAGCGGGTGGGCGGCAAGAACTTCGCGAAACTGCTCCAAGTCCTTGATCGTGTACTGTCTTGCAAGAAAATCACTCATGTTCGGGTCGTCGGGTGTCGAAGAACGGTAAAACGCGTAGTCGAACTGGGACACAAAGTCCTCCCGAAGCAAATCCGGTTCGATTGGCTTGCCGGTTTCAAATGTGACGGTGTCAGTGGGTCCGATTGGCGTTCCTGCAAGGTTGACGTACTCGATATGAAAATACGTGGGTTTGACTTCCTTCCCGGTGGCGTTCTTCGTTATTTCGTTCGGCTCCCCGAAGCCACAGCATACGACTTTGGAGAGTAAGTCGAGAAAAGAACTACGTTGCTGCGTCTGCGGCTGATGCTGCACCATCTTGATCTTCCCTCTTTGTGAACTCCACCCGGCTTCTAGTGGTGCGGAAGCGGAAGACTTCTAACAATTATCTGGTAGGAATCAATGAATACGACATAAACACCGGACCGGACCGACCGAAATAAACGAAAATACGAAAGCGCGACGACTTTCTCGGTTTCCGAAGTACATCCTTGATGGGCAAGAACGATCACGTATTTATTCGAGGTTGCGATGCCGAACTAGCTGAACCACCAGAACGAAAACGACAGCATCCAATCGGTTGCATTACGATGACCCAACGCCACCACGGACTCCGGCATCAACGATGGGAGCGGTGCGCTCACGACTTCCAAGCAACTATGTTCTCAACAACGGTAGCGACTCTTTCGAAAAACGATACCACAGACAAAGTACAGTGCCAAAAATTCCGAGGGCGCAGAGTAACGTCAGAACGGCATGGGACGTTGGTTGAACCCTGTGCGTGTGGGTACACATGGGCACCACCAGAAGACAGCAAATTTATCACCTCCAGCAGGGAAGAGACGACTACCATGACGATGCCTGGACGTGTGGTGCAATGTCTTGGACTGACGCAACCACACTGTCTATCTTTGTCCCGATGATTTTTTCCTGAAGATCACGAGGTAGGTGGACTCCGTGCACCTCCTACTCGACCACGTCACTCACTTCTGTGTCTCTATCACGAGCGACCGCTTGATCGCTCTTCAGCCCACCAGAAGCACTATTTTCGGTCTCGGGGACTGAAGATTCTTTTTCCTTTTCTGCCTCAGCTAGCTTTCGATTTGCCTCTGCCTTTGCCTCCAACTTCTTAATCAGTTTTGCCCATTCGACCTGGTTGTGTACCTGCTCGAGTTTTTCGAAGAGCATCTCCGTCTTCAGGAAGTGTTTCGATGCCTCTTCTCCAGCCTCGTCAGAGAAAATGCTGGCAGATTCCGGCAGCGTGGGGTCACGAAACGCGTTATTGACAAGGACCGTGACGACGTATTCCAGCTGTTTGCATCCTTCGTGCACTGTTTGTTCGTTTTCCCGCTTGTCTTTCGCGTCGTCCGTTTGAGACACTAGAGCGGAAGCAGCATCGCATACAACAGGCGAAATCGTGTCGGGGGACGAGACCGGCTGTGGGGAAGACGACGTTGTAGTCGGGCAGGGGGAGGTGCATGAGGGCGCAAGACTTCTGGGAGACTTCTTATCAAACAGCGCGGGACTTTGATTGGTCTCGAAATCAGCAGAACTAGCAGTCCCAGTGCCAGCCGGTTCATCTGGTTTGTCCGTGATGTCGTTCTCCTGAGCGGTGCTACCTGATGTCTCGGAGTCGGAGCTTTCCGCTTTTTCAACAACGCCCGGGCTATCAGTACTCGTCGCACCACCCTCTACTTCCCGCACCAGAACCTCCGTAGAATTTTTCTCATCGACGGGAGTCGGCTCGGAAACGACAAAACTAAGGTCGTGCGGCCCGGCGTAGGAGTAGGGAGCAAGGAGAAACAGATTGGGATGCTCGTCTTTCAGACATTGCAGCGCTTTCCGCATGATCTCTGCCTCTTCGTCCGATCCTGCGTCGCGGTACTTGTGCTGCGTCAGGGCGAAATGGACGAAACAAGCAGGCGACACACCACTCTGACCGCAGCGTAGCAGTTTCGAGGCCAGAAAGCTTTTCTCCCTTCCATCGTAATCTTTGTTATCCGCGTCCTCGCCACAGTGCAACAACCGAAATGCGGGCCCCATGCCGCAACAGGAATAGCCGTCGGGCGGGACGATTAGCCTCTTGTAGAGGTGAATGTACCGGAGCGCGTTCTCGACGGTTGCTTTCTGGTCATTTTCTGACAGCTCTCCATCAACAAAATCAGCAATTTCTGGACGAGTTTTATTTTCACCGTCCTCTGAGGTTCTTGGTCCTCCATCCTCACCTCCGCGACCGCCTTCAACATCTCCCGCGCGCTGCTGGAGCTTCTTCGTCGCGGTCGCGATTTGCTCGTTCGCCCACAGCAAACCGCGACGGCAGTCGGTCAGCATCCAGACGGGGCCGATAAATTTGCCGTCCACGAAGACCTGGCCCTCCCCGTATATGTCCATGAACACTTCCAACAGATTTGGCTTCGCCGGGGGCGTTGGCCAGATAGTGATCTCCGGGGTAGCCGCCATCCGCACGAACGCCTCGTCAAGCGTGCGCCACACCTCGTACCGACCTCGCTGGGTCTGCAGATACCGCTCGATGATGTCCTCCAACTGCTTTTCGGTGTATTCCTCCGCACCCAGCTTTCGCTGGTCCGCATCGCTGTCTGGGTCGCGCAGGAGGGCCAGGTACTGCGACGCTTTCAAGAGCTTCGCATCCGTTTCCCACTCCTCCTTCCAGACGTGCGCAAACAGCCTCTTGGACAGATCGCAGTCGGCGATCGTCTGCTTGTTGAAGTCAGCGCGCTCCTGGTCGAGCAGACGAACCTTCATCTCGAACAACTTGCAATATAGTTCGGTCGAGCCACTGCCATCAACCTGCGTACGGGTGTGGTTATTGTCCGCTTGTTTCTTCTGGGGCTTACTTTCGGTTGATTCGTTTTCGTGCTCGTCCGCAGTTTCATCAACTGGCGGCCTCTTCGGCCGCAGCGGCTTATCTTTCGGGTGCAAAGGATGCAGGTCTCTCAAAATGCGAACGAGGGAGCTTTCCAGGCCATCCGTGTAAGAACCGGTCCAATACTGTAAACTGCCGTCTTCCATGTCGGTCGCTTCGTGGAGTTTCTGTAGAAAAAGCCCGCGCAATGACCGCTTGTCTAAACTTGTCACGTCTCCTTCCAACAACGGATCTCCCGCCAGGTTCACAAACTTGATGCGAATCTTCGGTGCCTCGTCCTCGTTTGCTTGTTTTGTGTCTGCATAATCCTGCAGTTTCGGCTGCGCAGCAGCATCAGGGTTTGCTTCTTCACCGTCGACGGTTGCGTTCTTCGATCCCTCGTCTGTAGGAGCGGAAGAAGTATCTGTCTCATTTTGCTTCTCTTCAGTATGCTGAGCACTAGCAGTCTTCGCGCTGTCTTTCTTATCGTTTCCACCGCCTTCCACGCCTTTCCCCTGCTCTGGTGCCTTCGCAGAGGTAGAGGTCGAGCCTTTGGCTTTCTCTTTCTCATCGGGATCAGGTTTCTTCAAGACAATCTTGAGTGCGTGTTCAAGAATCGCGCGGAGATTCAAAAATTCGCTATCCTCATACTGTTGCATGTACGTGATACGAGTTGATGCAGCTTCATCTTTTGCGCCAGCCTTTTCCGTAGTTCTTTCGCCTCCCTGTCCTTCTGCAGGCTGCTCGTGGTCCGGTGAAGGTTGTTGACTACTGTTTCTGTTATTTTCGTCAAACAGAGCAGCACATGGCTCCTCTGCAGTTTTAGCTGCATTGTAGTTACTTTCGCCGTCCCTCTTTTCTTCGTCCACCGACAGAGCGGGGGCGGACGAGGCAACATCCGTTTCGCCATGATCTGTCATCTTGAAACACAAGATGGTGAGATGGAGGGCCGCAGGAGGAGATGAACGGCTGAGTTTTACTATTTGTCTCTGCGAGTAAACAAACAAAAAACGCCTGCAACACGAAAACGTAGGACCGTGAAAAACTACTGGCCGCGAGTTTCAGAAAGAAAAACGGAAAAGCGTATAGGATCAAAATGTATGATCTCTTGGCAAGGTCGTTCCGCGGACAGCTTCCTTTTCACGCAAGAGTACACCGATGTGCGTTTTAAAGGAACACTGTTGCGGCTCTTGAAAACTGCTCGCGGAAAAACAAAATTTAAATTGTGGAGCGCCTCAAGAAGGCAAGGACCATAACAGTCACGACGATAGGACACTGGCCACTGCAGAACAAGTCGATTGACTCTCACTCTTGGAGCTGAACAACAACGACACCAACCTCCAAATCCAGCGCAGTAATTTCCTCATGTCGCGGCAGTCTGATTTCCAGGAGCTGGTGCCATGAGCCAGTAGTTGTTATTGATGACGTGGTCGATCTCCGTGTTTAGTGCTGCGCGACTGCCTTCTCGCTGCATCTTGGTCCACTCTTCCTTCGTGAACGTGGGCTGCAAATGGGCCGACATGTCGTCCGGAAGTTCGAGCACGTGCACGGGATGAAGGGGCCGCTGCTGCGCCGCTCCTGTGCCAGATGGGCCTGCTTCTGTTACAGAGAGATTTCTTTCGCTTGCTTCTCCTGCGTTGTGAAACAGGTACTCCGTGTTCTTTATCAAGACGCCCACATTGTACACGTCGAGGGATGGACCGTCCTCGCCCCCGCCAGGGCTGCTGCAGTCTTTGTCTTGATCATGATCATCTTTTGTTTTGTTGTTCGACAAGGAGGGGTTGCCTGCAGCAGCTTCGGCTTCTACCACGCTGGGGCTCGAACAACAACTCGAGCCTGCCGTAGTTGCAGGAGATCGCCCCGTCGAACTGCTCGAACTACTTGTTGCGCTTGTGGTTGTTAAATGAGACGATGACGTTGTCTCGGTCTCCGAGATGCACTCCTTCTTCTCGTCAGAATGTGTTAGTGTTAGCGCCGATCCGGCGCTGTATGGCCGCGCAGCGTCTTCGTCCGGGGAATTGGGACTCGCATCTTCAACGCCTGTCTTTGCGGTTTTTGCTGCGGCTTTACGAGGACCTTCTGCCAAGGCGAAGCGTCTACTCTCTGGCGTCGAAGCAAGTCCTGAAATCGGGCCTCGTGGACTTGGCGACCGCTTCTCTCGCGAATCATAAAGGCATTGCTTGTATTCGGATTCACGGAAGTTGTATCCCTCGTCTCGCCCAAAACCACTTGAACCGCAAGGAGTGTCGACGTGGTCTAGCAGTGTTTGGCATTCGTTTGGTGTCGCCACGTCCTCCTCTTCGTCCTCGCCGTCTTGTTTCCCTTGCAGGACAAACAACAGATCGTCGTCACTGGTGCAGAAATACGGCGCGACGATAAATTCCGACGGGTAGGCGTTTTTCAAATCCGCCAACGCGCGCGTCATCGTCGTCAAATCTTGTTCTGATCTGACTGGGAAAGGTTCGTCTGCTGCTACCTCGGGCGCTTTCTTTTCCGATTCTCGTGATGGCGATGAAGGTGCCGTCGCTCTTGCCGAAGCAGCTCCGCCCTCGGGCGGCTCTGTCCTCTCTGTGCTCGGTGTAGAAGCGGTTGCAGCAGTAATGGTAGATGAGTCAGTTGTGCCTGTGAGTGGTCTCTTCCTCTTTGACAACTGCGAGAGGGACTTCATCAGCGGCATTGACCCGAGTGCGTACTGTGCACGGCACGCGGGCGAGTGCAGAGAGGCAAGGCGCTGCAGTTGCTGCAAAATTACGCATTTCCGGTGTGCGTGGACAATGTGACTCTCCGGCTCGTCCCCCGCCTGCGTTCCCGCTGCTTGCCCGCCCGCCACGTGTCCCGCACTGTCCGACTCCCCGCAACGCAGCAGCCGAAAGGAGGGCGCAGGACCGGTGCATTCACGACGAATGGTTGCGCCAGTGACCGTGCTTTTCTTTTGGTCGGCCAAGGTGGTCGGATTAGGCGCAGAGCCAACTGTTTCGTCCTCGTCCAACGGTATGTCGCACTTGTATTTGTCAAAACGGTAGAACCTGCCAATCACCGGTATTAGTTGGTTGAAAAAGAGCACGCCGTTCTCGTCTTCCTTCATAACCTCGGGCGTGAGGTGACACAAAGCCCAGGTGGTGCCCCGCATGCACTCGCGGAAGTCCTTCATCAGCCCGACAAATTTCCCGTCGACAAACACGACAAACTCAGCAGATATGTCCATGAAAACCTGCAGGGTGGCCGTCTTCGTGAATTCCTTCCCGACGCCCCGGCGCTGGTTCTCAAATGCCCTTCTCGTGCCGACAGCGCCGCGCTGCGCCACCCGATTCTGCTCCCACAGGTGCGCAATTTGCTCGTTAAAATCCGGATGGGCTTTCTGCAGCTCTTTGCCGATCGCCTCCGAGCTGTCTTTGCTCCGTTTCCACTTGTTGAACGTGCCCTGGCAGTGCTGGAACGTGGAATCCAGCTGGTTTTCCACCTCCCAGAACCGGAGCAGCAGCGTCCTCTCCTCGAGCAACACGCTGTGGTCCGGGCTGTCGGGACCGCCGGCGCGCAGCCGGGTCTGGTACTCCTCCAGCTCGCGCTGCTCGGAATCCAGCAGTCGCACCTCGATCTCCAGCAGCTTGCAGTACAGCGGCGCAGGCTCTTCGTCGGCCGGATGCAGGCCGTTTTCTCGTTCATCTACTTGCGCTTCTATCGTACTATTTGAAGGCTCTTGTTCAACTTCAGCCTCGTGGTCCCCTTGATCTTGTGCCTGGCCCTGCTTCGACGCCCCTTCGCTATCGACATCTTCGGAGCCGGAAGTTGAAGATAAACAACTTCTTGTTGCTGCTGCATTTTCATCCTCGTTGCAGCCGGTTCCTGCGCTCGTTGAGCTGGTTGTACTACTCGTCGACACGGATACTCCAGCGAGTTCTTCTACTAAACGGTCTTTCATTGTGCTGGTGGAGGCCTCGTCCGCCCGGGCCCGATACTGAGCGTCACACTTGTTCTCGTCTCCCTCGTTCAAATCTTGTGGTTGTGCGTCCCGAGAAGTCTCACTAGCAGCTCCTTCTCCTTGACCTACCGCTGTGCTCGTCGTAGCCTGCGAAGGAGGTGATCTTATTGTTATTTGTTTGGCTTCATTTTTTGTCTCTCCTTTTCCTTGCGGTTTTCCGACAGCAGAAGCTGTTGTGCTTTCGCCTGCATTGTCATCTTGCGCAGTTCCCGCTAACACCGGCTTCCCCTCTTCAGAGAGCGCGTACCAGTGCAGAATGTCGCGGAAAAACCAGTACTGGTGCTCCATCATGGCCCTGTTCCGCTCCTCCTGCCATCTGTAAAACTTGCGAACGTTCTATCCACAGAAAAAAACCCATCCACATCCATTTTTTGCATGACAGAGACAGAATTTTATGTATGTTTTGCATGACAAGTTGGATGTGGATGTGTGTTTTTTCCTGGATACGTTCTCTCGTTCCTCGACAAACTTGGACTTTACCAACTCCAAGGTAGTGTCCAAAACATCTTTCCGCTCTACTTTGACCTTTTGCTCCTCGAAAAACCAAAACGGGAAAAACCGATCCCCGGCAAGGTTCACGAACTGTGCCCAAACAAAATCGGGCGGGACCTCGTCTTCATGCAGAAGTGTCGTAGTAGGCGCTGCTGGATCAGCATTTTTGCCCGTAGTAGAAGTCGCGCCGGCTGTGCTTTTCGTGGCCGAACCATCAGCGGTAGTGGTGGGCTTGCCAGTCTCATTCTCATCTGAACCTACGCCGCTATAAAGTGTCCAGCCAAGTTTTTCGTTGCCCACATTCAGGAAAAGCTGCATCCAGGGCAGTGTGAGAAAGGGTTTGACAGCACTGCCATTGATGAAGCCGGAAAAAAATTTTGCGCCGAGTATTCGTGATGCAAGCGCCACTGCGCTTGAGAAGACTCGCCGTGCCCACGCCACGACAGATGGCAGGATCAGGCGCGTGAAGCCGCCGAGCATTGTTGGTGCTTTTTTCAGAGAAACGCTAAAGGGCGCATGGACGCAAAATCGGAAGATGGAGATCCCGCAGTGGGTCATAGCGTACTTATCTGAGAACTTCTTGGATCACGGACAACTTGAAGATCTTCTTCGCCTGCCACCACCTGCGTTTCATTGCACCTGTCGTTCTTCTCCCTCATACCATGCACATTGCTCTCGCGGCACTCTCATTGCGACCTGGTCTCACGAACACACTTGGAAAGCGATAGACGCGTCACACAAACTACGCGCTCTGGTGTGTCTGCTGGTCTCTGCAACAGATACAGAGGCAGAACAGGGCTACTGTGTAAATCTGTTTCGAAACATTTGAAATACAACTCGCAAAAGCGTACAACAACTGCCAACATCAACAGATACTGGAACAACATCAAGCTCTGAAGATCTGGTGCAATTATCTCGAATTCTGGACAAACGTCCTCGCGCGGCCGAGGCAGAAGCTACTCGCTAGACACTGCAGAGCGGCAGGTGCCACATCATCGCGTCATAGCTTTTTTGCGTCGACCCTTCTACACTTCATCGCCTGTTCCTCTCTGCTCACGCCCTTGTCTGACATTAATCAAAAACGCGAATAACATCTTGTGTCTGGTGTATAATCGAATAACAAAATCAGAATAGGTTTGGTTTCTGTAGCTAGCAGCAGCTCATGCGGGCACAAGAGTGCTCTACTGTTTGACTTTAATTTGCTAGAATCGAATTTACAAGGATAGGATAGTGAACCGGTTCGGATTGGTTGAAATCTCTATTTTTGTTTTAGTATAGTCAAGTGTAGTGGCGCCTTACGTTGTTCCCCTCGTGCTGTAAACAGTTTTGCGCAAGACTCAGCGATTTCGCCAACTAGCCCGCCGAGCCTCCTCCGCCCTTTTTGTTTTTGTCGTCCTCCTTGGTTGCGGTGACCTGCTGCAAGCCAGCTTCGTGGACAATGGACGTGTGATTCATCTGGATCTTTTCCATTTTTTGAGTCATCGTCGTCAAGATAATGGTATGCACTGCAAATATGTCTGGGTCGGGAAAGTTGTGATGCATGTCAGTGAATAGAAATGGCACTGTAATACACTGCCAAGCATGACAGACTTTTCCGTGCCTCCGTGTTGCGTATTCCGCATGACAGACAGCGTTTTTGCATGACAGACTAGAGGACCTCTTGCTGGCCACGCAATACAGAGCTCAGTGTCATGCCAGACTAGCATGACAGATCTCGTATTCTTCCAGACCCAGACATTTTTACATTTGATAACTGGCGAGGTGGTTGGTCGACTCCAGCACGGACGTCAGCTCGTTTCGCCATTGGTTCTGGATCTCATATCAAAAGGAAAAATCCCCCCTCCCCATATTGAAAAGGTATGCTGCCGAAAATTTATGTTGCTGATTTGAGGTCACAAATCGTCTCTGTGTTGCATGAAGGCAACTCCACAACAAGCTCCGCCGCATTCTACAGGCGGTTTGTCGTGCTGTTTTAGCTACAGCGTAGACGTCTGTCATGCTAAGCGCCTAGGCCAAAACCTGGCGGCTCGGGATTAATATGGACCTGCAGTCCTCGCCAGCAAGACAAATCTGATTTGTGTACGCAAATCCAGCATCAGAAAGTTCGTTTTAATATGGGGAGGGGGGATTTTTCATTCTGATATCTCACTCATGGCATCCTGTAACCCCGTGGACACGAGTTTCAACCTGATGTGTCAAGAATAATGTGATTGATGCGCGACGACATCGCTGTCTGTATTGCTCATTGTTCGTAAAAAATAAAGTACGATCATGCAGTGAGGACCACTATTTCAATTTCGTTGCGAAAGTTCAGGTTCAGGAAACAAGAAAAAAGAAAACATCATTCATGTCGTGCGCCTGTACGTTTCTATGCAGCCGAACTCGAGCTTGTTTTCGCCACCGTCAAACTCTTCCAGTTTGGAGAAGACGTTTTCTTGAAGCGTTGTAATCTCGTGGAAGGCATCGTCGTTACTGTTGCGGAATTGCGGCACCTGAATTTTTGTATGAGTACCAGCTGTAGTGGTCACTCGTCGTGCAAGATGAAAATGATGGACCTACTGCATCTCCGCATTCAAGTAGATCGTTTTGGTTCTTTTTGGCGAAAAATGCAACGCCAAAACGAAGGCACCACGACAACTCTTCGTCCTTCGTCGTACTTGGAAAAACAAAGAAAAGCGCACGGGCTGCCGCCCGAGATCCCTGCGGAAGCCTGAGCTTCGCACTACGTCGCCGTCATCAGGAGCGCTAGGCGACATCCCTCTGGCGTCGCACCCGCGGGACCCCGAGGGAGGAGTTAATTAGGTCAGCACAACCAGATCCACATCCTCAACCCCAATGGGCGTGCGGCAATGGCAGGATTGCACGGCTGACCGTACTCCCCGCGCGATTGCAGGATTGCACACGTGTGCCCTGGGGTGGTCAGAATAGCGTCGCTAAACACGACACGTGGAAAATTCATATTGATCTGTGAAAGCATCAAGTAGGCAAGGCCGATGTAAGGCATGTGTTCTCAATTAGCGATGTCGTGCCGTCACACCTGTGTGCGGCAGAAGCAAACGCAGCGCAGCGCTGCAGAAGAGATGCAACTCCAAAAAAGGCGCGGGCTGTCAGAGCATCCCTCCACTGCCCCCCGCACTACGTTGCTGTCCTCAGGGTGGCCAGCCCCTCGAGCACCGCACCCGCGGGACCGTACCGTGCACACTTCAAACTTGAGGGAACTGTCGCATCTAAAGGATGCTCTCAAAGTGCGGCGTGCGAATATGACAGGTATGCGCGCCCTCGCGCTACCCGCGCCATTGTAGTAAGCGCAGCCGGTTGAAGTAGGTAGCCAGAATTCATGTGCTAAACACTACAGCTCGGGCAAAAATGACGCGACGACATACACGAAGCCGTGTGATAGAAGGTTTTTCACCTCCACCGTCGTCAACTCTCTGGCTCACGGACACAAAAAGGAAGCGCGGTTGCCGTTCTTGGGAGTTAATGTTGACACACGGATCACTACTTGCATAACCAAGAGGCCTTGGCCTACAAAAGGAAAAGTGAAACAGAACAGCTACCGAGAATCGTCGTATGACGTCAATGGCCTTGTTGGTGCTCAAGATGTGCACTAGTATCTCGTCTTCGTCAAGGAGCCTCTGTATTTGCACTCGGCTAATTACGCCTTTCCTGTCGAAGTCGTCGAATTCGGCTTTTAATTTTTGAATCTCCGCTGTGTGGCCCATGGTTTCTACCTTCTGCTGCACGAGAGATCGAATCTGCTCCCGTTTTACCTCCCACGCTTTCTGCAAGACGTCTGGCAGTGCGGATACCTCGATAAACTGCTCTTTCAGGTGCCCTCGATCCTCGTCCAGTTCGTCACCGCCAAGGAAGACTTCACCCTTCAGCTTCGCCGCGTAACTTATCAGGAAGCACCTGAATATACGTGTTAGTGTCGTGTCGATGAGGGTCAGCAGACAGAAAGCGAATCAGCGCTTTCTTTCCTCAAGTCCTTTTTGTTTAAATAGGTCATAGCTGCTGCTGCAATGCCTGACGAGGTGCAACTACATCAAACTTACCATGTCACACTGTCCTGCGCGAATGATTTTCTGCCTTGGTGTCGTGCCGAGTACGTGACAAGTGTGAAGGTGTCGTTGACGATCGCCATAAACATGTTGACTAGAAGGAAGTAGACGACGATCAGGTAGGTGACGTAAAGTGCTTGTGGCAGCCAATGGTTGTTCTCGAACAGAAACTCCAACTTGACGCCTTTTGCAAGCATGAAGAACAAGGTTGACATCGAACTCAAGAAGGTCTGGAACTCCGGCACGTCTTCTCGGTTGTAGAAGCCTACCCAGAAAGCGACACCTGGAAGCGTAAAGTTGTGCAGGCACAGATTTTTATAAACACTAAGCGGAACAAGCAGCAACGCGTGCCGATTGCACAGATGCAAATTTGCAAAAAAGCTAACATGCAGTCATCAGAAGAATGAAAACATGCAGCAAGTAAAAAAATACTGAAGCCGAAGATTATAGTCGCAAGCAGCAGGGCGAAGACTGCCAAATCCTCGAAGGTTCTTTCTATCGTCCTCGTGAGTATCCTAAACCTATCCAGCAGTGTGAAAAATTTGAGTGTGCGCAGCCAACACAGCAGACCTATGACGGACAGGAGTCCATCGCTCGCGACCAACCCCGCTCGCAGCTTCGAGAAACTGAAGAAAAACTCCGGCATGCCGAGCATTTCGGGCAGAAACTGGGTCTCGGAAAGCACGTCGGTGAAGGTGGTGAACTGCACGCCCAGGTGGATCCCGAAAAGCACGATGATTACCACGTCCAGGAGATTCCAGGCGTAGAAAAAATACCCCAGCCGGTTTTTGTACATAAACCACACCGCGGCGACGAAATACAGGAAGAAGAAGGCGCGGAAAATGACGAGAAACATGAAGGACACCTTTTCGTCCGTTGCGAGGAGAGACATGCTCAACAACGTCGCTCGGATTGTATCGCGCTGAAAAAAATGATCATACTTATACTTTTGCCGTTTTTGACCTGAAAAGTAGCACTTTTCTTCACAGATTCTGCAAAGACTGAAAATGCGGCGACTTTGGGTATGATCACTTTTATTTTCCTGGCGTGGGCCACATGTAGTGGGCCATACCGCCGTGTTTGAAAAAAGTGATCATACCATTTTCCGGCGCCCTAAAATTGGGGCGCTCATACTTTTTTCAACTTTTCTAGAAGAAAACGCGACAAAAAGTCGTATGACCACTTTTTTTAGCGCGGCGCTATTCTTTCAAAACGCAGAAAAGCGTCACATTTAAAAGAATGCAAATCACGGGCGGACAAGGCTGGTTCTGAAAAAGTACCAGAATCGCCATAGCGTCCTGGCTAAAAAAAGTGGTCATACGCTAAAAAGTGCACTTTTTTGCCTCGATTCCGATTGATTGGATTTTGGCCAAAAATGGCGAAAGTATGAGTATGATCATTTTTTTTGGCGCGATAGATTGGCACGTGGTCTTGCCGCACGGAAACTGTCCCGAAGGCGTTAAATTCGAAGAGGAGGCGGTTGGACACAATGATGTTCGTGTTCGGGTTCACGACCTGTATTTATAGTATTATCATTGAGGTGCAGTTCAGGTTCACAGACACACATGCATCGTGCCATTTCCAATCGTGAATGTAGATGTACAAAACAAAGACTCAACTTGTCATGAAAGGGTCGCGCATGATTTTATGCAGGATGGTATCATGATGCATAGAACAAAGCTCACATGTTGTTGTGCCATTTTTCTGAATGTGATTAGACACCGTCTTATGAAGATGTACAAAATCTGACGAAGTCATCGTCTTCACTGTAAAGACACACGAGTAGATATCCTCAACAAAAGTGGCGCAACGGCAGGTAGAAGTGATGGTATTGACATACCGTGTTCTCGACAATCACGGCTCGTGTGCTTTTGTCCAAAAAGTCCCAACTCCTCAGCTCCGTGATTACGTTTTCTGCTTCGCGCCTTTTCAGCGGCAAATCGAAGTAGAAACCCTCCCCGGGGTAGACCGCGTGTCTTCCCTGCATTGTCGTCATGCTGGCGTTGTTGCGCATCAAATTCTGTATACTGGGCAATTTCACCGAGCCTGATAGAGAGTTCGCATTGAGCGCTTCGATCGCCTTAGAGCGGTCGAGTGAATGCGTGTAGAAGTCCTTCACTATCGCTGGCACGTGCTTCGCGGGGTACCTTGAAATTTTCGTAGGCTTTGATAGATAAAAAGACCAAAGTTTTTGCAGTTGCTTGTCGTGTGCTGAGCGTTCACGTTCTCAACATATCATAAGGCGAAAGTAAATGAATGGCAACGCGGTTTTGGTTTTCAATCATCAAAGATCACGAAGACTTTAGCTTTACGTTTACATATAGGCACGCTAGCAAATTTTCGGTACGTTAATTGCGATTCCACTTCTTCGGAAAACGGAGGATAGCATGCTATAGGCGTTTCATCGACTGCGCCTCCCTTGCCGATCTTCAGGCCCGCAAATTCCGTACGAACGTTGCAGCCACGATTTTTCTGGACACGAAGTTGTCTCACCCGCGTGTTTCCCAACATAACGATGGTCTTTGTGTCGCCACAATATCTGATTTCGATTTTGATGTGTACAAAAAATCTCTTCAAGTTCTTGAACTAAGTGACGCCAAAAGTCTGCTAGCGGGAAATGTGCTTATGGTGTGTGCAGCGAAGTGGTGTACTTATTCTACGTTCCTCCAACAAAAATTTATAGGTATTGTCCTTTGGGTACTTTCACTGGCATTCTTACTCTGATACAATACCTTGGCAACCAGGGCACGGAGTCTGAATTTAACGTGTAGAGAGAGTTCGCCGTTGATTCCGACGTGGTTAGCGCGTAATATTCCGGCTGGTCTGTGAACAGTTTCGGTATTATGGTTTCCTGCAAAAACACCAAGAGCGTCGAGCCGTCCTTTACGTCATCGATCTTACAGGACCCCCGCTTCGCCTCGCAGCCGCCCCAGTACCGTTCTTGCTGGTTGCGCGCCTCCAGGTTCATGCCGCCGTCGCCCATGTAGCTGTTTATGTACAGCGTGAGCATCAGCACCCCAATCATGTAGAAAAACGCCTCGTAAACGATCAGCTTGACGTTGCGGTACTCGATCGACCGGGGGTTGTACAACCGTGTCACGTCGATAAACTCGTAATTCTTCCAGAATTGCACGGACCCAAAGTGCTCGTTGCTCATCTTCTCCTCCTCCAGGAGCTCGTCCAGGAACCCCAACGGGTTCCGCTTGCGATCCATGCTGGGCGATGAGTCGACCTCTACTTCTTGAACAAGTCGGTGGCGTCGCGCAACTTCTACCCCCGCAAGGTTTTCTCACTCTACTGCTGTGTGAGTGTGCTGTTCCTGTTCCTGTTCCTCGACAGCAGAGATTGCAATCGACACTTGCGAGGACCGCGGCCTCGTTCGCTGGGGGCACGCGGGCTCCCTTATTCCGCAAGTCCAATCACTAGTGACAGACTATTGACGAGGTCACGTCACGCCAAAGTCCATCTCGCGTGACGTTCCGTGAAACAACCGTTTCATCATGAAGCCGAGGGTTGAATTTATTCACTGTTCTTTCCGTTCTTGCTCAAAAAATTTAACTTTTTTTCATGCACATGGCAAGCAAAGCCAAACAAGCGAATTCGTGGGGTGTAATTTCTGTGATGAATAAAGCCAAAGTTCTGTTGTACGCAGCTTCTATTTCATAGTACTTGCTGCACGACGACGACTCGTAGCGGCAGCTAGAAGTAATTCACTTTTACAGAATACACGCCTGCGTAACCTATGACTCTGCCACCTCGAGACCGAGACGGGCCTGCTCACCATTTTTTCGTACATAATTGCTGCTTCGCTTCAGGGCAGGAGGTACACTAGAAGACGACCACACGCCCTCAACCTCGTCACCTATCATCCGAAACACAACTCCAATCACGTGGATGTCACACCATTCTGTGTCCCTCATTCTCGCTCAAGACTCTCTCTTCTCGTTAGTCGTTTCACTCTCTTCGACTACAAGTGATTTCCGGCGTCCTCGTCCTCCTGTCATGATATCCCTCTCTCTCTCTCTCTCTCGTGTGCAATATCACTTCCCTCCTGTCGTCTCCCTCTAGTGTGCAAGTACACAGAAATCATCTAAAACTTTGCTCGTAACTCGATCTTTAGGCACCAACAAATCGAGCCCGATATAGCTACCTTCTCCTCGGACCTCGCTACCAACTCCTCGGACGAACATGCACACGCTGATAAAGTGAGAAACTACTGTCACTAAAAAAAATTGACACGTCATGGACCACAATCGCTTATCGTAACGGGTAGCGAGACATCAACAATAATTTGAATTGCTTGCTTATGCTTTGCATCATTTGACAACTCTCAATCTCATATTGGTATTCAGTTCTTTTCGTTGCGAGAAATATTTATCGATTGAGAATCTATATATAACAAGTACTTCGGCGCGCATTTTCTCTAAGCTCAATATCGAGGAGGGATTGTCGCGGTGAATCAGAATCTGTATACTGACTCGTCATAACCGACTCATAGTATCAGTATGGCTTTTTCTTTCTTGAGAAGACTTGTGAGGTGACGCTGGCTCTAGGTTTCTTGAAAATGACTTTTGTGTCTAGGTGAGGCTCGTTGACGATCTTAGACGGAAATCTATCATCTCCTTGTTGGTGTATCGAAGACGAAGACGGTCGTGCCTTTTTCCAATACTCGAAAACCAAATAATGGACCTTGTACAGATAACGATAACCAAAAAATATCAATAAGAGTCCTGGACCCGATGGTAGACCAAATATGTTTGTTGAGTTGAGATAGCACTAACTTTCTGTTTCTTTTGAATATTACGCACACCCTTTCTACTTGTCCAGATTTACATCCAATAGAAGCGTAGAAAAATGTAGCTATTTATCATAACTAGTTCTCACGGTTCCAAATCTGCTATATTTGGCGGCTCTACGAGCTCAATGGTTCCGAAAAGCATATCCGCTTCTTGCTGTTGCCAACACTTCTTCGACGAAATCACCTGGCCACGTTCGCTGAAGCGTTTCGTCCCTATCTCTTCTCTGCAAGCTTTGCCACACCGTTCGAGTCGTGCGGTAATCCAGGAAATTTGGTTTCTGATGTATTCCTCGGGCGACAAGGCCATGAACGCTGACGTCGGCGCACTACCAATAACAGTAGCTGCAGCAGTAGAAGATCCAGTGATGATCATATCGTGATCTTCCGATGGCGCTGGCACCTTCTGGGTCGCAAGTTGTTTTACGAGCTCCGCCCTTTCGTTCTCCAGCACGTTCGCGATGCCAGAGGTGTGCAGGTCAACGTACTCCTCCTCTATCTCCGTTGGACTCGGTGGCTTGATTTTGCCCCTCTCCTGTATCTTCCTGATCCTGGATTCTAGCTGCATTTCTTTGCTCGAGGCAAACTCCTGGACCTTGACTTGCAGATCAGCACGTAGTTCCGACTGCTTTTTGAGGTTCGTGAGATTACTCAGAGTTGCAGAGAAGATACTTTTGCGGCCGGCGGACGTCCTCGAAGCTGTTCTGCTATTCACACCAAACGCAAACCCTGCGGCAGCCTCTTCCGGGCCTACTGCCTTATCTTCATCAAACTGTTTTACCAACTTCTGGAAACGCAAATCCAGCTGAATTTGTTCGCGTTGCAGCTTCTTCGTGACTGTAAAGGTCTCTTGGTACAACGGAATATCCTTCCAAAACTCTGCGTACCGCTCCTCTTTCGAGCCCGAGAGGGCATTGTGGCCGATGGCGTATTCCGCCAATGAGTTGTTCATTGCTGGAAGAAATTTCCGCGCGTAGATCAGTGCAGCGCGCTTTGCCTGGTACAGAAATGCTTTGCACTGCTGGTATTTGCTGGAGTGGATCATCGGCTCATCTGCACGCATGGCGGTCTGGTTTTTTTCTTCTAGAAATTCATCCTCGCAGCCTACCTCCGCTGCGCGCTTGAAAAGGCGCTCCTGGTCTTCAATTCCGATGACTGCTGGAACGCATGGAGGAGCTTCTTCTTGCCCTAGGGCTCGTTTGTTCCCAGATGAAGTGACTGAGACTTGCACTCCACCGTTCGTCGCTGCGTTTTTCCGCTCGTGCGTGATCTTGTTGTTGTTCATCGGCATATCAATATCATAATTCATATGCTCCATGTACGCTTTTCCACAAGCTTCTTCCAACATCTTGTATACCCACACTGTCGCAGTCGCCGCATTTTTCTCCATCGCCCCGGTCCGCAGCTTTTCGGCCGCGACGCGCCGATTCACCGGGTCGTGCGGGTTGCGTCTCAAAGCGTCGCACACCTCTGCCTTGGTCTTTGAGAACTTGTCCGAAGCCTTTTTTCCAGCCAACAGCGCTCTCCGTCCTACACCGGTATCCTTGCTGTTGCTCAGCGAGTGGACCTTTGCGAAAAGATCGGTCTTCTGGTCCTCTCGCCACTGATTCTCCATCTTTTCAATTTCTTGAAGCACGAACTCCTCATCCCACCCAGGAGAGGCTCCACTTAGTAGAGATGAAGACTTTGCAGCTCCCGTAGACCTGCTGGCAGCCTCCTTACACATTTTCTGGTGAGTTTTTCTGGCATAGTGGAAAAGCGCGGCTCTCCGTCCAATCTTCGTCTTTCTGTTCACTCGAACTTCTAGATGAGCAGCTCCAGCAGGAACATCGGAAGAACTACGAGCGGCGGTGGCTTTTCTGCTGTCAATGTCGACCTCATCGTGCGAAGGACTGTAGCTGGAAAAATCATCAGTTTCTGAGTCTTCTGAGCACGGTTCTTCGGAATCGGGGTCGCAGCCGTTCGAATTTCTGTCTCCTCTCATTGTTCCTCTCAACAAACTGAAAGTAGAACCTCGTCCTGCACCTGCAGTACCCTCGCTAGCAGTTGATGTAAATGCTTTCGATTTATCGTCTTTCCCTCCATTTCTTTTGTTTTCGCATGGCTGTTGCACAGCTGCAGCGGATGAAGGTGCTGTACGCATTTCCACCATTTCTTCCAGGCGGCGATCAGCGTTTGCCATTCTTACCGTCGCAGCAATGTCCTGACGGATCATCGTGGCGTCGCGGATCAACTGACCGAGTGCGTCATCCATGAACAGGTCATCGGAAAATGAGTGCGACGTCGATGTGCTACCTCCATAAATCGACACCTGGGCGCCACTGGCTATGAAACGCATTCTGGCTGCGAGACACTTGCCAGCCGCGCGAACGATCAGCTCGTCTGCCTGTAGGCCAACACGATGCCAAAAGGCAGAAAGCCGGAAGCGGCCTGTTGCGGGATCGGCGGAGGCGCGAACCAGCTCATCGCGTCTCTGTTCGTGCGCAAGGGACCAAGCATCCTGCTTCGCAAGTATATTCCTGCACGCATTTTCGATGAAAAGTTTTTTCTGCCTTACTGGAAAGTCTTGCTTTTTTCTGAACTTTCTTCTGTCGGTGCCGCCGCTCGTCTCCTTATCTTGGCTGGTGCAGATGTCGTGTCTATTGCTGCTGATGCCCCCGTCGTCCGCCGCACAAGCGTGAACCGTTTGTAGTGCGTTGTCCAGAGAATAGACGCTGCGGTGGCATTCGAGCTGAACGTTCGCCGCGTGAAATAAATGCTCAGCAAGTTGCTTTTGTCGCGCGGCGGGGTCGCCATGCCGATCTACGGCGGGCTTCCTGCTAAGCGCTATGCGAGAGCCATTTGCCAAATACGGGCAATTGTCCAACTCCGAGTCCAGGCTGACGATAGCGGACAGGACAATTGCTACCTCCAACCCGATCTTCATACTTACACTTCTTGAAAACTTTAGAGCAGAGTGGTCGTAAAACGAGAATAGAATTGGAGAATGTAGTTAAATCACGAACAAGAGAGAGATGAGATGTATTGAGTTTGATGTCAGTCCCTAAAATGAAATAAAACTTCTACGTATCTATAGTCTTTCTATGTTTCTTGTACATTTAAGTAGTACAGTGCTCGACGTTCGTTGTATGTTTCGCTGATACGAACGTTGTGACGCAGAATGAATAGAAAAATGATTCATACATAATATCTATCATGACCAACACCCCAATACTGTAGCTGCCAAGTCAGTTGTGCTCTTTTTGGATCTTGTTTGTCGTCAAAGGATTTATTTATTTCCAACGGATCATTTCTTGGGAACCGGAGCAGGGCCAGGGGCATATTTCAATTTTTGTTCTTTTCCCTTGGAATGCATCTCACATTTTGATTTGCATCATTTTGCGATCGGTGACAATTTCAATATACACACACGGAGGATCGACCGACTGCGGAAAGATCTTCGCATGTGGATATGGGATTTTATACTTTTGTTAGGATCCACTTCAGACTAGTAAGAAAGTAGTTCTCGATCTCGACAATTTCAATTTTTATTTCTCGAGGGGCCGGTAATTAACGTAAATAAGCCCAAGTCCTCCACCAGCTTTCGCTTGGTAGTTGCATGCTGTGCCACGCGCGCTCAGCAAAAGATATGAATCTTCTGAAGATGTGGTGACGTACTATGACTTCGTGTGTGAATGTGAATGGGTTTTGCTTTTAATGTTCGAGTTTCGAAAATAGGCGAATAGGGTTTCAAGCGATGAGTAGAGTCGCGTCGCTCCGAGTTTTTGTGTTTGTCTCATCTAATACTAATAGTCTACTCGATAATATGAAACATCGCGCGCTGGTACACATGCAGTGCAGCAGCCATCTTTTGTACTTGATTTGGCTGTTCTTCCTCTTTTTCTTTAGATTTGAGTAAGGTATACGAGCTGCAGTGTGCCTGAACTGCTATGAACCATCAAACCTTGCTGTTGATCGCAAGCCCAACCGTCCGCATCACTGTGATCAACAAGGCAGTAGCTGCTTGCGCGTTCTGACGTCGTCTTCAGAGGAAGAATCACTCATATCAGATTTTCATTTTGAGATGATGATCTACTTTTAATGCGGTGGAGCGTCCTTCCAACTGCAGACCCTCCGCTGGGTGAAGACAGGGCAATACCGCCCCCCGAACTCCGCTTCGGCCTCTGTGCAGTCCACGAATTCCACCGACCGACCGCCCTCCGTTACCATCTTGACCCCCTTGCCTGCTCGTTTTACGCACTCGTGCGTGAGCCTGGGTAAGAATTGGTCCAACCAGCACTCCAACATCAGGAGACTTTTGGTCAGCTCGGCCTCAATACAGTCCGCACCTTGCCACCAATCCGCGCCGTGCTTGTCGATGGCGCGTGTGCCGCGTAGTTTACCGGTTGCCTGTCAAATGTCAGTGATGTTCGTAATTGTCGAAAGAAAGAGCGGAGCTGAAGGCTAAACTCAGTAGAAGATTGGTATACAACAAAACGAGTATATCAAAAACCTCAGTTGGCAGCTCAGCAGCACGACATGCAGCAAAAAATTACATGATCGCGGATAACCACAAGAAACCGATCTGACCCATGGACGATCATGTTCATGTAGAGCTCAAAGACTTTGTGCCACTTCATGGGAAACTCCGTCTCGTTCCCCTCAGTGTCGTGACATCCGTCGAAGTGGAACTGTGGCCTCTTATCTTCCACGCCTGCTGGTGCATCTTCTTCTACAACTACATGGCCGCGAGGAGCTTCTGCCTGATAGTGAGGACTATCGTACTGCTTGAACCAGTTCCCACTTGCATCCCACACCCACTTATACGACGACCCTTGCTTTCTATTTCCCGTCTTGCCATTCTTTCCTTTTCCCTTCTTCCGCTTTGAATCGCGCACTGTGGATGTCGTGCATTTGAATTTACCGTAAAGCGATGAGGTAACGCTTGTCTGTGCTGTCGCTGACGTTTGATCAAGATTCCGACTCGCACTGTTGTCTGCTTGTTTTTCCCGGACAAAGTCCACTTGTCCAGTGCTCCAAAATAGGTGCTCGGCGTGCCCTGCGTTTTTGATGAATCGACTAGACGCATGATTGAGACGATTGTGTCACGAGACGCACAGCCGGAGCCAGCTCTTGCTTCACAAATAAAACAGAAAGAGAAACCAGAACAATAATGGAGCTGATAATCATGGGCACGATCTTGCTACACTACTGCACGTGGGCGAACGGGAACTCTACGAAGGACAAACGCGGTTCAGTTCTGAAGAAGTAAGGCCATTAGAAGCCATGGTACCTAGCTTGAAGTTGAAAGACAAACAAGCTTTGTTGTCGTGCACGTTCACTGGAGATTCCAGATCGAGCAGGGACTCCGCCCGCCCCATCGCTTCAATCACGTTTTTCTGGGCCACCCACGTGCTGTTAATCATGTCCTTGTTTCTCACAGCCGCACGCCCGAAGGGAAACAGGTCTGTGCAGTGCCGGAGATTCATTTCGTCGAAGGTTTCATCCGGCACCAGCCAGAGGCGGATTTGTTTGTCTACCAGGGCCGCACACAGATTTTTGATCGGTTTGTCCAGAATGTAGCACTCGAACAGCTTCATTAGGGCGTCGTTGCTGCCAACAAACATCGGCTTCCAAGGCACAGGATTTTGGTGAGAACTTTTGGTGCCACTTGTTTTCCTAGCATCTGTCGCTGCTCCATCAGGATTTTCTGGAGCAGTTGAGAGTTTCATCGACGCGGCCGCCTGAGAAGGATTTTTCTGTGGCTTTTGAGGTCCTGGTCCTGCAGACGGAGACGCCAAACTAGAGGAATCACATTTCGGATCCTGGCATCCTAGTACGTCTCCGTTTGTTCTTCTCGCGACGTAGCGGACCGTAGTGCAGACGAGATCTTTCACGATTTCGTTCTGCCGGCGCTTCTCCGTGAGTGCGCCATATTCCCCGTACTTCGACAAAAACCCGTACTCGCGAAAGTAACGATTCTTCTGGTGCTTGTCAAAAATCTTGCAGGCAGTGTGTGGCACTTGTGCGGAGAAAGTTTTTCCCTGTTTTGTCTCGGTGGGAGACAGGCTCGGCACAGATGAAAATAACGTCAGGTCGTCGTCATCAAAGGGAGCCCCGATTTTTCCATCGCTGGACTCATACAGATCGTCACTGGCTAAATAAACGAAAGCGCCGGTTGCGCCCTGCTGACAAAAAGTTCTTGCTGCTGCTACATCTGAGTTAGAGTTAGTTGTACTCGTCGCAACTACATCCTTGACACCGTCCATGACGCGCAGAACGAACGAAGTTTTGTTCTGGTGGTCCAACTCTCCAAGTCGTAGATAGTCGTCTCGTGTTCCACCACTGCATGCTGACGATCTCGGACCAGCAGCTCCTGAGCCTGACCCATCCGCAGCAGAAAATGTTTGCGCGCGACTGTTGATCTTCGCGCTTTGCTGGGCGCTGAGCTGTAGATCCCACCCGCGTGTGACGGTAACTCTGCAGGTATTGTGAAGTTGCGCCTTCGCCATGCGGTGCTCCCAGTCGCGCATAGAGTCGTAAGCGCTGAGCTGGTGCTCCGTAACACCGGCAAAGTCCACGTCCCCCAGAGCGATCGGCTGCAAGGTTGCAATGTACCGGTCCAGGCGGCTGTAGTATGCCTCTTGCTGTTCGGGTGGCACCTCCTCTTCCTCGGAATGAATGCCGAGGTAGTGCAGACTGTGTCGCGTGAGCAAGGTTGTCGCTGTCGGGGACGAGCCGGCGTTCCGATATAATTCACCATCAGAAGATCCTCTATGACCACTATGTTGATGTGCTGCAGCGCTGCCTATTCCTGACCCCTCAGCGCTGCGCTGCCATGAAGACGCGTAGCTGCCTCCCCCACCAAACGCTCGTAGATAATTGTCGTTGTAAATCACTCTGCTGGTGGTGGTGCTGTGGCGTCCCGTCTTCAGGTGACTCAAATAGCTGCCGAATGTGATGGGGATCGTGAAGCATTCCACCTCACTGTGCAGTGTGTACTCCACTTTGTTGAACGCAAAACCATGCATCTGAAAGTCTTCGGTCCAGTAGGCAGCGTTGGTACTGAGAAAGACCCTCTCTGCGCTCCTATCATACTCCCAGACACTTCCATTGCCGTTCTCTTCCGTTTCCACCGCAACGTCGCCTTCACCATCCTCGGTTGCAGATGAAAACTGCAGATGGTCGCCTACGGTTTTTGGAGCACCGAGAGATGAACAGTGGCCTGCTGCGGTGTCGCTCACGGTCATACTCACGCCAGCGGTTCGGTTCCCGTCCTCGGTAGTTTCGTACGATGACTGTCTGCAGTTCTGCCCTCCAAAGCGGTAAACTACTGGAGAAGATGTTGAGAGCATTCCTTCACGTCTCTTGTGAAGATCATCCGCGCTATCTTCAATCTGCTTTGGTCCCGCCGGAAAGGCAGTAGCACTAGAGCTTCCACCCCCGGGGAGATGACAATCACCCTGGTGCCTGTCGCGAAGCGAAAACATGTCTTGTGTCGTTTCGTCGACATGCAGCAACTCTCTTGACCAGAACTCACTTTCAGCTCCATTGCCGAAAATCCACCTGTCGTGGAAAATTTGGTCCAGCTCCAGACCAGCTCTTTCGCCCCCGATTCCGAGCGAGTGCTCGAATGTCGAGAACGGAGCTTGGATCGGACGTTTGTCTCCAAACAGAGGGTGGAGAGATTGGGAGGTGTTCGCGGTCTGTTTCGCCTGCCGAATAGCCTCGTGAGCTTCAGCGCTGAGGGGTGTGACAGAGGCTGTTGCTTTCCTTGAAGATGCCGCGCCCTCAGTTGTTGGCGCTGTTTGAGCAGGCAGATTCATCTTTATCTGGCCCTCGATATCTTGGTGGTCTGTCCTGCAGCTGCCGGCCGCATCCCCGCGCTGCCCTGTCTCTTGTTCGACAACCACCTTATCCCTACGACCACACGCCACAAGTGAGTTTTGACTTTCTCGATTTCCGTTGGGGTAGCAAGTCACACTATACTTCCTGTATCGAAAAGGCACGGTGCTGCCGTCAGCCTGCAGATCCATGTCCCGCTTTACCAGTGCACGCCATTCCTCATATTCGTCATACGTGATGCCAACGTCCCCTCCTTCACAGCGGACCTTGTTGTCTCTATCTCCGTCGATAAAGCTTTGGATCGCAAATGTCCCAGCTGCTCCTGGATCCGCGTCAACATCCTGCACGAACAAATCGTCGCAGTGTCTGCTGCGCTCCTGTTTGCGATCTTCATCTGCGTCGTGCATGCTCCAAGGGTTAGGTGTGCGCATCCAAGCCGCTCCAATCCCAGCAGACATATTAGCTGACTCTGCTTTCTGGTGGTCAGCACTTGAGCCTGCTGCTGTTGTCGTTGTCGTTGCGTGCTTCTCAACAAGGGAGGGAGCGCCACCGGGGCGACCGCTCTGTTCGTTTTCATTATCGTTGGCAACTTCGTCCAAGAACTCGTCGTCACCAAGGGCGTTGTCATTTCCGCACGAGTGCGTCGATTCCGTCGCCTCGGATCCGGCGTCCTCAGGAATAGCAGCAGGCTGGTCTACTTCTCCCCCGACATGTTGATAATGAAATCCGACAGGAGCGGCAGCTGCTGAAGAATTCAGATCGTTAGCAGCCATTCCCATTGCCTGCTGTCGATGTCCTCCAGCGCTGTAGTTGCTTTCCAAATTATGAAGGTGCCGGTCGTTTTCATCGTGTTGTATTTCGCTTGCATGCTCATAGTTCGCCCAGCTCGGATTGTTCCACATCAAGTGGCCACTTGAGGAGGAAGATGAGGCTTCCGCGCCGTAGTTGTACCAGCTGTCGTTTCCAGCTGCCCAGGAGCCCTGCCACGCACCAGCACTATTAGAAAAAGAGGGGTCCTGCTGAGTTTCAGGATCGCCCGAAGGTTCCACTGCAGTTGTAGTTTTACTGGAAGATGAACACGGCTCGTAAGTAGAACTCCAATCACCGTACTGACGCTTACAGTCGTCATTCCACTGCCAGTCACTGTTGGCGCCCGGCTGTCCCCAAGAAGTAGATGCGGAAGCGCGGAGGTGCTCGCCTCCTGAAGTATTATTGTCATTTGCCGGCCGCTGCTGCTGGCTATCGCTCTGCCATCGTGTTGAGCTTGAGCTGCAGCCATCCGTTTGTCCGGCAGGATCAGTCTCAGTTGTCGCTGCATCAATTTCTTGAAAATCACGACTTTCCCAGTCCCACTGAGCGCTGTTGTGCCACGAAGAAGGAGCCGGAGCCGAAGGCCAGTTGTCAGACGACACGCCTCGTCGTCGTCCACTTCCGTCCTGTTGCTGTTGTGTGGCCTCCTGTGCCGAAAAAGTCGCAGTGGCCGCATTTCCTGCGCTCCGATGTGCAGCGTCAGTGGGAGGAGATGCGAGTGTTTCGGGGGAGAAGGACGAAAAAGTGGCGCCGCAGATTGCTGTGGCAACTGACACAGGCGAAGCCAGTAAAGCGGACGCGGAAGCCGCCTGTTCTGCATTGGCAATACCCGTGGTTTGCGCTGTGGGCGCATCGTCCGCAGCCGGTTCTAATATGATGGCGCCTTGCACTGCAGGGTCCTGAAACTGGTCTTCAGAGTGAGACATTGGCGCTAGTTGTGGTGCATGATTCGCGCTGGCTTCTCGATCTTCATGGCTCGCACCCACAATTCCAGCCCCCGCTTGACTGTTTAGATTCTTCGCAACTGTCTTCTCGATGGGACGGCTGCGACCCGTGCAAGTGTTTGACGCTTGTGCGTCCTCGACCAGGCATATGTAGGTCTGGTTACTGCTGTCCAGCGTCAACTCATACTTGTCCGCGCAGTCTTTCAGAAGTGCAGAGATTCCCGCCCTCGGATTGCCGTACCTTTCCTTCAAGGCTTTGAATTCGTCGTCCCCACACAGGGCCGAGAGCGCAAGCATGCCGTTGACAATGCTCCGAGCGCTTTTTTTGATCAGATATCGGATCAACCGGTCCAATTTTTGCTGCGCGTTGCGCGGCCAACGGTCGCTATGTTTGTTTCTGCCACTGGTGCAACCAGGACTAGCAGGAACATCATCGTCCTCAGAAGAAGACGAAGACGAGACCTCTCCATTGCCGCTGCGTTCCAACATCAAGTGATCTGCGCCATTTTCCGGACTGCTGGTGGCAGGATCGCCCGCATTCTGCTCCAGGAAGGCTTCCTCAAAGCGTCCCTGCTCGAACGCAATCTGGATGTCGCGGCTCGAACACAGAAGAGCATCGCCTTTCTTTCCTCCCTCGAGACTGCAGTCGCGGCCGGGCGGATCGTCTTGGTCGGACGTTTCTTCGCTGGAACTGCTGTACGAGGAGCTGCGCGCAGCTGCAGCATCTGCCTCGCAACGTGAACCGACATCATCCACTTCGGATTCGTGCTGCGATAACAAGGAAGAACACTCTACTCTAATAGCAACTTTTGCAGCACTTCGTTCCTCCTCGACGTTCACGTACGCCGGTTGTCGTGTAGCGCAATCAACGCGGAAGCCGCAGCTGTCTTGGTCCTGGCATTGCTGTTGTTCCAACATCACGATACATGAACCTCCTGCGAAAGGCTGTGCGTCCGGGACTCCGGTGGCACTTGTTCTCTCCACGACATCGTGACAAGAGGGAGAAGGGGAGTTGGCACCTCTGGCTGCGGGAGGCGGAGGTGTGTCATCAATTACCTGCGTTTTTAAGTTTTCGTGTCCAGGAAGGGATGAGGTCGAAGGCGAACAATACGGTGCCCTCTTGTCCTCTGAGCCGCGGATTGACTCTCCCCCATCTGCTCCATCATGGTCGTCGACACCAGCCACCGAACTTTGCCGCGGCATTTCCTCCTCAGCCTCCCTGTCAGAGGACGAGGGGCTAGAGGAACTCATGGACGAAGAACTGGAACTTGATGTACTTGAAGAAGAATCGGAACCTCCACTACTGCTTGCATAGAAATTCGGAATCTCTTCAACCGGCTTCGAACAAAACCTAACTTTCCGGGTTGCGTCTCCTGTCCTTGCAGCCACCTCTGGACGAGGAAGATGACGCTTGCTTTTGGATTTATGTTGCAGCTCCTTTGTGTTGTATATCGATGCCGAGGCTCTTCCGTCAGAAGATGGCGACGAGGATGAAGACGACGTCGATACCGCCCGAGCTCGACGCTGGGATTGCTTGCGCACCGGAGCAGCCACGCTCCCAGAATTTTCCTTCCGGCTCCTTCTTCGAGATTGAAGTGTCGCGGAGCTTGAAGTGCTGGAGCTTAGAGGACTGTTCATATTTTTTGACGCAACAGAGGGTCGCGAGCAAGCAGATGCAGATGAACGCGTTGCAAGGTACGACGTCCTTTTTTCTTCTTCCCCGTTTGCATCGACTCGCCGCCCGTCGCCGGAGGTATTTTTTGTCGTCTCCACAAACATCTTTTCACCAGCCTCTTTATCTTTTCCTCGCCGGCTCTTAAGGTTATGATCCGCTGTGGCTGCAGGTGGAGGCACCATCTTCCCTTTTCGACCTTGATGTGACTTTCTTATCGTTTTTTCGCTCTTTCGGCTGCAGTACTCGTCGAAATCATCCAGCATTGCGGAAATTTCTCTCCTTTCCTGGTCGAGGCGGAAGCGGTCTTTCATCGCTCTACGGCGCGGAGGAACATCGCGGTCGCGGTCGTGTCCACGCGGCTTCTGTCCTACCGCTTCGCCTTGTTCATCAGAGCTACTATCTTCGGACGACTCATCTGCTCTTCGTCTTGCCGACGAGGGCGCACTGCTACTAGTACTAGTTGTCCCGCTTGACAAGGATGAGGAGAAAGACGATGTTGAGGACACTCCTCGGCAACGCCTTCCCCGGCCATTGAGACGGCGTCGCGAACCTGTTGGCAAGGGTATGAAAGGGGGACTTCTAATATACGCATATGTTTATTGACCACGTGTTCTACAAGAACTTCAACGATGAAATAAAAACTCATCGGACTTGTTGCACAGACATCAAGAACAAGCTCGTGCTTTCCCTTCTAATTCACCTCTCTCTCGTTTCCGAATGAATCCGAAGCCCCGGCTTGCATCGACACTGGCTCCTTCTCGTCCCATGTGGCTCTCCATGTTGGCTTCTGGTTTGCCGCTTCGGTTGCAAGAGCGACGCCTTCTTACTCCTGTATTTTATACAACGTTTGCATATCGTGCGAGTATATCATGCCGCAAAGCTATGACCCAATCCCATGTGAGCGACATCCTCACCACTGGAAATGGAATTCCTCCGGGAAGATATGTACTATGGACTTCAGCTGTAAAGATCCGACTCTTTAGTGCACTATCTCTGTGCAGCATGATCATCCTTGCATTCGCTGTGCCTGCGGCTGACAGCAAGCGCATAGCTCTTTTAGTTGTACAGCAAAGGAAGCAGTATGAAACATTACCAGCAATGTTCTTCAGTGGCGCCGAATAAGCGTTTTCACTATCACTCTCAGTTTCCGAAAAGCCGCAACGTTTTTGCCCTTCCCTCGTCGACAGATCCACAACACCTTTCGCTTCGGATTCTATTCTATTGAAATGCGTTCCACGACCACGACTGTCTGACTGCCCGGAGTGCGTCTCCGAAAATTGATCATGTGGTGCTCTGTTTTCCTGCTTACCTTTGCGATTCTGGGGCCTGCTGATACGAGTTGCACAACTTGCAGAAGGTGGACGCTCACCCCGTTCGCTTGTTCCAACATTTCCCGTCGTGCACTGACGTTCCGTATCTTCATATTCCCTCCGAGTTTGGCTTTGGGCTGATGACTTCACACTCTCAGGGCTCGCTGAAACTGGTTTCGTCTTCGACCACGAGCCTCCGTCTCTTGCATTAGAAAATGAAGTGTCTTTCGAACGTCCCTGCGGGCAGTCCTCCTCTTGCGCAGATGCAGACCCTTTGTCTGCCCACCAACAGGTTGAGGACAGCGCCTCATCGACGACATCGACATCCGTTTCAAGGGTAGGGTGATCGTTCATTATCGTGTTGCTTCTAGTTTCATCATGACCCTTTTCGTGCGTAGTACTGCTTATCCCATTTCCCTTCCAATACCAGTCACGAGCAGAGGAAGATGAAGAAGCAGTTCCCGTGCCGGCATTCCACTTTGCATCAACCTCATCTTCGTCACCTTGCGCTTTCCCCCAGGAGCGGTTGTCCTTGTCGTCTCGATAAGTCTCTCCGTTTGCGCCTCTCGCCAGCTCCCAGTTATGGTTCTCTGATTCTGACCACGCAGACGCAGACCAGGCAGGGACAGCTCCACCTACCTTTTTCGAGTGCGACGAGTAATCAGGGTTTGTTTTCTTTTCGTCCCACCAGGTGTGGCTAGCAGATGAAGACCACCAAGAACCCCAATCATAGCGACCCTCTTCTTCGTTTCCGTTTTCCGTGTTGCACCCCCACCAAGAGGTACTACTGGTAGACCAGTCCGCTTTTGTACTGCCAGAATTATAGTGGCGCTCATCTGAGCCGCCCCGGCTTCGCGCATCCGCAACATCATAGCCCTTGCGATCCTGAGGTTGCAGTGGCTGAGAAGGATTTTTTTCAACTGACCTTGCTGGGCCCGAGGACGACCACCATGGATCGTAGTCATATGTTGTGGTTGACCCATGAGTCTTGCTCGCACTTTCGTTCGACCAACCAGATGCGCCTGGTGTTCGTTCCTCGACACCCTTCCGGAACTCCTTCGAAGCTGTGTCCTCGGCCATTTTCTTCATTTCAGTTTCAGAGTGATACTCTTACTACTGATACTGTGAAGCGATCCATAGTGGGTTTTCAAAAATCACATACTTAAACATAAAGTATTTTTAAAAACGAGGGAGTGTTGGTTGCGGACCATGTTCATCTGCTCCTCCTAGGAGCATACAAGAACGAACAAGCACACGGCTGGTGCGTTCTATGTTTCTTCTTGTTGACCTTCCTCCGCGAATAGAAATATAACAACCTCGTCCTGCTGCGAAAAACATTTGTGTGTTCACTGTGATGTTCAGTTACTTATGTAGTTCCTATCACTATCATTTAGCAACAGTAGGACGCAGCTGGCGATAAGGCAGACCGATCATGAATGGTTCATGTAGTACATGTAGTATTCTCTTCTTGTTGTGCCACATCGAAGATACTTAAACAGACAAGGGGCCGCATTGGTAAGATTCTTCCACTTCAATGCCCCCTCGGAAAGCGAAGTTGTTTTTGAATGTGCTTTTGTCCGCAATGTGGTTAAACCTTCAACCTCCATCAATAACGAGATGGAAAATCAGGCATCCTGTTGATAGATTGAGAACAAAAAGAGCGCACTGCAAAACTGAAACTCTGCTGCCGGGATCGATGCTTCGTTGCTGTTCATCTTAAGCCGAACCTCTGCACCACTACCTGTGAACTGCAGATCGAAAGGATTGTTCCTTTTTCGCGAAACGAAAAGTAGTAAAAATACTTAAACAACGATGCGTGATGAAGATGCTGAAATCACTACAACAATTTGATCTTTGCGGAAACAAACAGGGAGATGGTGCTGGATCTACCAGGAAGATCATCCACAGAGAACCACATCGCCAAGGCAGATACTGTCTAGTACCAGCTCCGACACCAACACACTTTTACCAAAAGAAAACATTCTTACAACTGGGAGCGATTGGAGGTGGATCGGGATCGCGAGAAGGGCTCCAGAATTTGCAACATCCATGATGGTCAATTTTTCTAAGCAGGCTTACACTTACAGTTTAAGTACATACAGTATCTGCGTGTAGTGCGAGACTCTCAGGCAAGATGAGGAGTCTACATTGAGGACATTTAGACGGAACGAAAAGGCATAGGTACTTATCAACAAGAACGAATCTCCCATGGAACGTCGCAAGGTGCGGGGTCAATCACAGGGGGCCATCCGATCTCCTTTCTGCACAAGCATGTTGTGGCGAACCAATGACCAACAAACGAGAATGAGGAAGCAGAATATGAGACTTATCTCTCTGTCTCGTTCAAAACAATATCTCACTGACACAATTTCGAACACTGATATCGATGGGCTGAAAAAAAAACGCCTACCCATATTAAGCCAAATGCATTGAGTGCCGCTGGGGCTTTTTTGTTTCGCCTTCATTCGTTTCGGGGTGACGGTCACGTACTTTGTTAAGTAAACTTCGGGGTAACCAGTATTAAGCACTACCCAATCCTCCAAATGTTCTGGAGCATCTCCGAAATGTTCGAAATGTTGGAACATCCCAGGGCGTTTCAACATTTACAGTGTTTCATTCCCAGAAAATGCTTTTCACTTCTTCAGCAGCAGTACTTCATCGGTGGCTGACCAGCCAACTCGTGTTGACAAGGTACCTATCATGTCACAGCTACTGATATTTTTTTTTTGTGAATGAAATGTTTGCTACTTGTTGTTCGGAGCTACAGGAGGAGCGAAGTCCTGCTCAAACCCGTGTTTCTGTTTTATCGATAACAAGAAAAACATGTTTCTTGCGCATGGCAAGATCTTTCTTGCGGATGGTCCTGGGATAAAGAAAGCGGAGGCTGGTGGTGGTGTATTGAAGAAATAATGTTTATCGTCATATTTATAGGGCTGCTCCATGCAAAAGAGTAGTCAAGAAGTCATAATTAATTTTGGCGGTACGGAGAGTGCTATCATAAACGTCAAATTAATTACTTAGATTTCTAAATGGGACTCCACGAAGGAAACTGCTCTGGGCGGCCTCTCATCCCAAGACCTTTATTCGTGCGACAGATCACGACTGGAATGATCTGGACGCATTGTTGAAGGGAGGAAAATACGGATTCTGCTGGGGAGGTGCTTCAGTTCTCAATAGGTAATGCAATGCAAGATAAACAGTAGTAAAAAACGCATCATACATATATGTTCAAAGGTTCCAAGTGGAATTTTAATTTTACAGCACCAGAGAAATGCCAATGCTTACCTAGCCTAAAAGCAACAAAGATGAGGATGACAATAGCTGCATCAACATGATGATCTTACTAACATAGTTCACTAGTCATGTAAATTAGAGAGAAACTGTACTTCCTCGCATGCTTGCAATACAACGTGACCGTTCCAGCGCCCCCTCTGCTAGCAAGGACCAATACAACACTACAACGTCACTTCTCGGTCGCGATTTTCATTGACATAGTCGCAGAGTTCCATCATGATAGCAGTAGAACTTTACTATGGCAACAGTTCTGGTCCTTCCGCTTGGTTCACGGAGCACGTCCACGGAAGACTTGGCTCAAGGACCAGCCCTGCCAAATGGGCGGAGGCCTAATAATTCGGCGAAAGGGAAGGCGAACTGTTCCTGCATCTCGCTGCCCGGTTGCGCAAGCTCGGCTTGAAGGCTGTCAAGAAGCCTCTGCCTCGTCGCGTCGTACGCCGCGGCCTCTCCTTCGAGCCTCGCTTCGTACGTCGCGGCCTCTCTTCGAATCGCGAAGTGCACACCAAGCGAGCTCAGACTGGTGCCACCGAGTACCGACTGCGCAATCGTACCATGAAGCTGAAAATTGTGCAAATAGAAGTCCGGAGCGTTGTAGCGTTTTTTCTCGTTTGCGTTTGCGGGGTGTTTTGCTTGCTCCTTCCATCCGGCCATTGCTCTATCCTCTTCTCCCCCTGGCGTGGCCATCGCTAAACTTTTAGCAACGACAATTGATGCAGTATCGCACAGGAAGTCCTCTTTTGCTTTTTCCTTATTCCTGGCACGGGGGTCCAGATGCACTGCATGCTGAGTTGCGAAAAAGCGCGCGCGGTCTTCGAGCACCCGAGGCAGTGCGCCCAACTTGTTCTCAACTTTTGCTGCCAGGTGCGCCCGCAGATCCTTGTCGGGCCCCTGTTCCTCGTGGGCCAGATGAATGTTCCATGACTGGTAGAGTGTCGCGCGGCCCTCTGACTCCCGTTTCAGAGCCTGAGCGACGTTTTCTACGAACTGCTTCATCTGCGGGCTGCCCTCTTCCCGTCCTTCTAATGCCTCTTCTCGAAGGGTGAAGGTATCGCTCATGAATAAACCGGCGTTCGCGTTCATCCATTCTTGGAAATTCACGTCCAACCGCACCACCTTCCTCTTCCACTCTTCCAAGATATCCTCAGCAAGTTGCTGGGCCGGGTCGGTTTCGGACCTGCTGACAAAGTTCGCGGCTTTTAAGTGCTGGAGCTTCGGGTCGGTTGCAAATTTAGCGTCGCCCTTTTCGCGGTTCTCTTTATCCACCTGCACCCGAAGCCAAAGCCACTTTGCGCTCGCCCGATACGCCGCACGAAAGCCCCTGTATGCGTACAAAAAGCATAACGCCTTTGATTCAACATCAGCATTCTGCCGTGTCTGTGCTGCAGCAGCAGCCTGACGGTCCTCCTGAGTGACTAAAAGTTGCTCCAAGTCGGGCGTCGTAAAATTGAGAAAGGCGGCTTCTTTGTCTTTGAAAAACTGTGCGCAACCAAGCGTGGCGAGCCGTTTCTGCATGTGCTCCTTGCGCAAAACCGGATCACAAATGGGTTTGGGTGGCCTCGGATCTTCGGGCGTTGCCTCTGGTCTGGTAGGGCTCTTCGTGCCACAGAGTCGCTGGTAGTAGATCTTCAGCAGTTCCGCATTCCCATCTCGATCCGCCTTCACCATCTGCTCCACCGCACCGTGTCCCCGACCAGGTTCTTGCAGCATCGTCTGCATCGGCAAGCTTTTCAAAACCTGCTTTCTATGCTTGCGCCCTTTTGTGAGCTCCTTCTGAGCTCCTAGTCCCAGCGCCCGTGCTTGATCTGATACTTGCGCCCTTTCCTTCGCCAGCGCTCGCAGTACCTCTGTCTCAGCCCGCTTTTTTTGCGCCTCTTCATTTTGTTCGTAAAAAGTCACCTTCTCCTCCTTTTGCCGCAGTCTCGTCTCTTCGACCTGGGCAATTAGCAAACGCTCCACTTCGTCCATAGCCAGCTCCTCCTGCCGCTGCCGTTGCCACGTACTCGCGGCAGCTTGCTGGACTTTCAGCTGTCTTTTCTCGGTCTCCAACTGCTTCGCCGCCTGCCGGATTTCGTCCGCTGTCGCATCCTCGTCGTCGGTGTCGAAGCCGGCTGAACTCGTTGCCGCCGTGCTGCTGCTGTCGACAGCCTCGGAAGATCCTCTCTCCGCGAGTTCCTTGATACGAGACTCTTGGACAACGCCCCGGAATTGGTCCTCGACCCGGGCGATCACTTCTTTCGCGTGCGTCACCTTTTTCCACAACGCTGGATCTCTCCACTGCTCGTCGGCAAACGCGTGAAGCGGATTCTGGTCGTTCGGGTACAACACTGCCGCACACGAATTCTTCTCGAACGCCTGGCGTGCGGCGAGACAGCGCGACGCGGCCTTCACAATGTGGTATTCGGGCTCGCGCTCAAGAGCCCGCCACAGCACCGCGAAGCCGTGGTACGCGGACCGCGACGACGGCCGTGCCGTCAGGTTGAACTTGTCAGCAGCAACTTGCTTCATGGTGCTGTTTGCGCGTTTAGAAAAAAACAACATCATTTCCGCGTCCTTCTTGTCAAAAACAGCGTCCGGCAGGCGATCGCAGCTTTTCATCATCAGCTCGGTTTTCGTGCGCACGGAGTCCACCTCTCGTACTGGAGGTTGCCGGTGCTGTTCCTGTCTCCCACCGGAAGCGGGTGATTTCCCTCTACGACCTTTGTTCTGCGGTCTGCCCTTTCTTCCGCGGGAGCCGGATCGCTTTCTGGCAGCTGCCCCAGCGGGGGAAGAGGTCCGGGGCCGTCCAGCTTCCTTCTCGACTATTGCGTTTCTGACCATCGCATCGAGCGAGGTAGCACTGCGATGGCACTCAACTTGCACCTGCCCTGCTCGAAACAAACACGCCACGTACGTATCCTTATCCACAGTGTCTCCTTGCTGTTGAGCTGATCTCGAAGCCGCTCCAGAGGTCAAGCGTACGGCTGTAACAATGGACCCGAACTCGAAAACACCGACACAGGCGACGAGGAGAAAAGGCAGCAACAGCATTGTCGTATAGTTCTTGGAGGGCTGCGCGGCCGGGTATTTCTTGTTCGAAGCGAAAAACATCTTTGCTCGTCCTGACTTTGCAACTCACGGCTTTTTTATACTTTACTAAGGATATGGCTTTGTTTGGAACTGTCTAAACTGAGAACGGAACTTTTTCGCGACTCTTGGATCCTTCCCCGCCTGTTCTCGTGTTTTTTCAAAAAAAAGAGGCGAGACTGAGAACGGAACTCGAAGCCGTGAAACAAGTGCGGAAACGGAAACGGAGAAAAATCCGAGAAGCCCCGGCCGGCCAGCGCACAGGCGGCCGAGCCATCTCGGCTGTCTGCTAGAAGCGTGGCGACCTTCGAAGCAAAGCAAATCCCTGAGCGGGGGAGGCCTAAGCCCCGTGGTGCCCCTCTCTTGCGCGCCCTCCTGTCGCTGCGCGGCGTTTTTCTTGATGTTGTTTCTATAGCCAAGCAGAGTCACCTTCAGCAAACGGGCCGAGCTTGCGCGCTCAGCCGGATGCTTGGGCGGGGATGCCAGAGAAGGTCGCCCGCCCGCGAAGTTAGGCGCGGCGGAGCTTGCTGCCAGAGAGGCCTGGCCATGAAATTAATAACCGGCAGCAACCCGCGAGGAGGGCCGAGCTCCCTACCAACCTAATGAGGCTAGCGGTGGCCGTCCAACAGCGGGAAGCAAGGAACACAATGAGCCCGGCCGCCGTATAATAGATACAACCACCCAAGCCTGCGCTCTAGCTGCCACTGCTGGCCCGCGCTCGTCTAGCAACCGCTGCATGGAGAGCCTGCCACGGCAATTGGGCTGTTTGCCTTTCCATCGGTTATCCCGCAGTCTTCCGCACCCAAGGAGGGGCTCGTCTCTTGGATGTGACAACCACATCCAAGGGGCCCTGGGGCACGGAAGACTGCGAAAGAACTGCCGGCGTTGGAGCTAAGGCTGGGCGGAGGGCCGTATCTATGCCCCACTGCTGTAAAGCTAATCGGCCCAAAAAAGGGCGCCCCAACTTCCGCCACTGGGGGGCCACATCGGCCTTCTTCCATCGATCATGAGAACAGCGCGCCGCGCGTCTCCCCAGCATCGGGAGCTAGGTGGCGTCTGACCTTTTAGCCCCACATAGGGGGCTAACTTTCCTGGCCTACGCCTCTAATAGGAGCAACGCCTGGAAGTTTGCCGCCGCCGCTGGCACCCGCGCATATCCGCGGGACGCCAACCATTAGCAAGAAGAACACACATAGACGGGGCGGGGGCCGTGGCAAACGAATGGCGCGGGGCGGACGCAAATCCCGCAAATTTTGTCCCCCCTAAGAGAAGAAGGAAAGAGAGAAAAACAGAAAACGAAATTTGAAGAAGAAAACGAGCTTGAAGTTGAAGCTGAAGAGAACGAAAAAAAACAACACACACGAAAGGAAACGGAATGGCGACAAGTGCGAAGCGCCACGGTGTGGTGGCTGTTGGTTCCGTTCTCAGTTTAGATAGTTCCGAAAAAATCCGATCCCCTTTACTAACTTATGCGCGGTGAGGATCACGACCACGGAGAAATTGCGAATGAAGAATGAATGTTCTTACCAAGGTGCGACCTGAATGCAAACGGTTAAAGGTCGCGAAGAACTTTCCTTCGGCTTCGCTAGTATTTTTGAGATCGGTTGACTATACACTTTTGTTTTTGTTTTTGTTCTTGCACGAGTTAAGAAACTTAAAAGCAAGTAGTTGTCGCAAAAAACCTGCAACTTTAGACTCTTCAATTGATTTCGATTTGCTTAGGTAATTATACAAGTAGCAAGAAAAGGAAAAACCAACTGCATAAAGAGTACTACTCTTTCTGCTATGCAACTACGAAATACTCAGTGATGATGATTGATGCACGAAATCTAGCACACTTTTCCTGTTGAAGTCGCCCGATGGAAAACCAGTAAGGTGGATTTTTCATTTCCGGGACGCGGTGGACTGACCTTGTTTATAGTACCTTTGTTGAGAGATCATAGGGATAGCGACATGCTAGTCCATCAATTTCGATTCTTTTGTGATCGTGCTTCTGTTGTGTGCTGTCATTTGAAGTTTGATCTTATTTCCGCACTTCCAAACATTAACCACTTGCGCAGATGCACTCTACTCTCCTGCTATGCTTCATTCGTCCTCTGATCTCCTTTGATTTAAGTATAATTTATGAGCATTTCCGTGCATTTTGTTGAGGATCTAAGGGAGGACGAACCATCATCTTGTTATCCTCCTTCTCGCAGGGCCTCCTTCCGCAACTGCATTGGATGCACTACTGCACAGGTGGTACATCACACTTACATTACTCAGCGCAGCTGCATAGCATACGGTGTACGCATTAAAATTAAAATATCCATCTGCTACTGAAATTGTTGAAAGCAGAAGAAACTACAGGTGCCTACTTTCACCTTGAGGACAAAAATGTAGAAGGGCGCACGACTTCAGTCTTTTTTACATCAGGGCTTTTATTTTTGTTCACTCGCGTGGCGTACAAACATATATCCCAGTACCGCTCGTAATAGCTTTTTTGTGTCGCGTAGAACTAGAAGTGCGACGCAAAACTTTACATTTACCTTCGGCTATAATAACTTTAACTGCTCTACTAGACCTAGGTAGGTCTAGTTGTTCAAAAATGGAAACCAAACGACCACTAATTGGAGAAGAAAAAGAAGTACTTACATCGGTTCGAACGCTAGAACTTCGCTCAATCTTAAGATGGATCGAAAAGCCGTCTATCGATATCAAAAAAAAAAAAAATTGCACGTCAGACCATGAACAAGCAGGTGGTCCCGCTGACAAAGAGTAATGATATTGCACAAAGAGCGACTTAATTTTCATTCACATGATCACGGCCTAAGCCAGTGCGTGACGACGTATTATACATCGGGTACGTTCTTAAAGCACGTACCCACCAGCTCTCAATACCGACTCCCTTCAAGAAGGGTCTTCGCTTGCCGCTATGGATGCCCGGGCCCGACGGTTCATAGAAAAAGCAAAACAAACAGAATCCGTCGCGTGGTCCTGCCAACGATACCGCGAGGGTGCGAGACCCCGTTTTCATGTTTCACCTTTTATACAATTATCTATTCGCGTTTGTGTACAACTACTTTTTTAAAACATTTATATACTTTTTTAGGGGGTTACTCGGGTAGTTTTCATTTTCTACAAAATGCGCGATATCATATAAGTGAACCGAAGACATGATAAAAGCACCGCATGCGTACGCTGGCCCTCCTCCTCAAAATGCAGATCAGCAAAATAAGCAAGCTGAAATCACGAAAATTGGCGGACATGATTGAACTTGAACTCAAATATCAGTCTTGATACCGGAGCGGGGAGGACTCTGATCGTGTTATGCCTCACGTAACTCTACATCCGCCGCACCGTCACCAGCTGATCTCAAATACCATGGCCTTCCGTCGGCTTCAACACCTTGATCGGAAGATCCAAAAATTTTGGAAAGTCTCGCCTTCGCGAGGAATCTCGTCGATAGCATCCCGATATCGCGGAACAAAAACAAAAAGGCGTCATCTAGTAAGAAGCACCCCATTTTTTGTCACGTGTAGCACAAGCTGCTCATCTTTATCAAATGCAAGTCATCTGTAGCAGACTTGTCTGTTAGGACATGCGAAATTGAAAGATACCTTTCGACTTCGACACGAAACAGTGAGCTGCAGTGAATATGCAAATCATGCCACGATGGCTTTATTTTTCCGATACCCATATACGACGCGGAAGATATGCTGGGTCAACATTCCGAAAAACATTCTTCGCGATCGCCGGCCCGAACAGGAACATAAAACTACTTGCATGATTATCTTTATGTCCAGTCATGCTTGACAACTGCACAATCTGGGTTGGGTGCACTTGATGTAGCAGATCCACCTCGCAGCTAAATGATGAAGTACTACAATAGTGCTATGCAGTCAAGTTACTAGAGACGCCGCGAGTGCGATATCTTATGCCATACATGTCTGCGCCGAACAGTATGTCCTTAGACATCTCTTGAAACAACTCCATGGAGACTAACGGCGTGTCCGGCGCTGCGTCGGTCGCACGGCGCTCAGCCGACACGTTTTTCGAGAATTCGTCCCACGGAGCCGCGTCTGGAAAGGGTCCTGTTGGTTCCGCGCCTTGCTTGTAGAGCAGATAGAATTTTCGACAGGACACAGGTGGAAGACCAAGACCCAAATTGAACTTCCGATCCACGACATTGGAGCCGACTGAGAATCTGAGAGCCTCGGCCAGCTCCGCCTTCTCTGCGTCTGTCACCCCTGACTTCGAGTCTGACCTGCCGGCGGGAGCGGGTCCAAAGCCATGCATAGCGCTCCGGGCAAATGGTGCGTCTTCTGGGAGCGGGTTTGGGACATTGATTGAGTCAATCAGTCTTTGCGTCTTCCTCTGATAGAGCAGGTCACGCTCCTCCTGTCTTGGTGCCGCTGGCACTCCTTGTTCAGCGCGCGTAGTCTCCCCGTCTGACTTTGCGAGTTGATCCGTATCCCGCGCATCCATCATCTCAACGCCGCTCCGCCATACGTAATAGAAGCGAGCACGGTCGTCGGCCTCTTGTCTGAGATTGGCAAGGTATTTTTCGTTACTTTCCACCTCGGGTGGTTGTGTGACGTATCCAATCAAGAATTTCCGCCATGCGGGAACATTTTTGCGCCCCCAAGATTCTAACTCTTGCAGCGCCGCTTCGAAATACTCGGCTTTTTGGTTCGCATCTGTCGAGTGGCGAAGAAACTTCCGGAACCACTTAATGGTGGTGCGATACGCTGCTATTGCGCCACGGTAGGCATATTGTAGACAGTGCGCCCGCAACTGCTGAGCGCCGATCTGCGTCTTGTCCGCGATCAGCTGCTGGATCCGCTCCGTGTGTTCCAGGCCTTGGAAGCGCTCCCGCGTGCCTAGGAGTCTCTCGTGCTCCTCGTCTGAAAAATACTGCGGGCAGGTATAATCCGATTCTGGAGGAAACTCGTGCTTGAGACTGATCAGTCCCATTTGTTGAGCAAACGCCGTGCGTGTAAAAGAGTAGATGCGAGCCTGGAGGTGTGTCACTTGTAGTGCTGGGCGGGCGCAGCCATTACCAGCCTCAACCTGTTGCTGCTGATCCCTGACGGTCGAGCAAAATTCAAGATAATGCTGTGGCTCCGGACGGCGATCTTTTTCTTTCCCCCACAACATCTCTTCGAACTCGTCTACAAGCTCGGGAGACACTGACTGGCCGAACAAAATGTCCTTTGACATCTGCTCCACCAGTGGTAACGGTAGCATCCGGCCTTGCAGTAGCGAAAAAAAACTCGGTGCGTCCTCGGCAGCTTCGCTTCCGCCCAGAATGCCTGGCAAGAAAGCGTCGCTTTCCCAACTGAAGGTGCGTCTGCTTGACTTTCCCAACTGAAGAGCGCCGCCTTCAACGCTCACTTCGGAAGAAGTAGTTCTTCCGATCTGCATTTCTGGCGCTATGCCTTCTCGAAAAATAGTACTTCGGATATTGGCACCTAGTGAGTACCGCACCGCGTCTGTGCGCAGGTCGGCAAATAAGTTTTTCTCGTCGATGAAGCGCTGGTGAAATTTATCTACATGCTCTTGCTCCCCGATCCGAACCGTTTGCGCGTACCGGTAAGCCGTACCGTCATCTGTCAGAACCGTAAAGGAGCCATAGTGTTCGTCAGTGCTTGGCTCAAGAAACTCGATCAAGAGGCTCTCCGCAGGGACTGCATTCGTTTCCGCTGCTCGCGCTGGATTCATCGAAGGATCGTACCCGGGAGCATCCCGTAGAAAACATGTGTCGTTTGAGAATCTTGATCATTCTTTCGCGAAGTGACCTGCGCTTGCAAGGCTGCACTCTTTTGCTTTACTTCTTCGAGTTGTAGCTTGTCGGGAGGGCAGCATGCAGCAATCTATAACCACTTTGTTGTTCTTGTTGCTGATAGATTGTCATACTTACTTCTTGGAAGAAAAGCGAAAGCGCGCACCTTGCTCTTCTTGTAGGGCTCATTTTTATTTATGTTTCTCAAATGTCACGTCGCCATCAAATACGATATTTGCTATTGCTACCAGCACAGGACATTGCGAAGGAGAGAAACGATATTACGCTGTCGTTTCCATACACAAAACAACAACAAGATGGGCACTCACTGCGACTGCCGTGTTTTCTTCAACTACATCCAATCACTTCCTGAATCATCATCATGATCAAAAAGCTACAACAACATGGTTTCTTTATTGGATAGAGGACTTTTTGCATCCATTTGTTGTACACAAACGCGCGATCCTCACCATCGGAAGAAACTTCATTGACCTTCCTCGTTTGCCAGCCCGCCTTGCTCGGCAATCTTGCGAATATTTCACTCGCCTTGTCAAGAAAGTGTTGGTCGTTCTCGTCCCGGTTAAGAAAAAGACTGAATAAGGTCTTCTTCCACTTCGTCCGCTCGGTTTTCCACCGTTGTATGCTCTGTTCAACCACGGCAACCAGCGGATCCGTCCTCGCTGCCTGTTTAAGCCTCGCGACGAGTCCAGTGACATCAAAATTCCTGCGATGGTCGTTTGCTGACATCTCCCTCTTGAGCAGCTCGAGCTGAGTACCCAAGTACTGCAGCAAGACATCCAAAACACAATCACCATCGCCGCCCGCACCACCTCTTATGATTCGGACGATACAGATATCATCATGGTTATGGTTGATACCAATGCATGACAGAGAGCACGTTCAAATGATATAGCCATGAAAAAATGCGTTTACAACCAAATGGAGCGCGATGGTGCGATAACTTTCCAGAGGATACGCAGTATCCATCATTGAAACGTCGGCGGCCTCGACTGCCTGGATACTTGCATCGTAAACCGAAAGTAAGCCACGGTACGCGTAAACAAGGCATTTAGAAAATTCCACATCTTTTTCTTTCCCCGATGCGGCTGACGTGGGAAAGTCAAAGTTCCGCCGCGCATGATCGTCATCCTCTCGCGCGGTTTTTGAGTCGCTACCGTCCCCCCGATCGGGGAGTGTAGGCACGCGAAACAAGTTTGCGAACTCCACTGACGAAACAAAGATGCGACAAGAGGGGATCTCTTTTAGGCGGTCTTGCAGAAGCTTCGTTTTCAAAAAGGGCTCGCACCAGTCGCCTGCACCGGCCGGACGACCCTCAATTGCAAGCGTTAAAGCGTCACAACCCGAGGAGCTGACCACCTGTAGAAAATGCGGCAGCATATGTGCTTTCCCATATTCGTTTGCGAACTGCCTTCCCCCGAGATCAATGGCGTCCTCCACCGCAGCCGCACCGCTGCCGGATAGCAGTTTGGTTTGGAGATAATTTGCGAGCTGCTCTGCGTTCTTCATGTCCCTCCCGGTCTTTTTCAGATCTTTCGCTATTCCTTTGACACTCCGCTGGTGTTCAGTGCGTGCCCGACGGATCATTCTGTAGAAGGCCCGCGAAGCTTGTGCGTGCTCAATTTTTGAATTTTCATACTTTTTGCTGAGGCCTTTCTCACCTTGGTCCGCCGCGATTCGCTTACGTTCCTCATCTGCTGCACTAATACCTTGCTCCAACGCAGTTTCGTCGAGCTTTTTGCTTGTTTGCTTGGCACGCTCCTTGGCAACACTTATCAGTTGTTTTTTCGTTTCCATTAGTTTCTTCCATTGATCTATACCCCGAAAGAGAAAAAACGACAATGGTGCAAGTGGGCACGATGGCTACCAGGTGGAAGCGCAGGAGGATATACAATTCAATTTCTACTGGTTTTGCTGCTGTGTTAAATCCTCATATATTGGACGGAGGAGGATGATTAAAGCTACTTACCTGCACCAGCAGCAGCCACCCACTTCCACAATTGCCGTGCATTGCTTTCATATTTTGAGCACGTGCGACTTGGTCCTCGTTCAGATACATTTCCTCTTCAACGTCCACGTCTTCCTTTATCTCTTCGTCGCTGTCCGTGCCTGTTTCTGCTTCATCTTCGGCGCCGGGAGCGGTACCTGCTGCACTTTGCTGTGCTTGTTGATTCCGCTGCTCGAGTTGCTCCAGTCGCTTTTTTTGGAGCCGATCTCGAAATGTGTCTTCGAGAGGTCGGATCACCTTTTCCACAAACCATTTCACCTTGTCCCTCCGTTCGCGCGCCTTTTCGTCGCTGTACCCGTGAGTCTTTGTGCCATAAATTTTCAGAACATCTTTGCACTCGTGCCTTTCGAACTCCTGTCGGTCCACGACGTTGCACTGGCAATTATGGAGGAGTAGAAAACTCCTGTCCCCAATGCTGTCGCCCAACGATCACGAAACATGTTGTAAGGCATGATCCGAGGACGATCAGAAGTTGAAGTAGTACTATAGCAGGCCTGTCCCTCGGTAGTGTCCTGCGAAACTTCTGATGTACTAACAGACTCACTGGTGGTAGTCCCCTTCGCGCTCAGTAAATGCACCAGGAACGGCAACGAGGCCAAAAATGCCAATGCTGCGATATACTTTCATTTACAAAATGTATTGCATCTTCGCTGCAAATTTACTATCGCGTGCATGTGAACACCGGCGGTGAAATTTGTACGTGGTCGTGGAAGGTCCTCCTCATGGCAAAAAAATAAATTACGAATCCCTACTTTACAGAGGTTGTTGCCTGCGGCAGACAGTCGAGGAATGCAGCATTTTTCATCGGCGTAATAATCACTTTTCAGGAGGTAAATCCATCGGAATGCTTTACTTCCGAAAGCAGCACTCCAAAACTTCGCCACGCGATGGTAAGCTTGAGACTCAGGCATTTTGTCGATGTGGTACGCAGGCGAAGAGGCCACGGCCTCAACTTGCTCCAATGCTTTTTCTTCAAACTCTGGGTTTTTATCACCTCCGTGTGGATCCTTGCCTTTCTTCCCCAGGAGTTCGTTCTGCGCAAATTGGTATCGGAGGAAAAGCGGATTGGAAAACTTGACCCGAAGTCTACCTGCATAGCGGTCGCGCAACAATGCCATGCTGTACTTCTATTTGCAAAACCAAAACGGCAAAACGTCTATTCTCAGGCTGTTGCTGATCCTTGATCCTTCCTTGTTGTGGTCGTCTAGTCTCAATTATACATAATTTTTCTGAAAGGCCCGGATCCGCGGCCTTTTTGTTCTTCTTTTTCTGACTGTAGATCTAGATATGCCGTGGAAGTTAGAAATGAAGCTCTAGCGTATCAAAAATGAAGAAGGCTGCATGACTCGTGCTATGCGTGGTGAAGCAGGTGCCAGGTGGGTAAGCATAGCCATTGTTTTCACAGCATTCCATGACTTGACCTTGCAGCCAGAAACCACATGACAAAAGGCCTGGGCGATAGTATCTATGCACGTTGACGTTTACCTCTACGTCCCACGAAATAAAAGATTTTTAACGATCATTTGACATTGGGTCGCTTTCCAGAACGGTCTGCTGGTAGGTTTTCAGGAATAACTCGATGCCGCGCAGAACAAGTCCGTGTTTGTCGTTCACACTCGTCTTCTTGAACCAGTCCTTGCAACGCGCGTCTAAGGACGTTGCGCCATCGTGACATGTATACTTCAGAGAGCTTGCGATTGCGATGCATCGCCCAAGCTGCAGAGATTCAGTCTTTTTTGGGGACTTCTTCCGACTTGCAGTCCCCGTCGCGGGGCGGGAGAAGCGACCAGCGGCTGCTCCAGCAGAGGGCGTTCGACTTCTCTTCCTCGAACCTGAGCGACTTCTCGACCTACCACGCCCACTTCCTCCGCTCCGCCTTGACGCACTCCGACTACTGCTACGCTTTCTGGACCGGCGCTCCTGGTGTTTCTCTTCAGGAGGACGAACTGCGGCCGACCCAGCCGCAGGCACACCAAGTCCACGATCCCCACTGGCACTTGCGCTGCTTCCAACAGGTGCTCCTTCTTCCGGTGGTGATCGTGATGGATTAGCACCAGGAGGAGCAGTTCCTTCTTTCTTTTTTCTCCCCTTGTTCTTTGGAGGTTTCAACCCCACTCCATATACACGCCTCGTCTCCAGCAGGTGTGTTTCGGGAGGAACAACTACCCAGAAACACAAAAAGTGCCCTGCGAGAAGAACCTCCAGAGCTGCGAGCAAGCCCGCTGCTCTACTTCGGAACAGACGTACGCGAAGTGGAGATTGCTGCACATCAGTGCGGCCTACAAGCCAGAATGGCGAGATCACCGCCCTATTTACCCCCATTTTATTTTCTCTTTTTCTACTACTTGTGAAGTAGAAGTTTAGGTTTAACGAGTTGCTTATGCTTGTCGAGTTATAGACGTTTTTGCTCGTCCGAAAAGTTGGCTTCGAAATCGAGAATAAAGATAGATGTGTCTACGAAATTGAAATACGGTACTTCTTCGACACTGTCTTCTAGTCGGAAAAAAAGTTAACTTTTAGTTGCCTTTAGTTCATCGGCTACTTGAGGTTGCATTCTCTGTGCTTATTGTTGATCCTCCTTGTGAAATACGCAACAAGCATCAAATAAATAGAATTCGTGATGGTCTTCTCAGAACGGGAAAATCCATGCCGCACGAGCATAGGCTTCATCACATACTTGTGACCGATGAGCTGCTACCATGATTGAATCCGACCGATCTGCTGAGCTGTTAAATTTACTAGTATCTGAACTGTCTCACGAGTAGACATGTAAAGAGATTGATTCGGCTTTTTCAGCCTCCAGGTACCGAAACATTTGGTGACAGTCCGTCTGACACCGAGTCTAGAAGTCGTGCGGTTCAGGTTCTTGATCTTGTCAAATGCACTACACGTAAAATAATGTTTAGATCAACGACCGAATGATCCGAAAAAAACAAGCCATGTGCAGAGTCGGTCCTATCGGGATTCCGATTCTTAGGTGCAACCACACAGGGGCTTAAAGTTTCGTAGACGTTGCAGGGCCTCCTTCCGCAAGCGCATCGGATGTACTACTTCACAGGTACATACATCACACTTACATGACTCGTCAGTGAAGATTCCGCACGGACAGAAGAGCCTTCAGAAGTGAAAGTGCAGCTCGTCCTCGAAGGGGAACAATGACTACGCTGACGGGGCAAAATTGCCGGTCGGCAAAACGGGGCCCATACTATCACGACCTCCACGATGTAATTTCTTCTTGTTCATAGTATGCTGTCTAAGATCGTAATTGATGCTACTTTCCAAAATGTGTATACTTGCTTTTAGTTTATTTGACTTTAAGTACATGAAGTTTCGTTCTACTTGATTGCGAAGACCACAAGCTCAAGCTCTTGAGGGACAGCGCCGCTACTTCTCCAAGACACAACTCAACCCAGAAAATGAATCACAGGGTCAGGGCCCTCCGTCGATCGCGCAGGCCAATTCATTCTCATTGCAAGTCGAGAATATCAGTATCACAGAAAATCATTACATCGGTTGTCGACCCACCGAAAAGCAAAAGAAGAAGACGTAGCAAGACAGCGAGAGAACGCACACTGTGACTTCTCTGAGCCTGGGCGTAGTTTAAGTTTTCATCTTCATGTTCGTGCTCTTGCCTTGCATCGCTCCACCTTGAGCTTCAAGTTAACAACAGCGTACAGGATTCTATTGATTTGGATTTGCTTCTTCATTCTCGTCCATGGAGAGAGACGAGAGCAAATGTATCTGGATCTCGCGCCGCCGTGGAGGGGGCACAACGGCGCGGAATATTCCACATAACTAGAGAATGACCGCGCTCAAGGGGGCCAGGACTGTAAGGCGGAAGAGCGCGCTTGGCGTTCACCGTTAGCAATAGCACGCGTCGGTATATTACAAGAAACAGAAAATACTAAGAAAAAAACTAGGACCCCTCGCATTTTCGAAAAATATGAACGCGCTGCGGCTTCGAAAAATATGAGCGCGCACATTTGTATCCACACAGGGCCGACATTGAGGCGGCCCGGTTTTTTTGTGCAGGGCCGACGCGCATGAGGCTTGCTGGCATCTGTGCCACCATGCACGACAGGCCGGCAGGCACACTGGGGCCAAGCCGCCTCGCGGTGCATTGCTGCCACCGGAGGAAAAAGACGCCATGCGAGCGCGCCGCCATGGGGTCACTCCATAGCACTTGCAAAACCAGAAGCAGCGCAGGCGACTCGGCGGCAGCTGACGCCGCAGGGAGTGCCCATACTACGCAACACTTACTTCCCCCAGCCTGAACGCTAGGGCCAGGACCGCCACCGGCGCGGAAGCTGGCTCCAGGGCGGCCCAGTCAGGCAGGGGCGCTGCCCGAAGTCTGCCTTGCGGCGCGCTCCTGGTCCTGCCCGGAGACCCCCCAAGCCCGAATCTAATTCCCGCCTGGCCCCGCAAGCCTGCCTCTCTCGCCTTCGCGAAAATAACAGCAGCCCGCCTGAAGGCGATGCACGCTGCGCGCTTTGGTCGGGTGCGCGCGGCGCTATAATTGCGGGGGCGGGCGATTGGGTTGCGTGGCGACATGTTAGCTAGATGAGCCTCGCCGCACGGACCGCACCGCGTTCGTTGCGCGCGGCCTCGCGCTTGTGCCCTCGTCTTTCGGTGCGGGGTGAGGGGGAGACACTGCTTCTGCGGTTGCGCTTCAGCGAGCCCAGCTTGGCAGGTAAATATGTATCCGAAGGACAAGGAAAAACCCGCGGCCCTGATCCTTCGTTCTCAGGAGGCGAATGCGCAGGCCTCAAAGCGTTGGAGACAGAAACCGCGCGAGGGCTGAGAATCATTTACCAGAGGGCGGCGGCGTGTGGGAATTCTGGGCGAGGGCCGGGACAGGGACTGTTAAGAAAATTCATATGGTGACTTGGGTAGGCGCGTGCGTCTGGGACGGGGAAGCGCGCCCCTGCAGCCTGTCGCCCGCTGGGGCGCCCGCCACTGCAGCCAGGTGCAAGCATGGCAGCGGCACGTGGGGCGAATGCACTCGGCGGGGTGGGGGCAGAAAGCGCCAGCGCTGCTCGTGGCAGTTGCCCAAAGAAGTGGACCAGGCAACAGGCCGGCGAAGGAAGGCGGGGGCGCCGGCAAAGTAGTAGCGGCAGGCCACGTCAGATCTTTCAAACACGCCAGAGAACGTAGAAGCCAAAAGCGCGCCCGAATAAAAAAGCGCGCTTTTGAAAACACGAAAGCCGCACTCTATTCTGCGAAAATACAGCTCGAAAGCGATGCTTTTGAAAACACGAAAACAGACTAAATTCTGACGAAAAGGAGACCTCGAACCTCTAGAGGGTGGAGGTCTCCTTTGGGGTCTCCTTTAGGCCATTGGCGCCTGCGATTCAAAAAAAAATATGGGAGACCTCTACAGGTCGGGGGTCTCCTTTGGGGTCTCCTTTGTGGAATGCCATCGTGTCTAGCTCTCGAAAAAAGCTCGCCGGATTCCTGACCTGTAGAGGTCAGGGGTCTCCTTTGGGGTCTCCTTTGAGGTCTCGTCTGCAGAATTAGATCGCGTTTGGAAGAAGAAAAGAGCTCGCCAGAAATCGGGCCTCTAGAGGTCAGGGGTCTCCTTTGGGGTCTCCTTTTAGGTCTCAAAAGTTGTAGTCCCGTCGAGATACGCTTTTGATTAGAGCCCTATAGGTTTGGGGTCTCCTTGAGCGTCAGGTCTTTGGTCTAGTTGGTTGCAGTCTATAGTTCTCTTGGGTATGATGAAGAAGCGAAATGCACCTAGAAGTCCTATCTTTACATTGGTGTTCGTAGAGTCATAGATATGGCACGTCGCCGCGATGGGTAACAAATCAGGTCATCACGACAGCACGAGAAAACGCGCCACCACTAGCATCAGCGTTTCGACGGAGTTCGGGACCGGCTTTTCATTTTTCCAGACCCGGCAGACGAGGGCGGCGCGGCACCGGAGCCGCCCTGTTTTGCAGAACTGTTGCGCATTTGTTCCCTGTAGTCGCGCGGCGGTGGCGACGCAGGCGAGCCGGGCTGCAATTTGAGGTGAATGCTGCGCCAGGCCTCGTAGTTGCGGAAAACCTTCTCCTTGTCCATCGTCATGTAAACCTGATCCTCCTCCTTCAGCGTAAAGGGCGGGTGTTTGATTCTCACGTTAAAAAGGTGCTCACGCTCAGAAAGCGATGGGTGGCTGGCGTCGTCGAAAAATGTTTGCTCGTCGAACCGTTGCTGAAAGTACTTTGCGAGCCACGCACCGACCAAATCGGCGTCCTCGAGCCCCTCGCGAATCTTCTCACGCCGACCGGGTTTAGTGATGAAGTCGTTGAGCTGGGTCAAGAAGCCGTCATTCGGGCACACGAGATACCGACCTTGCTGCGCGGAGTGGAGGACCAATTCGAGACTCGGCACCTGGCAGACACAAATAACGTACGCCATCCACAGCGTCGCACTCCGACTACATCCCTGATGGCAGTGGATATACAGCAGAGTCCTGCCGTTGCTGACATCATCTTCTTTTTCGCCTGCTCCTCCCCCTTCCGGGCGTGCAGCTTGCTCGATTTGCTCCGGCTCGGCTTCTAGCATTGCAGCTCCAGCTGGTAGTGCTACTACTTTGCTCGGTGAGCGCGACCTTTTGCCTTTCTTTGTAGCCGCAGCCGTGCTGCTCGCCGCTGCCTGGTGCTGCTGCGCCATTGATACTTTTCGCTTTTTGCTCGCTTGTCCGGTTCCTGTTTCTTCTTGTTCTTCTGCAACTCTGTGGTCCCCGACATTCGACGCCTTTGCGACATCCGCATCGGCGCCATCCACCACTGGTGTGCTCGTCGCTTCTGCTAACTTCTGCGACAACAGCTCGCTGATAGCGTCGTTGATGTTCGTTCCCTGCAGCTGCGGAGGGTTCTGGCGCGCGCGAAACGGCTGCAGCACGAGATCGTTCCATTTTGTCACCGCGATTTTCCCCAGTTGCTGCGGTGTGCTCTCGCCAAGCGCAAGCGGTCGGATTGCCGCATGAATGAAGGGAATGATTTCGGAAAATTTGGTGTGCAGTGGCGTTTTCTCATTGTCCGCCATGCCCGGGACTTCCTTGACCTTGACGCAGTTCGGGTGTTGCTCCCGGTCGATGGTGATATCTGCGATGCTCAGAACGTGCGTGATGCAATTGTCCAGAATGTACTTTTTCCAGGTGAGCACGTCGTCAGTGTTGTGTTTTTCGTAGCCCTCCTCCTCCTTGCGTTCGACTTTGTCGGCGGGGATAAGCCGGAATAACGCATCCGGCCCGACAAATACGCCGGGCGCAACCTGGTGTCCGCAATCTGGCATGCTGGGCTCTCTCGGAGGCTTCGCGGTGCCGATCATTGAGGTTTTTTTGCTCCGGCACCGCCCTCTACTCGGAGATCGCTTATTGCCCGTCACCGTTCCGCGAGAAGAGACACGACGGGACTTGTCCTTGTTCTCCAGCTGGTACTGCTGTACCGCCTCTGCCGTAAACTGGTTTACGCCTGACACGCGCAAATGACCGGAAACGATGCCTGTTTGCAGAAGTTTATCTTGGTTTCGGTTCTTAGCTTTACGTACATGGTACAGAATTTATCGCCTCAGCATGCCTCGTTTTCGCATGATCATACCCTGTCATTTCTCTTGCTTCCGCGGAAATCGACATGCATGCCACCATGAACATGCAAGCACTGCTCCTTATCTTTACCAGTAGGCTCCAGCGCTCCTCGTGTACTGCCAGCCGATAAATCGCTCGTCGTGGCGTTCTTATTTAGCGGAGCAAGCTCCAGCCCTGCGAGCAAGTCGTCATCTCCGTGCTTGCTTTTCTTTCGACGGGGCGTGGAAGCTAAAAACTTGTGCTCCGCCGGCGGTGGCCTACTTCGGGACTCTGGAGACTCCTCAGGAACAGGCGTCAGTGTGGACATTTGCTGTCCTCCTGCGGATGAACCACGAGGCCTGATAAGTTTTCAGCTTCCAGTAAGTATGTAGGAATTACGCTTTCATGTTTTCAGATGCAGTTTAGAAGTACGCGCCAGGGAAGATCAAAAAATCAAGAGCAAAAGGTCCGTTTACGTATTGACAAGTTGCGCTATTGGAGTTGGACTTGCTGTGCAGAAATCCGCTTGCAATAAATATGAGAATCGCATTCAAAACTGTCTGACTCGATGTGAAAAGCAATGCAAAGCACATATTTCGTGTACTTTGCCGAGAGGAGTGAATTCGGAAACGGCGGGACAAGAGCGGTGGAGGACGAGCTACTGCCACCAGTTCCGAAAGCAGCGCTTCCGCAAGACGTGCGCTCCTGCTGTTTCCGCAAATTCGCGAGCTTTTCCGAGACTTGCTGCCCAAACAGAGCACCGTTTTCACGGCTTGAACTACCCGCATCAACGGCTTCGTGTTCATCGGTGCTGGTATTGATATAGGTATTGATGTTATTCAGCTGGAGAGATGGCACTGTGCCGTCGAGCTTGCTGTTTTTGCCGCTTGCCGCACCGACCGAAGTTTCTGAAACGTCGAAGGCGGACAGCTGCTGGCCCCGGCGCGCAGCCTCCTCCATCTGTAACTGCCCTATGGTCCAGGGTTTGTGCGAATTGTGCGTCAAAGAGGAGGGTTGCGGCCCAGCAGGAGTGAAAGGCACCAGTTGGGTGCTGCTGCTGCAGCTGGCCGATCCTGCTTCCCCGCCAATTGCACCTCCGTCCTCAACGAGTTTGATCATGTTCTGTTCAGGAACAGCGCAGTAAACCCGTAGGAAATGCTCGAGCACTGCGTCCACGAGGGACAATTTAGTGATGGCGTCCAGAAAAAAGTCACCTTGTTCGACTCCGGCAAGTTGGCTCCCCGGCTTCCGCAGCGATGGTGGTGGCGTGTGAAGTTTGCTCGCAGTTCCGCTTCGTAAAACGACCGCTTGTTCCCGGTCTTCCTCCTGCTGCTGCACCATAAGTGCCGCTGTGTTCACGTGAAAAATGCTGGCGTGGTTCTCTTGCTGCTGCTCGACAACGCCCTGCCCTTTGCTTTGAAGGAGTTTCTGCAGCTCGACTTGCTGGGCCATGGACAGTGATTTTTTGTTCATTTTTTTCGTCGTCTTGGCTGTGCCCGCATGGACCCGCTGGTCCACCGCGTTGCGCAGTTCTACTGCGTGTGGGCGCCTGGAGAGCCGTTTCATGGGCGGGCCTTCCGCGCAACTGTTCGTAGACTGCTTGCTGATGCTCTTCTTCGATCCGTGCGCCAGCTCTAGCACCCCCCGAGTACTCGTCATCGCGCCAAAGTGAGGGCTGCTGGGCGGCTCGTTGTTCACGCTGCTGCCAGTCGTTATGTTGGACATCTGCCTTTTGTGCGTGCTTGACGCGGGGCCACCCGACAGAGACAGCAGGCCACGGCCGCTGGATGAAAATCGACTTCCACCTTCATCTGCACCTCCGATTGACGCCAACAGTTTCTGTAAGAAGGAAGAATCAACAAGGCCCGCCGACGAGGAGCCTGCAGTCGACGCTCGGGCGGCGACCTCTTGGATCAGTGCCCCCTGTTGGCCGAGCTGGAAGAGCGACCTCACTTGCTGCGCCAAAGACCGGTCGGAATTCAGGACCAGGTCGTAATTCTCCGGGCCCAGAAGTGACAGCGGCTTCTCCGTCACGTGGACGGACGTCGGCCGGGGCATCGCCACTCTCAACAGCGCCTTCACGTAGGTGGCACCACAATCAACGGGTGCTATCACGTCAACTTTCACGATCGGGTCGAAAGTACTATCATTTCGTGGAGTTGTCATTCTCATTTCCGCTGGACCCGCTGGATCTACTTCTCGCCCTGCTCGATGTTGCCCCCAATTTTTTCCCTTCGTCCCGTAGTATTTCTGCAATTGCTCAATCGCGAAACTGGTGGCGACGGGAAGTTTTTCTTGCTCCAGCTTGTCCAAGAAAACCTGCACGGGCATCGGCTTCGAAGCGGCGCTTGTCGCTGCCCCTCCTGATGGACCATGGTGCTGATGATACGCTTGCGCCAGCTGCGCGAGCTCGTTGCTCGACAGCAGCGCGCGAAGTCCATCCTCACACCCAGTGCGGGCGTTGATGAGAACCCGAAAGGGTAATTCTTGTTGCTCGTGCGACTTCTCTTCTCGTTCCTCTGCGGGTGAGGATCCTCCGACCGGAAAAAGTAGGGAGTCCTCCAGCTTCTCGTGTAGGTCGCCCATTTTGCTTGATGCAATAGGCCGACAAATCAAGGAGCCGGAATTATCCCAGCTCCAATTATCGAAGAGTAAACCGCCACTCTTAGTGCTGTTGCTTTACCCCTCTTGTAAATATCTGAAGCATCTACAATCTGGATCTAATCTCCTTTTTGATATCGGCAAACCTATGCGGCGAAAAACTAGCAGCCAACGAGCCTCCGAAGCTGCTCAAAGAGCGCCGCAAGCCAAAATATGTGGCAGAGACGCAATTTTTTTCTCATGACTTTTCCAAGTTCACGTTCGCAGGACCTATACCATGATTTCACTCCAGAAAATTTGGAAATTTTGGCTGCTCTCGTTGCAGGCCCCGTCCCCATCGCGTCTGCACGGAGTCGGAATACAAGAATTCTGATGAGATTTGTTGATGAGATTGACAAAATCACGTCCCTCAGAGCGGAACGAAAAATCTTTATCATCTTCATCAGTCGTGCGTCATTGATTTCATTTCTCAATAAAACTAAAAACCGTTTAACAAGGCGCTATTCTATGTATCTACGCTACGGCTCGCTTTGCTCAAGCGCTCAAATAGTCCACGGGGCAAGCAGCACTTTCTGACGTCAGGTACACTCACATGCATCTACTGAAAATGTTGTATAGTATTTTTTTGTTATCTGCTCTCTGTGTCTCTCATCATCTTCATCTTGCTCTTTGCTTATTATAATCGTGGAGCAGAAACAATTCATTGCGACCACAGCATTTTCGGGTTGTCGTGAAGCGAACATGTCGGGGAGCAAGCAACACAAGGAAGCCTATCGGCCTCGGCTGTGCCTGTCAGCAAACATTCTCAGTGTAGAATCATACAGAAAACGAAAAGCTGTTCAATTTGTGTTTCTCGTTGTGATTGTTTGTCGACGTGTGGCGGTAATCAATCTATCACCAGCTTCTCTCATTTTTCAACATTCATTTTCAATTTCAACAGTTTGCAGCGGCTGGCAATGGCAAAACTTCATCGACATAAATCGACGATCCTGGGTTCGGAAATGGAAATCGAATGCATCGGTTCAGTCGTCATCTTCAGAAGGTGGGCATGAATGTGAAGAGTGATGGCCTGGTCTCGACGTTGAATCATGTCATGTTTTGTTCAGTATCTGTTCACCTCTGTGTCCAATAATAAAATACTTTTACTTCTAACTACACCACCGGCGAAGCTTGCAATTACCTACTCCTCGTCCTCGTCCGGCTTCTCCGCTGCTTCCGTAGGCGCTTCAGGCTCGTTGGCTTCCGCTGTGGGTTCTTTTTCTACTTCTTCCTCCGCACCAGCAGGCGAGGCTGCAGGAGGAGTCGTAGCGCTTGCAGCAGCTGCGGCAGCCGCACCAACCGCGGCGATCTGCTCGCGATTGGCTTCCGCCTCCTTCGTAATTTCCGCCGCCAGCTCGGCCCGCATTTTCTCCAGCTCAGTCGCAAATTCGGCTCGCAACTCTTCCACTTTTCTTTCGCTTTGCTCCTTCTCGGTGCCCAACTCGGCTTTCAGTTCGTCGATGACGGTTTGTTTTTCTTCCTTCTCCGCCGCCAGGGCTTCCTTCAATGCCTCGATCTCCGCGGTGAGCTGCTCGGTGAGCTGCGTGTTGGTCTCTTCCAATTTCTCCGTTTGCGCCAGCGCCTGCGCTTCGAGTTTCTGCTCGAGCTCGCTGTTCTGCGCTTCCTGCTTTTCCACCGAGAGCTGGTACTTCTCGATTAGTTCCTCCAGGGAGGATATCCAGGAAAAAAGAAAAACACCTATCCCCATCCATTTTTTGCATGACAAATAGTGGACTTTGTACATGTTTTGCATGACAAATTGGATGGGGATGGGTGTTTTTTCCTGGATAGAGGAGTTGATCGCGTTTTTCTCCAGCTTCAGCACCTCGATCGTGCCGCTCATTTTCTGCTTCTCCTGCTCCAACCCGTCGATGCCGCTCTGCAGTTGCTTGTTCGACGCTTCAATGGAGGTCTTCACGGACTCGATGTTCTGCTCCAGCTGCTCGTCGGCCTTCGTGATCTTCGTGCTCATGAAGTCACTCACCTTCTCGTCGCCCTCGAACACCCGCACGCCCATATGAATTGCAAAAGCGTCTGGATTTGGAAGATTCTAAACTTGTGATGCTGTCTCTGGATTCAAAAAAAATTTGTATTGCGTGACCAGCACAAAAGGACTCCAGTTATTTGGGCTAAACGGAGAGGGCATTTCTCATGCAGCAGAGGCATCACAACGTCCTGTAAAAATCTGTGATGCTCGTGCATGCATTACAGACTTCACGGGTCATGCAAAATATGCATGACAAATCTCGCAATCTTCCAGATCCAGACATTTTTGCATTTGATAGCCCATCTTGTCGAACGAGTCGCGCAAGTGGTCCAGGACCAGCATGGGGCTCTCAAACGTTACATTCTCAACTGTTACATAGATTTGTAATGCTAGAATGGCAAAAGTCAAAGGCGGGAGATTGCACCTTTAGCATTACAAATTTCGCACAGATTTAGGCGCTGCTTAGCCCTTCCAAAATTTGTCATGCGAAGTAGCTTCACCGTGTGGGCGTTAGTGCTCATTATGCATGACAAATCACGTATACAGTTGAGAATGTAACATTTGAGAACGCCATAACCAGGTTGAGCCGCTTCTGCCAGTCGTCCTGGTCCATCTCGCGGATGCGGAGCACCTCCAGCACCCCCTCCCCGAGCGCGTACTCCTTTTCCTCGTTCTTCTTCTGAAAGTCCTCGTGCTTGTTGTCGATCCGGTTCACGCGGTCCGACAGGTCCACCGCCCGCTGGTCGATTTCCCCGCAGTTTTTCTGCCGCGCGTCGCGCTCCTGCTGCAGTCGCAGCTCGAAATCCTGCGACAGTTTGTTCAACACCGTGTTGACGTGCTCCTCGAAGGCGGTCAGCCTCTTCTGAATGCCGAACAGACGCTCGGCCTCCTGCTTCATGCGGTCGATCTGCTCTTGCTTCAGCAGCCGGTCCACTTCCTCCATCATCGCCTTCTTCTCGTACAAGATCCGCGCCTCCAGCTCGTCTTTCACATCGTACGTCAACGTTTTGGCCTCGTCGAGCGTCTTGGCCACCGAGTCCTCGATCAGCTGCCGCAAGTCGCTGGTGATCTCAGTCAGGGTGTCGCACTTGTTCAGCAGGTCATTCTCCGCACGCTCGAGCTTCCGGTTCAGCTCCGTCTCCGACCGCGCGAGGGCGATCGCGGCCTCGTCCGCCAACCGATAAATCCGCTCCTGCAGATCCAGCATCTTCTCGCGCAGCATCTGCTGCAGGTCGATCTGCACGGTGTCGATGCGGTTGCGGTTCTCCTCCAGTTTCAGCATCAGGTTGTTTTCGGCCTCCTGCAGACCGGTGGCGAACATCACCCGCGTCTTGTCGATCAGCTCGTGGGTCATCAGCTTGCGAAAAGACTTGTTGTTCTTTTCCTGTTGCTGGATGTTTTTGGAAACTTTCTCCTCCATGTCCAGCATCGACGTGTTCACCGCGGATCGCACCTCAAACTCCAGCAACTGCATCTTCTTCTCCGTGTGCTTCTCTACCGCGTTGCACTTCTGCTCCGTCGTCCGCTCCAGGTTCTGGAAACGCTCCTTCCAGGCTGTCGTATGGGTTTGTGATGTTCTTGAATATGAACGTGATCATTGCATACAGAGTTTAATTCTAGGTGGCGTGTGTGTCATATATTTCGTCGGAGTGAGTCGTGTTAACATGTTGATTTGGCCATTCGTTGCGCTTTCAATCATGTCTTCACGTTGAACTCCTGAAAAAGAAAAATGCTGGTCGAACAAAAGAAAAAAGCTGTACCCAAATTCCCCTTTTCAACATTTCCGTCGAGCTTCCCCATGGCCACACAGGTCTGCTCGTAGCGGGAGAGGAGGTCCTTCAGCCGGGAATCCACGTCGGCCACTTTCGCGTTGACCCATTCTTTGACCCGGGTTTCGTGGTCCCGGCTTCGCGTCACCACTTTCGCGTCGGTTTCGTCCACCAATTTCGACAGGTCCGAACGCGCCTCCTGCAGTCGGTTGTTCACGTCGTTCGCGTATGCATTGCAAATATGTCTGGGTCCTCTGGAAGAATCCAACTTGTCATGCTAATTCTGGAACCCTGGAACCCTGAGGTGATGCTGCTTAGTTTTTTTCGGCTTGGAGACCCCCTCTTCGCCCTCGCGATCTCGGATGTGCGTGCAACCTAGTAAGTCGTTAGACTTGGGAGCTGCATGCAAATGTTTATGCGTGAGTGCTGCAGAGTCGCATGCAAAAGAGAAGACTCTGAGCGGGTTGCAGCAACACATGCGCGACCGAAAGAAACAAGAAGTAATCAACAAGAAGCACTAGAGCGAGAGGTGTGCGGCACCTCGAGATACTCGCTTTGGCGACAAAAGAGCAAAATACTTTTCACGTGCTGCTGCTGGATGTCAGATATTTGTTTGCGGATATAAAAACGAGTGTCAGCACCACCTCGATTGCAAGAGATGCAAAGCGAGGCGATAGCTGTAAAAAGGTAACAATCCTCAGTCCGAACGCGTCGAAAAAGAGGGGGCCGCAAAGCCCTGGGGGTGCTCAATGCCCTCATGCTAATTCTGGATAGTGCAAGGATCTTCTGTGTTGCATGATTACCAAAAGCTGTCCACTTTTGACCAAGCTGAGAGGGAGTTTCTCATGCAGAAGAGGCATGATAGAGCTCGAGGAGAATCTGTCATGCTGGGTCATGTATGACAGACCTCACGCGTCATGGAAAACCACCTGCATGACAAGTCTTGCATTCTTCATCCAGACCCAGAGATTTTTGCAGTTGATATCGCGTAGGCGGACAGCGACACGCACATGGACATGACCTTTTCGATCTCCGCCAACAAAGAGTGCTTGTCCGTTTTCTCTTCGTTTTTCACCGAGTCAAGCTTCTTCAGCAACACCCGGAACTCGTTCTGGTGCACCGTCTGCATGGTGTAGCACTGGTCCATCAGTTGGTTCTTCGTGACTTCCTCCTTGTTCTTCGCCGCGTTGGCGAGAAACATCAGAGACTCCTGCATCTTCTCCGCCATGGTCTGCACTTCCTTCGCCAAAGCGTTCTTCTCGGACCAGAGCTCCTGCAGCTCCTTCTTCTTCAGCTTCTCCTGCACCTCCAGCTGCTCGTCGAAGTCCTGTTTCAGCTTGTGCAAATCGTGCTTCTCCTCCTCTTTCACGTTCACGGCAAACGCCTTCAGCTGCAGCACTTCGTCCTGCAACTTCAAAAACTGCTGGCGGTTGATCTCGTTTTGCGCCACCAGCGACTCCCCCGTGCCGGCGGAGCGCTCGATGGCGGCGTCGTTCAGGATCTCCGAGGCCAGCTGCTTGGACTTCCGGTTGGCGACCGCCTTGTTGGACTCGTTCACCACCGCGTTCAGGACGACTTCGTACTTTTCCATCATCTCGATTTCTTTCCGCCGCTGCTCCTCCTCGAGGCGCTTGATCTTCTCGATCGCGCTGATTTCGACCTTCGCCACCGCGTCGTCGATCATGTCGTGCAATTTTTGGGTCTCCGCCCGCTCCTCCCGGATCGTCTTATGCTTGCGCGCCGACGCGCGGGCGGAATACGGGGAAGCTGCGGTGGGTGAATGCTGCTGGTCGTCGTCGGCGGGGCCTGTAGGGTGGTTTGATCTACGTTGCACACGAGGACTCATACGAAGTTATAAAGGTGGGCAGTTTCTACTTCACACAGTAGAAGCTATCACGTCAAGCACAAATCTTGAACCATTTTTACTTACCATCCCCACCCCCGGGCAACTTGCACTTGCTCCTACCCGCAACGAGGCTTCGCACCTGCTCTTCCAGTTGGTAGAAGCGCGTGCGGTTGTTCCACGGGTCCGCACTCAGCAAATTCTTCTTGAGCTCCACCAGTTCCTCCGTCAACGCCTCGACCTCCTTCGTCACAAACCGCTTGCTGCGGGCGGTCTCGTTCTCGAGGTTCTTCAACTTCGTCTGCACGTCCTCCCGCACAATCGTGTGCACCGCCTCGACTTGCCGCTTTAGCTGGTTCGACCGCTCCTCCACGTCCCGCTCGCATTTTTTCACCGAAGTCAGGCACGCCCGCTCCAGGTCCTCCTGCCGCGCTTTCAGCAATCTCGTTTGGTCGTCCAGGATCTTCAGCTCTGTGTGCCGCGAGGAGGTGTTGTAGTTGAGGTAAGACGGTGGAGCGCCGAGAGCCTGTTGCTCACCGAGCATGTGCTGCGGTGGCAGGCTGCTTGAGGACGCCGATCCACCACCTTGTCCAGTCGCGGCGGCCACAAGTGTGGGGGACGCAGTGCTCGCATTTTGGTAGCTGGACTGCGACTGCCCACCGAGACTTTGCCGACTCCTGTCGCGAATCAATGTGGTGTTGTTACTCACGCGCGTCGAGGGGGAAGACGGAAAATAGCCCGCTTGTTGCGAAATGTCGCTGGATAATGGATTGGCGTACGAGACCTTCGGATTCGGCTGCGCAGCAACAACAGCGGCGCCCGCATTCACCGGGGCACTGCGCGGTGCAAAGAAATCGCGTTCCGGCGGACGCTGGCCAGCTGGGATTTGGGGAAGACGGGGCTGACTCATGATGATTGTGAATGTCGCAACAAAAGATGAAACGAGTTCTTGTTTGAGCTGCAAACTACTACAAGCTTTTTTGCTGTGGCTTCAATTATCCTTGACCTTGTGGCATCACCGACAAACTGCAGCAAGGGGCGGTACATACATCAGTATAGGGAAGCAGGTCCGACTTGGAATTCGGCTTTGGATTGGTGATAACTACATCCTCTAGCTACAAACGACACCAGATCTGTAGTTCAACAAAAATACGACTGTTTTTAGCGACAAGAAACACAAAGCGTCCATCTCTCAGTAAATGACTCACACATGATGAGGACTCGACGAGCGATGATGAAGAAGTGTATAAACATCTACAACGAGATGCACGATGCGAAAATAAACGGTTGATAGATACAGACGATGTTTTATCAATTTTTCGATTATTCGACCGAGACTTTCGTCCTGCGAGATCGAGACGTAATTCCATTCAGAAACACATGTCGCCACGAATGTACCACAGCTAAACAAAAGCAACGAAGGCACAACCACAAGCATTGTTGTTGCAACATCAGCTTCATCTGAAGGCGGCTAACTTGCCCCTTACTTTTACCGGCGAGTCGGAGTCAGGAACGCTATGAAAAATATAGGCTTCTGCGGATGCAGTGTGCGATGACTAAGGTCGCTCGCGCCTTCTTTGATTCATGTTCATCTACTTCCCTTATTTCTTCCGGCAGCTCTCCCTTCCAAGGCACGCAAGACCACCGCGTCGTCAGCCCCGGAGCTGGGCAAGAGTATTTTCCGCGGTGCTCGATCTCCCCTGCCACTTCGTTTGGCAATAATTTTGTCACAATTGGCCAGCATCATTCTCGTGTTCTCCCGACTGCTTTCCTTCAGCGCTGCGATTGTCGGCGACAAGGTTTTGCTAATTTCTACGTCCAGCTGCTTCAAAAGTTTGGTGCAATGCTGCAGACGATGCTGGAGCTCCGCCGTGGTTGCGGTCTGCTTCTCGTCACGAAAATCTGTTTTCAACGAGGGCGCTATTGTCCGACTCGCATCGCCAGCAGCGGAAGAACTCGCTTCCTTCACGAACGCCTGCGCCCTGCTGCCCGTCACAGTAGGTGGTCTCATCGCTTTGCTAAACCCGCTCATGCCGGAGCTGGTCTGGTCCTTGCGCAAGGCGTCGTTTAGTACGTCGTAAACTTTCGTGTGTAGATCACTGATCTCCTCATCGACGGGAGTCCGACGTGATGCAGACGTGTAGTTGTGAATGGGAAAAAGTCCCTCAGTCGTGCCGTTCTTATTTACCACTTTCTCTACTTCTCCGGATCGCTGCCTCGCCGATAGCACCTGCTCTTCCGCGGAGGACGAGGAATGCGCACCGGCAATGTCTGCCGCAGCGACCTCTTGTTGCTTCATCTTCGCACTGGTCGTTGTTTCTGAAGCCCGCCCTTCTGCTGCAAGGGCCGCATCCATTTCTCTTGCACTGGCCATTTCGGCCAGGTAAAGATCAACCTTGCCGACTAGTGCTGCCCGTTGATTTCTTGCAAATGAGACTGCGTCTCGCTGTCTCATCCTTTTGTAAGGTGGATCAGCCTCGTCGGTGTCTTCGACATACCCTGGTGGCGACCCGTCGAAATCCCCCGGACCTGTGCTATCGCGACGAATCAAACTGCTGAGAGAATCCTGCCGTGTTAAGAGTCCGGTACTATCTCCGTTCGCAGGAGAGCGGCCATCAGCGTGGTCTTCTGGACGGGTTCCGGCTCCATCCTGCGATGCATGATTTTTTCCGTCAAACACGCAGGCTTGCTCTGCAACGAACTCCAATTTTTGGCCGGCTGACTTCAAGCTCAGGACACGTGCTTGCAAAGATGAGGAACTCTTCGTTGCACCAGCGCCGCTGCCTCGAGTCCCCGGCTCGAATCTGAAAGCGCTAACGCGGCCTCTTGAAGTGCGCGAGTCCGCTTGCGGAGAGGTGGACGAGGACGCTTGCGTTATTTGCGCTTCCAACATCGCTATGCGCTGTTCCATCTGCTGTGCAACGGACAACTGCAGAGCTTCGAGATCCTGGATTTTGACTTTCGCTTCTCGGTCAGAAATTCTTGATGGACGAGATGCTGGCGCTAAAAAGCCAGTCACAGCATCAAGAGCAGATGCATTCGCGGTTGCTGGTGTAGAATGGCCTCTTGGTTGCGCATTGACGGGACCGCACAGCGTCAAAGCTGATTTCGCCGCGGAAACAAGGGCGCTAGAAGTCGTCCGCCCGCGAGAGGTGGACGGTGACGAGCTTCCTCCAGCCCTAGTGCTGCTTCCAGTCGGGTGTCCCAGTGGCGATATTTCTTGTGACCTTTTGGCGCCACCAGCTTCTGGGGCGAGGGCGTCTGTACAATGAACCAGTGGTGACTCATTGTTGGCAATGCGTGTCAAAGTCTGTTGGGCATCGGCAGCTTGTCGTCGAACGTCAGTCCGCAGAAGCCGGAGTCTGTCATTTTCATGCGACATTCTTGATGCTCAAAATCATGCACAACAACAAACACAATCGGAAAACGTTACTGCAAGTGAGAACAACGCAAGTGTGGTGCAATGGATCATATGAGAACATCAGCACCGCTTCTAGTACTAATTGACGCTCCTACCTTTCAACCACCCGTCGGAATGCTTTCCGGTCTTGGAATCGCCGAAAGCTCCTTTCACACTTGGGTCCTTTTTGATCGATATCCTCGGCGGTCCATTTTGGTTCGAGAAAGATAGCCGGATTTTCCTCCTCCAAGACGCTTCTGCTGCGGCGGTGGTCGCGGGCGACAAAGATCTCTTCCTGCTCTAGAGTCAATGCGCGTCGCTCTTGGAGCAAGTTGAGCACATCGGACGAAATTGATGTCATGTTCAAGATTTCGTGCCTTTCATGATTTCCGGAAAAGTAAGTGTGGAACTACATGGAACCAGCATTCAACTTCGTCGATCCTCTTGCTTTACTAGCTTTCATCAGGAGCATTGATAGTCATATCTACAATTTCATCGCAAGACTCACGAACAATTCAATTTCCTGAATAATTCAAATTGAATAATTCAATTTCGTGAATAATTCAAATTGAATAATTCAATTTCATGAATAATTCAAATTGAGTAATTCAATTTCATATCAAGTCTCAATCTCGAATTCAAATTTTCGTATTTTCATATCAAGTCTCAATCTTAATCTCAATCTCAAATCGCAATCTCAATCTTAAATCGCAATCTCAATCTTAAATCTGAGTGCGCAATAGGATCATAGTCAAAATCATTCACACAGCTTGGGGCGCAAGAGGATCATATCGAAAGGGCGGGGGGGGCGCGGGGGGGGGGCGAGGGCCCCCCGCATGTCAGTCTTCATCTTAAAAGTGAAAACTTTTCGCACAGATTGGGGCGCAGTATCATCATATCGCAAGGGCGGGGGGGGCGCGGGGGGGGGCGAGGGCCCCCCGCATGTAAAAGTCATAATCTTAGATCGATCAGTTATAATCTTAGACTTAAAAACTATTCATACAGATTGGGGCGCAGTAGGATCATAGTCAAAATCATTCATAAAGATTGGGGCGCAATCGGATCATATCGAAAGGGCGGGGGGGGCGGGGGGGGGGGCGAGGGCCCCCCGCATGTAAAAGTCATAATCTTAGATCGATCAGTTATAATCTTAGAATTAAAAACTATTCATACAGATTGGGCCGCAGTAGGATCATAGTCAAAATCATTCATAAAGATTGGGGCGCAGTCGGATCATATCGAAAGGGCGGGGGGGGCGCGGGGGGGGGCGAGGGCCCCCCGCATGTGAGTCGTCATCTTAAAAATGAAAACTATTCGTACAGATTGGGGCGCAGTGTCATCATATCGCAAGGGCGGGGGGGGGCGCGGGGGGGGGGCGAGGGCCCCCCACATGTAAAAGTCATAATCTTAGATCGATCAGCTATAGTCTTAGACTTAAAAATTATCCGTACAGATTGGGGCGCAATAGGATCATAGTCAAGTCTTCATCTCAAAAGTCATAATCTTAGATCTTCAAGCTATAATCTTAGATCCTAAAATCATTCATACAGATTGGGGCGCAATGTCATCACATCGAAAGGGCGGGGGGAGTGACGTAGGGGGTCACTCGGATCTGCGCGGTCGCGTGTCGCTTCCTTACTGAAATCCCTAAGGAAAAAAAGCTTCAGCGGATCGCGCGCACGGAGACATCGCGAGCAGCCGACGGAGACGGAAGCCGGCAACCGCAACCACGGATGCTGCACCTGGAAGGCGTGCAACGATGGCGCAGATGGATGCCTCCGTCAATACCTTCCCCCCATTCTTCCAGAAAACCCATGCCCCGGGTAGCCAGAATAGCTGTGCTAAACACAGCAACTCGGGAAAAAAAAAAACAGACTCCCAATACCTTTCCTCCCACAACCCTACTAGAAGACTCTTGCCCCGGGTAGCCTGAATAAGTAGTAGCCGTGCTAAGCACAACAACCCGAGAAAAGCTTCAGCTCTGCTAACCCTTCCCGATAGCTTCCCAATACCTGCCCATTATCCTTCTAGGAAAACCGTTCCCCGGGTAGCCAGAAGAGTTTTGCTACCCCGGGAAGAAAACCCGCAAAATCGTAGAGAAATCAGCTGCCTTGCGATTCTTGACAGCTGGAAATGCCCCGAGGCATCTCCGCCCGCAAATCTATCCACCTGGCATCGCCTTGGGGCGTCTTGACCTAAAATCCCAGCTAACAATGCGCCGCAGATGCCTTTTCAAAGTGTTCCCCACAGCTGGATTCCAAGCTAGAAATCGAGCACCGTCTTCGACTAGAAATCCAGCTGCTCACACTTTGAAAAGGCCGGGCTGAAATGCGCTGAAGAAACCTTCTCGATGCGTTTCCATCTGGATCTCCCTCGAAAAGGCGTTTCCAGCCAGCTGGGTCTCCATTGCCACGGCGTCTCCAGCTGGATAATCTTCGAAGGGGCGCCCTCGAACGATTTCCAGCTGGAGGCGCGTTGCTTGCGGATGCCTCTTTAAGTAAGTAACGCATTGACTCCCGGCTGGATTTCCTCCCAGCTAGAAAAAAACGCGCCGCCGTCTGGGTTTCCCGCTAGGAATGCTCTGAAAAGGCGTCTCCGGCTCCATTTCACGCTAGAAATACTCCGAAAAGGCGCTGCGGGCTGAATTTCTTCCAGCTGGGGGCGCTTTGGCGATGCCTCTCCGGCTGGATTTCGTTCTGGGAACGCGCTGGCGATGCCTTTCCGCCTGGGTCTCTAGCCGGAAACACGCTGCCGCTGCCTTTCCGGCTGTATTTCCTTCCAGCTAGAAAGGCACTGAGACGGCATTGCTAGCTGGATTCCCTGCTGGACACACACCGGGGCGGCGTCGCTGGCTGGATTTCTAGCTAGAAACGCACTGAGACGGCGTCCCTAGGTGGGTTTCCAGCTAGAAATGCACTGAGACGGCGTCGCTAGCTAGATTCCCAAGCAGAAACGCACTGCGACGGCGTCTCTAGCCGAGTTTCCAGCTCGGCATGCTTTGAAAAGGCATCCATTAGGCCGCGGATGCATTTTCGCTGCGTCTCCGGCTGGATTTACTTTCAGCTAGAAGAAAAGGGCTGAGCAGGCATCTCCAGCCGAGCTCCCAGCTGGAAAAGCGTCGCGCGTGCGTTTCCAATGCGTTCCCGGCTAGATTTCCTTCCAGCTGGAAATGCACGGAGGGGGCCTCTCTGGCTGGATTTCCAGCTAGGAACGCAAATGCTCTGTCTGAGAGGGCGTCCCTAGCCCGATCTCCACCAGCTCGGTAGAAATGCCCTGAAGAGGCGTTTCCGGCTGGGATGCGCTGCGGATGCGTTTTCAATGTGCTTCCGGCTGGGCTTCCTTGCAGCTGGAAACGCACTGCGGCACGACAGCAGAAGCGGTGTCTTTCTCAGTTGATACCGAAAACGCCCGCGCGCCGTTGCGGCAGGTGAACTCTGTGAAAAACGTTCCTTCTAGCGCAAGTTTGCGATGTCACACCCAGCGGGCGAAGCTATTCGAATCTCGTGTGATTCCTACAACAAAATCACGACCACAGGAGGACGACGACAAGGATTGGAGTTCGTGTACTACTGCGACCACGACTGCGCATAGAGAGCTACATCTTCATGACTTGAACGAGCAGGAAGCACATGAACATGATCATGATAATTCCAATTTTATTTGGATGCGAATAGAAGCATGACAAAAGCAAAACTGGGTCGAACAAAGAGCGGGTGCGCAATACCCAGAATTCTAGCAGGATCAGTTGCCTGTGCGCCGGTTCCGTCGACCAAAATGTCGCCCAGAAATTTGCGTATGCGTATCATGGCACACGCACAATTATTTAAGTGAGTGCTTCCAGTGCGAAACAAAAAAAGGGTCAACATTTGGTGGAGGTCTCGACATCATTCGCATCACTAGCAAAATGTCCAAATGGAACAGCTGCACACGGAGAAACTACATTTACGAATATTTATTGCAAATCCGTCGTTAAACTTCTTAGTCTTACACCTACTTACAGAATATTGATTTCCTCTTTTTTGGTCACCGATTCATGCCGGACTTTCAGCGGACCCTGGCGTCGTCTTTTGTCTTCGATAAAACTAACAATCTTCATCTCATTTTTTATCGCTACATATTTTTTATGTCGATTGAAAGATGGCGCAGCGAATTTGCGACGTACAATCTATTCCACGAAACAACCAACGACACACACGGAAGGTCAGCATCGGTCACGGGTCACGACGTCGACGAGAGTTTCATATTTGATCATCACATAGAGCAGAGGATATTTTCATTGTCCTTTTGCTATTTCACATTCACTTGATTGGACAGAGGAAAGATTATCGGTGCAGTACTGGAGCGCTCATTTCTCTGCGAACAACGCGCGAAAAGGGTAGCAACTTTCTTTGCAGGAGGGGATCATAGAACGCGTGTCCTAGAACCCTCCGCGCCCCATCCTCTGCTTGTTCTTCGAGGACCACTGTTGCGCGCCCTCGAACCCGTGGGTGCCCATCTGATAGTCGCGAAAGGCCTGCTGGATTTCGGCCTGGCTGGTCATGACGAAGGGCCCATACTGCACGATCGGCTCTCCAATCGGCCGTGCGGCCACCACCACGAACTGCGACTCCGGCCGGATTGCGCGAATCTCGATGCCCACCTTCTCCTCCCCCGAGCTCCCGGTGGCACCGGCGTCCGCATTCTTGTTCGAGGCCTGCGTCATCAAGTTCTTCGCGGCCTTGAGGTTGCCTCCGCCGGACGCGCTGCCGCCCGCGCCTGGGTTGGACTGCAGCGTAACCGTGGTGTGACCCTGCACAACCTTGTCGCCAATTTTAGAACTGCCGTCACCCTTCACGATGATCTCCGCCCCCTCGAGCGTGTACAGAAATGCGGTTACGTATCCTGGTGCGCAATCAACATCAAGATTTTTCTTCTACCATGAGCCTCGATTTCGGTTTGTTATTGTTTTATTTTCTCCTGGTGGTGCACGCATAGATTCGTAAATTACAGTGGCAAAGCAGACCAGTCAACATTGACCACATTTCATTCGATATCGCTTTAGAAATAGAATAGATAGAATAGAAATAGTAGCAGCATGACATCATAAAAATGCGGATGACGGCACTAAGAAGTGAAGTAGATTTTGATTTGTTCCACCGGGATACAAAGTCGCCTGGGATCATCTGGCGGAACACGGCATCCTTCTCCAGCATTTTGACGTGGATGAGATAGCAGGGCGTCCGCGTCCGCACCTGACTGGTCTCGCCGAGCGACGTGCCCGCCGCGATTTGCACCTGCACTAGCTTCCCGTTCTCGTCCGTGGCCTCGGCGCGGGCCAAGTCCTTGGCCGGAATTTCCTGGTACTCGGGCGGCGACATCTTGTCCTTTTTCGACAAATTGATCCACATCTGCAGCCCGTGGGCCTCGTTGCGGGTTTCCGGCACCTCCGAGTGCATGATGCCCCGCGCGGCCGTCATCCACTGCAGATCCGAGGGGCCCAGAATGCCGGCGTTCCCCTTACTGTCCTCGTGCGTGAAGTTGCCGGGCGAATCGGGAAACATGTAAGTCACAGTCTCCATTCCCCGGTGCGGGTGGTCGGGAAAGCCGGCCGGCAGCCCAACCTTGAATTCGTCCAACATCAAAAACGGGTCCAAATTCTTCAACTCCGGGCGTCCGATGGACCGGCGAACCCGCGCACCGGCTCCCTCTCCCTGTTCCTGCGAGACGAACGCACCGGTGGCCCCGCGGATTTTCGCACTTGACTCGAAGGGCGGCGGCATTTTGCCGCCACGAAAACCGTACCGCGCCCACGCCATCTGCGAGTGTGTGGCGTTGGGGTTCTGGAAATTCGGATCGGAGGTTTTGCTGCTACACTTGACGGAGGTGGAGTTGTGCAGATGATGACCTTGTGCTGAGAGTTGTGCTGTGCTATCACTGCTGTCTGCACTTCTATCACAGGTTTGCTCCCGCTCCTCCTCAATGTGTTGCTGACACTTTTCCTCCGCTTGGGCGACGGACTGGATGAATTTTTCCTGGGGCTCGTCGGGGTCAAAATCCGTCAGCAAGGAGCCGTCGTGGTGGAAGTCGCAGGCATGGATGTGTGCTAGTGTACTCAGGACGTCTACTAGCAGCCCAGCTCTGATCGAACGACCAAATGAATTCGAATACGTTCTTGCAAGCAAGTAATGGATCAATAAAGTTGCGCCACTTATACTCATTGAACAAGTAGGATTCGTATCCTTTGAACTCAACTAAATAAATATCGTTTGAGGGCCAACCTCAATATTCTCCATGACCCTAGAACAAAGGAGAAAGAAATGAGATGTGGCTAGAGGGTGAAGTGGCTGCAGGCGATCACGGTGATAAACGACTCGACCGCTTCATCGCAGTTGTCCGCGTCAATACAACTTTTTTGAACAATTCATTTACACATCAGCATATCAATATCTGTATCTATCAAAACGAAAAGAGCCTGGGGCTACCAGCAGCTAAATCGAATCGAATACATAGTGCGAGAATGTTGTAATCCTTCTGTGAGTAAATGTACAAATTCAATTGTGCATCGCAATTATCAAGCACAAACACAAGTATCTTCATCCCCTTCGATGCAACGAACTACTACTTAGTATACCCTCGTCTCGAATTCTGAATTTGCGCATATGTGTCGTCACTCAGGTCACAAACACATGCCACAGCTTGATGTAACACTTGATTGCAGCAAACGAACCGATCAGTGTATTTTCCGAGGACTACACAGTGTCACATGTGGAGCAGAACGACAGTTTCTCGCGAAAGATTCCGACATCCATAAAGTCCAAGAGCACACATCCATGAAGCATTGCAAACTACTCAAAGAGAAGTCTGCTTTTAAAGATCATCTCCGCCTTCTCGTACGAAAAAAAGAGGTCGCTCCACATCATAATGAGTTGTTAGTTTTTATTTTATTGCATTTACATTTTGATTTTTGTTTTTCGGGTCAACTAGAACTATAAAAGGAAAAGAAAAACTTGATGTGTGCGGTCGATCATCATGAGTCTCCTGCTCTCCTTCCCTGCGACCTCCGTTGAATTCATGCAAATACGCGACCACACGCACACAGTACGTCAAAAAACAGCTAAATAACGAACCTAAACCAATTGAAATAATTGTAAAAAAAAAATATTCATTCAAAGATATATCTGTTGCGCAACACTACATTCAGTAATATGGGCACGTACTGCTCTGTTTTGACACCCGCTTCTGCAGGCTGCTCGACGTGTAAAGGTAGCTTTACTTAGCCAGCGGCCTCCTGTACAACGTCTAAAAAGTGCAACAAGGAAGGTTGTGCCTGTAGGTTTACGGGCAAATACAAGTAGGTGTAGGTCGTCGCGAATACAGCAACAGCTGCTCGACAACGATTTATTAAGGTCCCATCATGTCTTTCCAAATGCATATTCTGTAACGAAGTAAATTCCCTTGAGAGCACGAATGTCGTGCAGGCTCTTTGTCGTTAGCTTTATACCCACTCGCACATCATTAAGTTTGCAACTGCCATCGTCGGTAATTAGGGTCTGACTTCAACAATAGCTTCATCTTGGTTGCAGCTTGCGATCGGTACAACTATTCAACAGTGGCCGCAGGCCCCCCAGGACATGATTTATTTCTTGTGGCTCAGGTAGCGTTCTGAAAGCACTCAAAGGAGTGTTACAGATTCTCGCTCATGCTCGTGGTGAGCGGCGGTAGAAATGTTTTTTTCTCGAGAAAAAAAACGAGCAATGCTTTTTAAGCTTTACACTACTATGTTTGTACGGCACAAACACGTATTAGTCGACCGTTTTTTTTTTTGCGATTTTATCAAAGCAGGAGCCATCCCCATCAGTCAACTCCAACTTCGACATATCTGAAAAATGCACAACATGGTGTGCGTCCGTGTCTTTTTTACATGTTTTTTCCATAGTGACAAAGCTCAAATGGTCTGCAGAACAGGAGCTGGGATGTATATGTATTTGATATTGGTCATGATCGTGTTTCCAGTCAATGTCCGCATGGCAGTCGATCAATTTAGAAGCAAAAACAATCAGTGCTGTTACGCTATGATATCCTCTTTAGATGTGATGTTGACGTGCTTCCATTATCTTTGTCACTTCAGGCATGTCGGGTATATAGTGGGGCAACGACATACACTTCTTTGTGGAGGCAGTGTTTGCCTTCGGCTTTGCTCGTGGTCGTGGTCGTCGTGATTTCTTGATACAAGTCGTCGAGAACAAATCTGCAAGTTTATCGTTATCCTTATCCAGCTGCCACAAACTACAAGTCGTGCTCTGCAAGTTGTAGGCTCTTGGCTTCTTACTTTTATCATCTAGTCACACACTACGAAGTCAAAATTTCTGGCCCCTTGTAATTTCCTACTTGTAGTCCTTTTATTCATATGTCGATCGGGATCTGAATCTCTAGGAGTTGGCAGTGCACTCCTGTAATTAAAAATACCTGGGATAAGGATCGGTCACCCGCTGAACAGAGTTACGCAGATGACATGCAGGATCTTCGATCTTCTTCTAGTTTTACGTTCTGCTTGTTCATTATGTTTATTTTGCTACTACAGCTCATCCCCCCTGCACCGCGTCTGGAACCGGAAAAAGGCTTGTTCCACCTGCTTCTACGTAGTGCAGCTTATGACCCGAGGAACTCGTCTGGAATCGAATGAAAAGCCCCTCGGGACATGTTGGAGCTTCGCTTTTTACTGGTGGGTGTTTGTTCGTCAGTTTCAGAGGGTTGCTGCACGTCTCGGTCTCGTCCCGTCCCGTCCCACCCACCCACCCACCCCCGAGTGGGTAGATCCAGACATCCATCTCCCGCGGCTTCTGCTCCTGTCGCGGCCTCCGAGTCCCAAGAACTGCAGTTGTGAATCGAGCTCCGCTACCTGGCGCTCGTCGCGAAACGCCCCGCACAGATCCGAGAATTTTTTGTTGCGCCGCATCCCCATCCCGACCGGCTCCGAGATGGAGCTACTCAGCGTTCCATGGCTTGACGTATCAACATCATCGTCATCATCATCACCCTTCTTGCATAGGAGTCGCTCTCGCGCTTGCGCCAGAATGCTGGAGCTACTACCAATATCCCCGCGGTGGTGTCGATTCGTCCCGCTATGACTCACGTCGTCGAGTCCGCCGCTCGGTCTAGCACACTGCGGCTCTGAGTCGTGGGGTGGCGTCGTAGGTCGAGGTCCTCGCGGATCGACTTGCCCGGGGGTTGACGTCCTGGCCGACTGGCTTCTTTGCTGGTGCGTCGTCACGAGCCCTAGGAGCGGAATCCCAGTTTGAGAAGGAGGTCGCTGATGAAACATCTCCGCACCAGTCGGGAGATGACTTGGGGCGGCAGTTGAAGAACTAGTAGGAGGTTGCAACTGTAGTTGATGAACATATGGTGAAGGAAACGCTGGGCGGGACAGGCGCAGCAATTTGGGAGAGCAGCTCTGCTCTACTTGTGAGAAATCCTGGTCTGCTTCTGCTTGATGTTGGGAATACGAATCACGTTCGTGCTGCCGCTTGCGCTTGCGTGTCGGTTCTACAGCAGACAGCCTTCTTGTTCCATTTTCAGACCCAGACGAGGAAGAGGATGCAGATTTCGATGCACCAGATCGCCCCCGAACAAATCGATGATATTCTCGTGGCTCATGCCTCTCGTGGTTGAGTAAACTTGCGCTCGTCCTCAACCTGAAGCCGTCGTCCAGATCCCCCATCATGGGTGGTTCCGGCTCCTGATCTCCGCCTTGCGTCCCAGCTCCTGCTGCGGAACACTGGGCTTGAGTAGTTCTAGTCGTTGTTGGTCCACCACTGAAATACGCCTGCGACATCATTTTGTCGTCATCGAGATTTTTCGCAATGTCCCGATGCTGCTCGTCTGGTGCCGTATTTCTGTACAGAAGACGTGGCTCCGCTGGCCACCGGTGCTGCACGTCGATAAGAGTGTACTGGTTGTGGGGGGTCAGGGCGCCTGACCTCCGTGCTCTTGATGTGTTCTCAATCTCATGCTGTGATGATGTTGCTAGTGTGCCCTTTGGCAGGCTGGTGCCTGCGACTCCCTCCTGCAGCCCGAGAAAGACTGCTGGGTGAGGGTGCTGTTCGTCAGAAAAATAAGTGCTCGAAGTCGCTTCGCGTTCTTGCTCCGGCCGCCAACCGCTGGAGGCACTATCGCTGATCACGTTTGGCAAGAAGTCGGTAGGAGCAATACTGTCACTTCCCGCGCCCAGATCCAGAAACGGCACGGGCGAGCGAGGTGGAGAGAGAGGGGATCTTCGTCCCCCACCAGTGGTCTGTGTCGTCATTCCGTCGGCGGCTGTACTGGAATTCAACATCGACGCCGCAGAGACCGGCAGGAGAAAATTGAAATTAGTGGAGAAGGTGTCTGCGGCGCACGCTCGGCCTTTGCTTGTCCCGTGGTCCTCGTCGTTCTTCACTTGTGCAAGTGACAACGGAGGGCCGCAAGTAGAGTGAAATGACGGGGGCGCGAGGAGGATGCTCCCACAGAACACGAACAGGGTCACCATCTTCAAACTTGCGTTGACAAGTGAACAGATGCGGTTAGTCCTACTCCTCCCGAAGAGGACATCGACATTCCGCAAATGATTTCTTATCATTTCTTGGTCCTTCGATAATTTACTTATTTCCGGTATTGATCTTCAGCTTCGGCCGCAGTGCTTTCACGAGTCCTGCGCCGGCCGCGAGGGAGAATCTGGTATATAAATCTGGTAATAGTTAAATCCTACCATAAAGATCAGATCTTTTGCTATCAGTGTCGGATCTTGAAGAGAAAAAAGGTGCTCATCACTTTCTTCACTGGTTCTGGTAATAATCCTGCGTTACCTATAGTACGAGAAAAGTATCGTCGCTAACCAAGAAAGAAAAGGAAGATATTACGAGAAAAGAAAGGAAGCTCCACACCGATGCAACTGCCACTGGTACTGCTACCGACTCCATGAGTTTGGTTTTCTATCCAAGAACGGCAAGATCAACAACAACATCCAGCGGAAGACATTGATCAAACTTACAAAAGTTGTCTCCTGAAAACAGTACGAGCATGTCGTAAAAACTAAACGACCTCCACAACTTCAAGTTGTCATTTTTCATCTTCTGTTTGTGTTTTGTCTTCACCATTGCAGTCTCGCGCTCCGTGTACTATCCAACTTGGTTCGTGCGCCTGCGCGGCCGTGTGCACATATCAGTATCACACCGCTCCCGCTCGTCTACATTAGATTGCGATTCTTCTCGTTACACTGCGTAAAAGGATGGAGATTATGGACATGCTAGGGGCATCAACTGCTACTGCAACAAGACATCAGAGCAAGTCAGCTGAACCAATTTCTGTTGCTGAAGATAGCATCTTTTGACAGAAAAATTTTTGTAGTACAACCTCTTACATCCTAATTTCATCTTTCATTCACATTCTTCGCTCATATCTTTTTCTTTCGTACAAAAAAGCACCTCCGACGCCTTCACTGATGGCGAAAGGGAAACCTATTTAATTTTCCACTAGCGTTACGCTGCATGACATTTACATTTTGTTCTACCTCTACGTTTCCAATTCGAGTTCCATTTGCTCTTGAAAATGAAATTGCGATTTATTCTCTGCGAAAGGCACAGATACCAAAGAAAAACTCAAGTAGTATCATCTTTGGATTTTACGAGCATCGTTTTCGAATTCGACTATTAATTTCGATGATGGAAGCAATATTTTTCCTGCTGCAGAAGTTGTATGAAGTATATTTTTACTTAGATTCATCGTGATTTTTCTATTTCTTCGTTCGGCGAGGACGAGTCAACCAGTTTCATCCATGTGAACAAGCTAGTACTCCACGCCCAGCCGGACCGTCGCGAGGTGCAATAAAGTCGAACTCGGTCGTGGATCAATCCCACCGCACCACTTGTTTTGACACCAGTTTGCCGTCCCCGTGCTTCTCTATCCTGTGCAAAAGTATCGTACTCGTAGCTAGTAGTTGCTATCATGCATGACAAATATCCCTTTTTAGGCAAATCAGCATTTCTTCTTCCGAAAAAATTTGTGATGCAATTTATAAAATAACAATAGAGAATTTTTGGTCCGTTTTTTCGACCTTATAGTCTATAGGGCGTTTCTTAGAAAATGATTAGTAGGGGCGCGCCGTCTTAGAAGATTCCCGTAAGGCTATCCCTTAGGGGATAGCCTTAGGAAGCTTGACTAGACGGCGCGAATACAAATGCCGCAAGCGCAGCTGGGTAAGTAAGCAATTTACTTGCAACTTTTGCTTTGCAACGCAAGCCGCAATGATTTGCGAGGGCAAGTGGCAACCTGCAGCGCAGGTTGCAACTTGCAACGCCAGCCGCCCAGGGGTTGTTAACAGCCCTCGCGGCCTGCGCTGCAAGTTGCGGCCCGCGCTGGAGGCGTTGCAAAGACCGGCAGCCTGCATGCCAAAGAAAGGCTACGGGGCGCGCGTCGCAGAATAAACAAAACCCGGCGGACTTTACCGCGGGCCCCATGGCTCAAGGAAATCGAAAAAAAAAACGCCGGGCCGGTTTTTACCAGGCCTATTCTGGCTACCCCCAAACCCCGACCCCGCTTGGGGGGGTAGGGGGGGGGCGATGACATCCGGGAAAACGAAAAGGAGGGGAGTGCCCCTTGCGAAGTTTAAGGCAAACACCACCCAAAGGGCACAAGCGCAACACCCGGGGGATATATCTGGGGACATATCTGGGGACATATCTGGGGATATATCTGGGGATATATCTGGGGATATATCTGGGGATATATCTGGGGATATATCTGGGGATATCTCTGGGGACTTTCTCATCTTCGTCTCTTCCATCTCTATCATCAATTACCCACTCCGTTATCAACGTCGTTCTTATCTTCGTCTTCCATTCGTTCCTCTCATCTCATCTCCATCATTCTCATTCTATCAAAATCATGCATCATCCCCACCCACCTGGGGATATATCTGGGGATATATCTGGGGATATATCTGGGGGCATATCTGGGGACATCTCTGGGGACATCTCTGGGGATATATCTGGGGCTATATCTGGGGAGATATCTGCTCTGGGGGCATCTCTGGGGATATATTCTCTCTGGGGATATCTCTGCTCTGGGGTTGTGTCTGCTCTGGGGATATATCCCCTCCTCGCGGGCGGGAAAAAGCACAACAATACGGCTTTTCTTACTCCTATTGCCGGCCCGTATAGATTAGGGGGCGCCCCACAGGGGCTGAGTAGTAGGGGGGGCCTCGTTCCTGGGAATTTATTTTTTAGAGGCCCCTGCAGATGAATGAAGAAGCCGGTGGAAAGGCCGGGGGGCCCGGCGGGTGGTTCTTTCTAGAAATCAGATTGCCCAAAAGAGGAGGACCAGGCCAAGGCCCGCGGCCGGGTGGGGGCGAGCTTGCTACCTAGATGCCCTACCTAGAACGAAAGCGAGCGCGCCCACTAATGCGGGCCGCTACTAGTGAAGGGCGTCATTAGCAAGCGTGGGCCCGTTCTGTCATGCTAAAACCGCCCGAAGGGTTTCGAATAGTGAGCGCGTTTCTGCTAGCAGAATCCCAATAGCAGGACTTCTTCGACTAGCCTTCACCCCCACGCTCGGTCGCCAAGTTTTTATTTTCCTGCTTCTTTACATTTAGATTTACTAGACGGCCTATCGCCGGCGTCCTGGACGCCGGCGTAGTAGTCTAGTACTAGTACGATACTTTTGCAATGCATATTCTCCACGAACTGCTGATTTCGGGGCCCCAAAACCTCGTGTTCCGTGTCCGGCTTGCCTTTCTGGATGGAACCGAGCTGAAACCCCGCGGCTTCCAGGGTGGGCTCCAGGTCTTCCAGGTAGCGAAAAAGCCACTCCCACTCTGACTCCAGCTGCCCGTTCAGCTTTTCCGACAACAACGTCTCCGGGACGCCGCCCCACGGCACCTCATCGTTGTGGTCGATCACATCTTGGATGCTGAAGGCGTACCTTTGGCGAAAGTTAGCAGTGATTTTACCTTGTGCGTTTCTTTGCGAGCCTTTGACGAAGGCGAAGTAGAAGTGAGCCAAATACTAATACGAGAAACAATTAGCCACAAACTAGGACAAAGCACGCCCGTCTCTTCATTGCTGCAAGAGTTCTCTGACAAAAATCATGAATTGCACTAAGAAAAACGTGTACATTTTGAATCCGAAATCAGCTTCCTCTTTTGCCACATCGTAGATCCGCTTTAAGACGACTGTGCCATGCAAAAATGGGAATCGAAAAGTACTAATTCCATTTCCAGGCTACAAATGGTATTACGTGCTAGGACCACGTTTCTGCCATGCTAAGTGTGTACTGGGGTAAAGATCCTTTATGCCAGTGAGTAAAAATTATCTTCCACTGTCGATTCACAATTCGATAGCCCGAGCTGGGCAATGCAAAGAACTAAATTCACGATTGGATGTGTATTTTATTCAGAAATTCCATTTCGACTTCATTGCGTTCGAACAGCAAATTCGACTCCTTGTACGACTTTTCCTTGAGCGTAATACTGTGGCAAATTTTCAACCGTTTGGCCCGTGCTGTTGAGGAAATGTTCGCGGCAGAGAGCGAAGCATCGAAGACCGCAATGGGAGCCTGTTGCGCAGTTTTCAGCCGTTGCTGATTTTGGTTGGCAAGTTCCCGTCTGTTCGGCGCGGCAATGATCTTATCTGTGTAGTAATGTCGATGATTCAAGTTTGAAAGCACAAAAAAGCATGCATGTTTTAAGCGGATTTTTTTCGACGAAGATCACATCTTTGAGGAGCAAAAGAAAACACGAAAGAAAGAAGCTGTTGAGTGCGGAATGAAGAGAAGCAGAAACCTTCAAAAAAAAAACAAGCCATACTGCTCGAATCGCAGTCCATGATGAAGCGCAAGATGTTCCGCTTGATTTCCGCCTCGACCTGGAAATGGAGACGATTCGACCGTTTCCGCGCGCACAGGTCCCACGCGTTGACCGAAACCGCGTTTACGTTCCGCAAGACCACGTGCGGAACCGTTTCCGACACTTCCTTTAACTGGTCGTGGTATAAGTCCGCGAAGGTTTTCGTCGCTTTTTTGACCTTTTTCGTCGTCTTCGTTTTGCCCTTGTTATCGGTGGTCGTTTTCGTCTGCGTCGTGGAGAAAATCTGCTGGCTTTGCGGGAACAGCGTCGTCGTCTGCAGGCGGTAGGTGACGGGCTTCTTCATCTGCTGGTCGAGTCCAGTCCCGAGCAAATCACCGTGCCCAAAGAGGTTGTTGTTGAACGAGTTCGAATTTCTTAAACTGTCGAAGGAGTCGTCTTTCGCATTCGACCTCGACGGGCTTTGCTGCTGGTCGACCGCTGCGGGTGGGGGAGCCGCTGCTGCGGCTGCTGCGGCCGCTGGTGCGGCAGGGGCGTCCGCGCCAGCCGCGGGCTCTGCGGGAGCGGCGGCCACCTGGGGCGGTGCCGGCGGAGGCTGCACCGCGCGTGCGGCGCCACGACCGCGACCCCGGTTCATGTTCGCCGATGCTCGGTTCGGTTCTGTAGGTAAGAAGTGCTCTTACTTCTTGTTCTGTTGTTCCAATGGGTAGATGATGTTCAGGAACTATCGATAGAATTGGACTTCTCCGAGTACGTAATAGGATATTTGCTCTTGATCTGTGCGCTACACCTGCCTAAAAACTAGATTAGACGACGAGCGACGAGGTGGCAGGAATTATTTGAGTACTGAAAAAAGCTCTTCACAGCTGGCTTCAAATTTGCGATGCGTCAATTCCTTACATATGAGTGTAACCGCCAACCCGACCCCGTACATGAACATGCTCAACATAATGCATGGACCCCTGCGACTAGACACAAATAACGACAAAAGATCTCAATCCCCATGACGATCTGGACTCGGACTCCCGCTAAAGTTACCTCCAAAGAAACCGAAAGGGTAAGGGTGCGTCATGATCAATCATCATCATCATCATCTATCCTGCACTGGGAGGGCGTGCATGAGGTTTAGGGTCTAGCTCGAGTTCGAATCCAAAGAAGAGCACGCTGAAAGGGTAGAGAAAGCGCACTAGCCAACAACGTTGATGTCTTTCATTTGCGAGAACCGTGGATCATGTAATTTGTGCATCTTTCGTCAAGCTCAGAGACTGAACTTATTCCCCAGCATCAGCTGGACTGTCGCTCGCAGAATCGTCAGCGTCATCCTGTCCACCATCGTCGTCAGAGTCGTCAGCCTGCAAGCGCAGCCCAACCCGGGCACGGCATTTCGCTTCATGGTTCTTCATTCTGGTAGACGCGCCGACCTGTTGCTGGTACTTCCGCGGCCACTTCACTGCGTGCTTTGTGCAGATGGGGCATCGTAGCTCGCTCACACTCAGCTTCGAAGCGGTGCCCGCCGGGATGAAACGGCAGGGCGGAATGACCAGACGCTGCTTCTGCTTGTACTGCTGCGGAGTAATGACCTGGCCCGCTTTGCCATACAGAAACTCTTCCGCAGGTATGTAGACAGCAGCTTCTTGCTCGCGCACCAGTCGCGCAAAGTCATCAGGGTCATTGCGGTGAAGGGACAGGTGCGCAGCGAGTGCACGTCTAGAACCGGACAGAGGAACTTCGCAGGAGTTGCGCCGCAGGATGCCCGGACTGCCATCGCGGATGGCAGAAGACAAACCCTCCGACCCTTCGATCAGGTCTGAACGCTGCTGGTCCGTGATCGCCCCACCAAGGTGTGGCTGCTTCGCACGCAGAGCGAGAAGTTCCGGCGTGTTAGTCAAGGTAGAGCGCTGCGACCGCGCCCGTGGTAGGTTGGCGTATGACTGAAAAAACTCGACTTCCGACAGCTCGTATTTCGCTAGCAGATGCGCGAAAGCGTTGGAGACCTCCAGACTCTTGGCTCTAGCATCCCCCCAGGCCGCAAAAAACCAATCCCGTAGGACCGCATCCACAAACCAAGCGCGGGTACGCACGTACCAGTCCCGACGGGAGTCCGGATGAACAAACCCGGGAAGCTGGTGCACTGTAGTCCGCGCCTCAGCACAGGCTTCAAGGAACTGCTCGTAGATCCCTGGGACCCGGTATGGACAATGCGGCCGCAAGAACTGCTCTGGGTGGGACTGCGGAGTGACAGCGGGGTCAGCGGAACTGACTATGAACCGGCCGAGAAACGCCTGGCGAGGCAGGTACGACGAATCCCGGCGGAGGAGATGCCCGCCATGCGAAAGACGGGCAAAGCTAATCTCGGCAGCCAGAGGCGAGAGGCCGAGATGCCTTCGGAGCTCGGAGTGACTGACGTTGTTGGCGTCCATCTGCGGCGTCGAGGTGTTGCAAAGCCTGCGCAAGATTGCATTCTCCTCGGGCTGCAGCTTCGCGACCTCCTTCGCAGAAAAGGAGCGGGTGTGCGCGCCGTATATCAGCGCGCTCCTGACGAGAGCAGAAACGACCACCCGTCGATGTACCTTACCCAACTCACCAAACCCCACTAGAAGACGCTGCGCGGAATAATAGGCCCGCCAGGCCCGGCTCACCCGTGCCGAAAAGTCGCGCCTGTCGCAAAAGAATACACCCAAAAACTTGCAGGCTTCGGCAGCAAGTGGCCCAGTGATCCGCTTCTTCAGGTTCTCGCCCATCTGCGCGGCGTCAAGGGCTTCCAAGGTTACCCGCATGGCGTCGTCGTCTGGGGCACCAGTACGAGACTCGCCGACGATGTTGGTATCATCAGCGCATTTTACTGCGCCCACCACGGATTCCGCAGTCGCGACGGTGGAGCCCGGGCAGAAGAATGCCCCAAGCTTTTCTTTCTCTGTTGCCGCGAAGAAGCTAGAAGATGGGCATCGAAGGCGAACACCGTTGGGGTTGAGGTTGTCCTGCTTGGCTTGCAGCTGCGCCCGCGCTCGTCGAAGGGAAACGGAGACCACAGCATACGCCAGGCTGAAAATCCCCGGCGAAGACGGGCAGCCTTCCTGGAGGCCAATAGGAAGAGAAAAATCGACCTGCTCCCTATCCTCACAACAGACGATATCACGGCGGCACGCGTCCAAAGCGCGCCAGGTTGTGGCCCCCGCTATCCCCAACTCCTTCATCACCGACGAGATGACGGCGAGCGAAAGCGAAGGGAACGCCTTTCGCAAATCAATAAACGCAGCCCAGACCTGCGAGTATTGATCTTCGTGCTCGGAGAAATCCTTCGCGTCTTCAACGATACGACGAAAAAGCACCAGCCCATCAGAACAGTTCCTGCCTTTGACAAATCCGAAGTTTTCCGGATCCGCCAGTCCCTCCATAGCCGTCATCTCCTGCAGCCTTTTCGTCATGATGTGCGCCACCAGTTTCGACAAGGTTGGCGCCATGCTTATGCCACGAAAATTGTCGCAGTCCAACCGTGATCCGGATTTGTGCAGGAGCGTGATCTTGGTGCGGCGGAACATGACATCGATGGCCTTGAGCCCTCTCCCGCTGCGCAGCTCGGCATCGATCGCATCGAGAAGGAGCTGAGTGCAGTGGTCGTCTAGCGCGTCGAAGACTTCTTTCGACCACTTCATGCTATCCACCCCGGGCTTCACCTCCTTCAGCCCCTGCCTCCACTCCACCAAGGTAATGGGCCTGTCCAGGGCGGATATGCTAGCAGCAGAGACCGGCGAGATGAATTCGGACGCGTCGAAGGTGCAGACGGGGTTCGACTTCGCGATGACGTTGGTGAGATAGTGCTCAGACCAGCCCAAAGGGGACGAGGCTGGCCCTTTCGTCCTGCGATTGGTGCTCAGATGCTTCCACAAAGCCCGCACCCCGGAAGGCCTCGCACCGCCCTCAGCTGCAAGGGCAGGAACACACTCTGCGGCCCTCTTCTTCATTTCTTTCTTGCGTGCCGATTTGCGGAAGCCGCGCCCCTGCCCGGTTTCCAAAGCGGTTCCTTCATGCACATGCATCGCAGATAATAACGTCTGCAAGTCAGGACCGCCAGAATCCGGCCGATCGAGCTGCTCCCGAATCCTCTGCGAAAAGAGGGCGACCACGTCGGGCGTAACTGGGGCTGGCCCTACGTAATTACTGCCGCCCTTCCTGCGGTTCGCCGGCAGTTGGTCATCAGCAGCACGCGCAACAGCAAGCTTCAGGGTTTTCCCGTAATGGTCCAAGTCGTACTTGCCATCCGCCCGCAGGGAGAGGCCATCACGGATGTCAGTGCACCGAGAAACGTCCAACACCCGACCGAGAAAGCGGCCGCTAGTAGCAAAGCCGTCTATTTCTGCCTCCTGCCCGGGTCGCTGGTACGTGTGCCGCTCGTCGTTGTTCATCCCGATCTTGAAAAAGGAGTCGGCGAAGCGCAAGTTGTTTTTCGTCAGAACCCGATGGAACTCCTTGCCCTTGTTTGTAGTCTCCTTCCGGCCGCAGGCGAAGTCCCCAAAGGCGAAGCCGGAGTGCTGGGCCCCAACGTGACAACTAAAATCCCCCGCAACCACAAAAGGGATGTCCCGGCGCTTCGTGCGCCGCAAGGTTCGCCGCATGTACCGGACCAGGTTGCGAAGGTAGTCGCCGACCGGGCCAGTTTTTGCATCGGCAGGTGCGTATGCACTGAAGAGGGTAAAGCCCCGAAAGAACCCCACCACACGTCGCGCCCTGACTTCGAAGCGCTTCGCCAACTCTTCCTCTGGCAATCGCGAGAGCTCTTCGTACACAGGGCCGCCCCTGACCGCTATGCCTGCTCCTGGTCCAAGCACTGCTATGTATCCGTCGCCACGGGTGATGAAATCCCGAACATCAAGCGGAGAGACCGGAGGGGCCTCGCTGTCAGACTCGCCACCCTCTGCTGCAGCCGGGGAGCCGATCGCACTTCCGTCAAGCCGCGTCACCCCCTCAAGCCCCGTGCCGGACTTCCCCCAACGAACTTCCGAAAGCGCCAAAATTTGGTGGTGATCCGGAGCAGCCCGAAGAATTTTGTCGCGTAACCTGCAACCAATTACCGCCTCTCGGCAGTTCTGCGTTGTGATAGCAACGGCGTCCATCATCTGCGTAGCTGATCCTGCCGAAAAAACGGAGTAGTCCGCACAACGCTTGCGATTCAGGGCTCCGTAGTTGCAGGTCTTCACAGTCGGCGACTGGGATGAAGAGGGCGATGAACTCGGGGCAGCAGGCTCGGGGCGGGTGGCGGCAGGTGGAGGCTTCGGTTGGCGGCTGGCCCGAGCAGCAGCAATCGTCTGCTGGTACGACGGCCTCACAAGGGCCGCAAACTCCGCTGGGCGGTTTGACCGTTCGGCAGTTTGTCGCATGTTGTATCTGCCCACGCGGAAGACGGCTGTGTCGGGCAGACCCGCAAAAACGACAAGCAGATCAGACTCAATAACAATATGAATATCAACTTCACACGGCGGAGTCGAGCAGGATATTAAACCGAAAATGGGCACTCCCACTCGTCGAAGTCTTATAACTCCTATTGCTGAGCTGCGCAAGTTAAAATTTTGCAACGGGAAAGAAAATCGCCCACGCCGAAACTTTTTTGACAATTTTCAAACTTTCCAAAGCTGTCGCGATTTGCGAAATCGCTCACCGCCCAACGGCCAACGGCAACCGGCCAACGGGCAACGACCAAGTCGCAAACGGCCAGCGGCCAAGTCGCAAACGGCCAGCGGCCAAGTCGCAAACGGCCAACGGCGCGGCCAAATCGCAAACGGCCACCGGCCAAATCGCAAACGGCCAGCGGCCAAATCGCAAACGGCCAGCGGCCAAATCGCAAACGGCCAAATCGCAAACGGCCAAATCGCAAACGGCCAAATCGCAAACGGCCAAATCGCAAACGGCCAACGGCCAACGGCCAACGGCCAACGGCCAACGGCCAACGGCCAACGGCCAACGGCCAACGGCCAGCGGCCAAATCGCAAACGGCCAACGGCCAACGGCCAAATCGCAAACGGCCAACGGCCAGCGGCCAAATCGCAAACGGCCAAGTCGCAAGCGGTTAATGGCCAAATCGCAAACGACCAGCGGCCAAGCCGCAACTCGCAAAATATTTCGCAGCTCCCAATATTCTGTAGCTGCAAAGGTTTTGCGACTCAAAATATTTCGCAACTCCAAATATTTTGCAACGCAAAATATTTCCCAACCCGAAATATTTTGCAACTCCAAATATCTAATCGCCCAACGCCAAACGGGAAACGCCCAACGGGAAACGGCCGACGGGAAGCGCCCGACGGGAAACGGCCGACGGGAAACGGCCGACGGGAAACGGCCAACGGGAAACGGCCAACGGGAAGCGGCCAACGGGAAGCGGCCAACGGGAAACGGCAAACGGGAAACGGCCAACGGGAAGCGGCCAGCGGGAAACGGCCAACGGGAAACGGCCAACGGGAAACGGCCGACGGGAAACGGCCAACGGGAAACGGCCAACGGGAAACGGCCAACGGGAAACGGCCAACGGGGAACGGCCAACGGGAAACGTTTCGCAGAGCGAAGTACACGGGAAACGTTTCGCAGAGCGAAGTACTTTGCGACGCAAAATATTTCGCAGCGCAAAATATTTCCCAACTCGAAAAATTTTCCACGGGCCAATATTTTGCAAGCCAAAAAATTTTCGGGCCGAAAAATTTTGCAAGTCGAAATATTTTGCAAGCCCAAAAATTTTGGGAGTCGAAGTATTATTTTGCAAGCCAAAAAATTTCGCAAGTCGAAATACTTTGCAAGTCGAAACGTTTTGCAGCCCTCGAAAAATATTCCGACGGGAAATATTTCGCAACAACCTTCCAAACAAACCGGCTCCCCCGTTGGTTTTTGCGGCTTTGAAGGCGGGGGGCACGGGGAGAGCGGGAAACACGGGGAAAACGGGAAGCACGGGGAAGGCGGGAAGCGCGGGGAAAGCGGGAAGCGCGGGGAAAGCGGGGAGCACGGGGAAAGCGGAAAGCACGGGGAAAGCGGGCGGCTGGGAGGCACGGGGAAGACGGGAAGCACGGGGAAAGCGGGAAGCACGGGGCAAGCGGGAAGCACGGGGAAGGTGGGAAGCACGGGGAAAACGGGAAGCACGGGGAAAGCGGGAAGCACGGGGAAAGCGGGAAGCACGGGGAAAGCGGAAAGCACGGGGAAAACGGGGCGCACGGGAAAAACGGGGCGCACGGGGAAAGCGGGAAGCACGGGGAGGGTGCTGGGAAGCACGGGGAAGGCGGGGGGCACGGGGAGGGTGGGGGGCACGGGAAAGCGGAAAGCATGGGGAAAGCGGGAAGCACGGGGAAAGCGGGAAGCCCAGGGAAAGCGGGGCGCCCGGGGAAAGCGGGAAGCACGGGGAAAGCGGGAAGCACGGGGAGAGCGGGGGGCACGGGGAAAGCGGGAAGCACGGGGAAAGCGGGCCGGGGAACACGGGGAAGGCGTGCGGGAAGCACGGGGAAGGCGGAAAGCACGGGGGAAACGGGTCGGGAAGCACGGGGAAAACGGGTCGGGAAGCACGGGGAAAGCGGGACGCACGGGGAAAACGTACGGGAAGCACGGGAAAAGCGGGATACACGGGGAAAGCGGGATACACGGGGAAAGCGGGAAGCACGGGGGAAGCGGCTCGGCAGGCATGGGGAAGGCGCGCGGGAAGCACGGGGAAGGCGCGCGGGAAACACGGGGAAGGCGGCCGGGAAACACGGGGAAGGCGGGAAACACGGGGAAAGCGGGGAGCACGGGGAAGGCGGGAAGCACGGGGAAAGTGGGAAGCACGGGGAAAGCGGGAAGCACGGGGAAAGCGGGAAGCACGGGGAAAGCGGGAAGCTCGGGGAAAGCGGGAAGCACGGGGAAGACGGGGGGCACGGGGAAAGCAGGAAGCACGGGGAAAGCGGGAAGCACGGGGAAAGCGGGAAGCACGGGGAAAGCGGGAAGCACGGGGAAAGCGGGAAGCACGGGGAAAGCGGGAAACACGGGGAAAGCGGGAAGCAAGGGGAAAGCGGGAAGCACGGGGTGGGAAGGCGGGCGCGAGGCGCGGGGGGGCCGGGAAGCATCGGCCCACGGGGGCAACCATGCCCCAGGACCAGGCCCGCAGGCGCGCAGCTGCCCACCACCCTCCCCCGGAGCCCCCCCTCTGTTCGCGAGGGGACAGGAAGAGTGCGCCACCGTCCGCCTCTCTGCCAGCCAGCCAGCCTCTCTTGGATGGAGGCTCGCTCGCTCGCTGGCTGGCTGCGCGCGAGGGGAGGCGGGGGCGGAACAGATTGCACGCAAGCTAGCGCGCGGGGCGCCGTTGTTTCCCGGGGGTGCGGGGGGAGGGTGGTGGGCCCCTGCGCCTGGAAAGCAGTGAACGCCCTGCCCTGGCGCCCGTCCCCACTGACTCTACCCAAGAAGCGCGCGGCAGGGGCCCCAGCGAGCCCCTGCCCTGCAGCCGAGGCCGCGCGCGGGAGAAGGGCGGGGGAGCAGCAAGGCGCGCAGGAGCAGGGCACACCGGCAGGCGCCACAGACGGGCCACAAAGCAGACGCGCGGGCGGGGCGTGACGCGCCAGCGCCGCGCATGGCGCGGGCTGTTCTCCTGCTTCCTACCTTCCCCCGCCCAGAGGCGCCCGCCCGCTGCCGCGCTTTGCGTTGTTGGGCCTAAGGCTTGCCGCCTCAGAAACACGGGCCCAATACGGGCGGGGTCCTCGCGCTCGCACAACGTCGGGAACCACGGGCGCCATGGCGCTCCGCCTTCGTTCTTTCAACACGAAGCGGCGCAGGGGCTTGGCCCCGCCCTGCATCAAAATTTTTTTCCCTTGCCCACCCTCTGGCGTTTTTCTTTCCCCCCTGTCAACTCGTTCACCCTCCCACTGCGCGACATAAGCTGCGGCCTTGTAGTATTTTTGTCTGAAGGTTCCTCTATATCATCCTTGCGCTTCTTATTCATGCGTGACATGCCGATACCAACTAGCCTTGGAGTGAGGCTGTGCCTCGACGTCGAAGATTGATAGAGGAACACCCAGGTCGGGCGAAAATACTCTACTTAGCTTCTCTGCTTTCCCGTGGCGACCAACATCACCAACCACGCCTAAAGATTCTTGTCGCAAAAAAATCGCAGAAGTTGCAGCGTAGGTATATTAGAGTCGTTCTGCTAATGTTCTGCGTTTCCCTCAGCAAAGCCGACAATCTTCGGAAACCACTGTAAAAGTTGATGAATACATAACATTTTCAAGGAGGGCAACAAAGTTCGCACTTTGTACAGGGGGTACATTGAAAATTGTTGATACAATTCTGGCAAGAGTTTGACTTACCTTAGAAGAATCGACGTAAAAGTTCACATTATTTTACAAATTTAGCAATCACTTCATTGCTCGCACCTTCATTTTTTCTTGTTGGTGCGATTGGCATTTGGAAAACAAAGTTGGAAACTACTTTAGCACGCATTTTTTGACAATGTGTTGAGTTCGTATTCGCATTGCTTTGTTGAATTCTATCTACCATACTTCTTCTGCATTTGCGTCAATGTCAGCAAGAATCTGTGAATCTGAATTGTAAAAGGAAAAGCATATATCAAGCAATATTAAAATTTTCAGGACTCCTGTCTGAGTCTGAGTACGTTTGAGCATTTTGTTAAGCAGCAAGAATCTCACTAATTGAGACCGGAGAGCGTATAAGGTCAGGATCATCCGTCCTGCAAAACCTAGAACCTTACAAGCAGCACCTGAAACCACTTCCCTCACACCGATGGCGGTGGTCGCTGCCCCTCGCTGAGGGGATTCGTCCTGTAGGGCGGCTTGATCGGTCTTGGATAGAGCGTTGGCGGCTCCTTGATGAGCCGGTTCTTCTTGGGCTGCGTCGGCATCTCATCCTCCAGTGCGTCAAGCAAACCGGACTCCGCATTGGACTCGGACAACGAATCATCGAGCTGGAGCCCGTGCTTCGCCTCCCGTCGGTTGCTGTGCACCGGAGTGGAGGCCTCGCTGTCGCCGGAAGAGGCGCGTGGAGACCGTCGCATGCGCTCACCCGTCGCGAAGTTGTAGTAGTATTGGATACCTTGTTCCGCGATAAAGTGTCACGTTTTGATGTCCAAGAGACTAAACAAAAGAACATGAAGCCGGTGGTCCCCAGGGTACGACCGAAACTAGTGAATCTACTACGTCACCTTCAGTAACAAGGTTGGTGCACCTACTCATCTTACTTACAACAACTACAGAGAAAATTCATGTAGTATTGTGAGCTGACAAAGACAACATGAACATCGCTTACACTCTCTTTACCTTTAGCGTCGAAGAACGGTGCCCACTGTGCTCCGAGAATTCCGAGCTCAGAGTCGACCTCGGACTCCACGTCCGACTCGGCGTCGTCCGCATCCTCGTCCGGATTCTTGGGTGGTGCCATCTTGTGATAGTGGATTTTCGTTGGGGCTATCTCCCGTGCGTGCGGTGGCAGTTCCTTGATGTGCTTCATGGCGAAACACCTGTTTTATTTTGTTGTAAATACTTATGTCCGGCGAGCCTTTCCGCAGTGAAGCTGTATCTTAAAGTAGGATAGTCGTGCCTCGTAGGTGAGTACAACTGCTGCAAAAATAAAAGCAGCATCGGTGTCACGTCGCCAACACATTTCACAACAATACTCGAGGCAGAACAGCTTTCCGGTGTATCCGCATTGTAGTTTGGCTGCTTTACTCTTGCAGAGTTGACACACTTCCAGCTTGTAGGCCTTCGCGTCCCTCCGGTGGCCTTTCTGGTGCAGGCGAGCGAAGCAGGCAAGGCACATGTAGTCCTCGAACATCGTGCAGTAGGACAAGGCAACGTTATCGCACTCGACACACATCACTTCGCCTGATCGATAAGTTCAAGTTGTGCGATTTCTTTTTCATGCACATGCGAAGACAGAATACAACAACAGAAAATGTAACTGAGTAGAGTTAGAAAGAGTAAAAGGTTGCATTCCGGCCGGTGGTCGTGCGCCTGCAGCTGCAACGCACGACATTCCGGAAAAAATAATCGAAAGAACTCTCACCACTGGCTAATTTCTGAATGATTTCATTTTCTTCCTCAAATAGCCTTTTTGCGGTCTTGAAGTCTTCCTTGGTGGGCAGGTTTTTCAGGCTTTTCCAGGTATCGGTCACCATGTCCGACCTACCTCTATTCAGCTCCACGGCCTCTTGCAGTGACAACACGTCCTCTATCTGCACGGTTTCCTGGGTCCGGTAAGAGTGGGCGAAGATCTTGATGTACCTGATCATTTACATCGAACAACTGGCCACTTAGTCCCGGTGACAATGGATAACGAAGGACTAACTCAACTGTAAAAATTTACCACTCACGATAGTAGATGAATCAAGTTAGACAGAGGAAAAAAACGAGCATGCGGCGCATGGTAATAAAGTCTGTAAGTACGTTTTCAAATCTCGCACGATAGCTGGCTCTGCAGCAAGGTCGTAGTCCATAATTTCTGCCAGATGCTCGACATATTCGGGTGACACCAGCGGTTCCTGCAGACTCCCAGATGGGCCTTGCGTCTCGTAGCTCCAAATCAAGCGGTTAAGCCGGCACTGTAAATTTATGGAGAAATTCGATATTCATAGCAGTCTGTGATCATGTTTTGCCACTTTACTATTGCTGCACGTGCGATCCTTGCGCTTGCGGCTGCGTAAACGTGTAAGTAGAAATAGATTAATTCGAGGCAGTGCCACCAGGTGTAAGTAGAAATAGATTAATTCGAGTTCCAGCAACTGGAATTTCGCGTCCGCTGTGATGCTGATAAGCAAGTTAGTAGCATCATGATCATTTATCTGCGTACACTATCAGTACCTGCTTCACGTGATCCGGGCTGGCGGTCAAAGCGAAAGTTTTGAGTTGTGCGAAGTAGTCGTAAAACGGGTGCTTCCAGGTACTTCTCCCCGTCTGGTGGTTCAGAAAGCACACGATGGACCCAATCCCCTTGTAACTCGTCCACGGCGCTGGGAGCTCCATTTCAGCCAACGCTTGCACAATCCAGCCGAGTTGGGAGTCGTGTTCACTATCAAGCTCGAGGTAAGCAAACCTTTTTGTATTTCAAGAAAATCACGCACGGGAAGTCGAAGTAGCAGAGAAACAAACATTATCGGTTCTGATTTGCAGAACGCGAAGACCTCCATTAATTCGCTTCACATCTGCATACAGATCATACCACTCCTCCGAATCTGGCTTGACGCCTCGGCACAGCAAGACCGGAAACTTGTCGAGTTTTCTCAGCGCTTTTTGTGTGGTGAGATCGTCAATGCCGAAAAGCACGAACGGGTCAGCGTCAAGGTAGTTCATAGTTTTCTCGGAAAACAAATCTCTTCTGTCGAAATTTGTGACAACGTTTCCCCACATTGCATCTGGGTTCAGATCCCAGTCGCAGACGACATTCTTCTCCGTTTTGTGCGCTACCTGAAACTCCGGGCCCATCGGTGTCTTGCGGACGGCGAAGAACCTCAGCGGAGTTGTCGTTGCGATGATCGCATTAAGAGTTCAGCCACTCAGCACAGACCTCCACGTCGAAAAGAAACATAGTACAAGAGGGAGGATATAGACAACGTATACAGCACGATACTTCATCAAACTCTAGAGCTTTTCAAACAAAAAATCGCTTTACAGGTGCTCGTCCTCCACGGGCAACATGGACAGAAAACCCACCGGAATGTAACCTTCGGTGATAACACCATCTGCCCGTTGATGCGTGAAACTGTACAACTTCTCCTCTTCTGGCTCGCTACCCTTGTATATCCTGCCAAACAGAATGATCTTGTGCCTCTTGTCGATGTCGGTCTTTGGCACGTGGGGTGCCTGTGCGGTTCAAAGTTTTAGATAGAAAGTAGCCAGTGTGGGCTTTCCTACGTGATTCTGGTTGTACATGGTCGTGTTCGTGCGATGAAGAACAAACACGTTAAGTAAGTAATTTCGATTTTTGTAGCAGGTTAGAGTTTTGCTCTGACTCCAACGATTCACACTTGCACTACAACAAATTGTACCTTATGTTTGTCCTTTGGCTTTTTCTTCGCAGGCTTTGACTCTGACAGCGTTGCTTTTTGCAGTTGCTCGATGGCTTTCAGGTGCTCCATGGTCCCGCTCGACAGCCTCCTGTCCCCATCCGCACCTCCACCATTCTCTGCTGGCTTCGACATCTTTGTCAGCAGTAGAACTTCCTACCAGTACGGTTGCTCTACTTGTTCCCCTTCACTACGCTGCCTTTTTATTTTTTCTTCAACTCGCAAACTTCTTTTGCTCCGCTCCTTCGCGATGCCACGTCGAGGAAGTTCAAGTTGTGGAATGAAAGAAGTGATGAAACCACCGCGTTGTCCCGCGGTTCCGCAATGAAGTGGAGCTACTGACCGTTAGCAGTACAACCACGGCCTCGATTGTCCCTACCGCTACGATGACGCTCTTGACGTGTTGTCGTGAGAACTTCTCCAACTTCTTCCCGTCGACAGCTGCTGATGCTGTAGTCAACGACTATTTGTATTTCTTTTCCACCAGGTGATAACAAGGAGGTCGACGCTTCTTTATTGCGACGAACGGCCGATTCACGTCGATTAGCAATGTGTACCAGCACTGGTTTTTCTCAAAATTTAGGTGCAACCGTGTCTGTAGCCGATTCCGATTCTGCTGTACAGCACTGAAGAATACTTTCTTCTAGTACGCGCTCCGCGGGGGTGAAAAACTTCCAATGTTCCGCGACACGATGACTCCGGCGGGTATGCGTCGCGACTATCAGGGCTGCCGCAACAAGACGAAGCTGAATTTCTGTCCAGCAGCGCTGCACCTTGTTAGTGTCACCTTGTTGGTGTGCCTACTTTCCACAACTCTGGCCTTCTTTTGTTTTTGTGCCGGGGCTCGGGAGTAGAAATAAATACGTTCGAATTACATCAGTGCAAGTGCTAGCGCACCAGGCTTCTTCCTCATTTTGAATTTCGTTTTATTGCATTTGAAAAGCTCGAACAGATCAGTGAGGTACATTTGGTGCAGCTGAAAGAATAAGGCACTGCGTAGTTAGTTTAGAGTTCGAGCAGTGGAGCAGCTCGTCGTACGTACATCTACGTAAGTCTAGCTACACAGACTAGTTTTTTCTCTTCCTACAGTTTCTGCGTTTGAAGATGATCTGAGAGAAATCTAGGCGGCAACACCAGTCGCCATGAGGTGTGTGAAGACATGCACGTCGACGTAAGGTGTTCGGTGGGCAATCGACCTCTTTTCATCGTCGAAAACGAATTATCAATGAGAATGGGGACCACGACGAAAGAAAAAGATTTGCGATGTTGCTAGAGCTGCACGAATCATATTCAGACACAAATGCGTATTGTCACTCACTATATTAACACACTCTACTTAATTTTGTTCGCTCAGTACTGCTTCAGAAAAGCAAAAGCTCACCCTCCTCGTTGTCTATCGCGAAAACAACTCGAACTCGAGCTCACATCTCATACTAAGTCGATTCCGCTCTCGACCTCTCTCCTTTTCAATCATGAAATCGCTCGCAATGCATTCACTTGCTGCACGTCTCTGTCGTCTGCAGTGGTCTCTCAGAATTCCAGTTTGTAGATCTAGTTCTACTTCGATGCCTCTACGATCATTTCTGTTTCTTCGCATATTCAGAATCCAAACACATGGTCTGACAGAGCCGACACAGACTAGTTGATCAGGTTGGTTGTTCTTGTTGCCCGTCGATGTAACTTTTTCCTATCGTTATCGCTGCACTGACAACGCGCTGCTATGTAAGTACTTCCCATTGAGCAAAGTATTCGGTGCGAAACTAGACAACCTAGAGAAACGGAAACAAATTGTACGCAAAAACCTTGCAAGTAAAAAATGAGCCGGGTAATGTTGTGTTGTCGAGCAACCTGCAGAATAGCATCAGCACTGCTCACCAATTCAGCCACTCTTTTTCTGCGCGAACGCGTTTTGGAGTTTCCCTCGGCATTGCAGAAGTCGGAAGCACCTCGACGTCCAAATGCTGATCGGGGTCTAAGACCTCGCCGTCATCTACCCCAACATAGCCTCGCGGAGGTGCGAGTGCCATCGCCCCAAATGGCGGCGGCGCAACCTGCGAAGCCGATGCGGAACCTGCACCGGTCGTTGTTGTAGGACTTCGTGAAGGCTGTAATTGCCCGACAGCGAGGGGGCCTCCGGGGGGATAAACGACGTTCTTCGAGCTAGATCGCCCGTAGTTATCCTCATCTTGATCCTGGTCCTGCATCGCAATGGCCGCACTAGCGTCACCGTCAGCAGATGGTAGTGTCCTCACAGCAGCTCCGGCCGAACCAATTTTCGCAACTCTTTCCTGCAATGCCGCCATGCTTTCCTCCAACTTTTCCAAGCTGGTACGCACGTCTTCTTCGAAATCTTCGGGCTTGCGAGGTTTTCTCCGATGGCACCGGTCTGCTATGGTCACCAAAACCGCGACCACACCGGTGGCGCCGAAAATCACGAACATGCCGCCCATCTGCTCTACGTTGATCGGTGTTGTGTCGTCAACTTCCATCTGGTCGTCGCAAGTGCGGCCAAGTTTCATGTTCGACTGCAGAATCTGCGCATACAGCGGGTGCTGCAAGGAGAGTGTTGTTTGGGATAGTTTTGAAGACATTAATATGCGATTTTTCCCAGATCGATGCTGAACAATACAAAACAAATTCATGATATCAATCTTCACACGACACTACTTACACTCAAGAGTGCTCCATCACCCTACACTTCTATGTGTATCCTCCGAAAATTCAAAAGAAGCTAAGCATAAATAGAAATACTCCCATCAACACTATCGTCGCTTCGGAGATCCAGGTGGCCAGCTGCGTGTCCTCCTTTCGCACGATGTTGTAGGTGTAGGACGGCAAAAATTGCAGATTCTCCTCGACATGGAACCTTTCGCAGTTCTCCAGCATTTCCGTGCGCGCGTTCGCATCATTTTCGACAATCACATCGCACTGCCCGGACTCCAGCATGTCTTGCGCCCACTTAACGGTGTCCGTGACGGCCATGCCAACGGGGGGAAATTTCAAGTCGCCGACGAAATCTCCGAGCTTCGTGATTGCGCGGTGCCGGGCGCAGGCCGTCGCGTCCTTCAGATCGGTCAAAGTTTTCGGGCCCTGGACGCTTATCGCGGGTTTCGTCAGAAACGCGGCCAGATTCGCGGTGTAGGTGGCGGACGTGATGAGGATCAGAAACAGCAAACCCGTACGGTACAGCCGACCCAGAGGACTCACATGGTATAAATCGTACTCGTCACCACCCAGCAGTGCCGCCGTCGTGTGATACAGAGACTCGGCGAAATTTTTCACCGACACTTGCGTACTCGAGGAGATCAAAGAGAGGAGTTGCAGTACGAAAGCTCCGAACAAAATGGACAAGAGGAGCGCGACCCAGAGCTCCGTGGTGAAGGGCGCGAAAATCTGCCAGAGCCCGACGGAAACTTTCTTTTTCTTCAGAATCCCCACAGTCCAGTTGAGCACCATGGGTTGCGTGTACGCCAGCTGGTCTGCGTAAAAGTGGTCATTCGAGTCAAACCCGACGTCCACCTGGTTGCTGAGCACCATCTGCCGCGTGAACGCACTGGGGTCGGCGAAATACTCGGGGGTGTTGGGAATGGTGACGAATTGAATGTCGAAGCAGGGGACCCCCTTCGGCCGGATGTCGCAGGGCAGGGAGGACAGTGCCCGCCAAAAGTCCGGTAGAAAACCCTCCGTGTAAACGCCTTTTTCGGCGTCGTACTTGGCCCAGGGCATCCAGGTGAACGGGATCATGGCGACGCGCAGGGGCCGGCGCGGCAGCGCAGAGGTCACCACAGTTTCGTTGATGTGCGTGGCCTGGCACCGTTGAAAGTGAAGGGCAGTGTAGAAGTTGAGAAGTAACAGTAAAAGTGAGCACGTGCGACTTCTCGGAAAGAACCTCCAACAAGCACTGCATTTGCGGTGTGGGATGTTCTCGTGCATCGCAGCTGACAACATGGCTTTGTTGTAGCGGAAGCAGTTTGCGATCGCGATGTCCTGATTGAGTCTGAGTCAACTTCGGTTCGACAATTTGTAGCCACGGCGGAAAAGTGAGTGCGAAACCGGCGGGGGCGATTAGTGGTAGAGCTCTCCTTCGCTCTCGTTCAATACACATGCAGCACAAGCAGCACAGACGCACCCATGAATTTTTGGTTTCAGCGTAAAAAGGATAGCAGAATTTTCAAGCAGCAGAAACGCAACTGTAACTGTTGTGCTGAGCGTGAACGACCACAGTGTTTGCTATGATTTTTTGCAAGTTTCAACAAGAGCAACTGCAACACGATAGTTCACTCGAAATACCGTCCAAATTCATTTTCATGATCTGTCTCTGATGAGCCGCAGCGAATACTGTAGAACATCGCAAATAACGAAACAAACGTACACCACGCACTGGTGATAATCACTCGCTGAATGTGCTGACTGCGCCTTTATGTTTGAGAGCGTTTGTGTCGCTGCACTTTTCTAGTACGGCAAACTTCATCATGCAATTGCAAATAAACAATGCAAGATGATGACGGACTTTCAGTTCGCTTTACGGAGAAGGAACGGCGTCCACCAGTCATCTATTCATATTCTGTAAACGTTTAACGTCCTGTACTCGATGTTCTGTGTGTTTTTGCTTTATGAGTCGTCGAATGAAGAAACGACGCGTCAACAAAGCGAATTCGAACTAACTTCTAAGAAAGCTCCCACTCTAGTAAACCTCAGTTGTACCACCGTCGACTTTCATTTCCAATCCGAGCCTTCCCGCGTTGATCGCAGAGCGCTACTTCCCGCATCAGCTCCCGGGTCAACGCCCCGGGGATTCGCACCAGGTACATGCGAGCGCTGGCAGGAGGAGAAGCACCGTTCCCAGTAGATTGGTCTCCGTTCAACATCGTTTCAACAGTGGTCCTTGGGGTTTGTGCGTGCAGCAACTGGAAACGGTGTCGTATGTGTGGCTGCACGTAGAACGAGTCACCGGGATTGATCACTGTTTTCTCCCTGAAAGTTTCCAACAAAAACGCTTTCTCGCTGTAGTTGTACCCAAAATTGTGAACCGCAATTTGAATCCAGTCCTCCTCGCAAGAGGATTCCGCTGCCAAAACGCTGTCTCCGTCACAAATCTCGACATCGAAACTTTTGATCATGCTGTGGTGCTCGCTGCTCGCTAGACGTTCAAGCTTCAGGGTCCGGCTCCAAGTTCGAAGCGCGCCCTTTCCGCGAAACGACACCACGACTGGCTCTTCCAGGCCTCTTTCTACGTACAGGTCCTCTGGTAGGCAGTGCAATTCCTTCGCGAGAAGTCGGCACTCCTCGATAGTCGGAAGGCGTGTCCCTGCTGTAGCTGCCGTCGTAGTTCTGGATTCAGGGTCGAACTTTGATGCCAACTCAGACCGCTTAACGCCGAGCACCTCTGCGCACAGTCTGCGCGTTTGCTCCGCGATGGCTGAGGTGAAGTTTGCCGGCGCCCCGGATTCTTTATTGGCGCCGGTTTGTGAAAGCTCCGGTTCTGTACCTTCTCCTTTTTCGTCGCTCTGCATCATCAACCGGTCCGCAAATTCTTTCAGATTCGGAAACCCATCGTTCTGGGCGTAGCGCAGCAAATTCGCCTGAAAGTGCGACAACGGGTCGCGCAGGTCTCCACTGTACGTGTTGAGGTGTGTTTTGTTCAGAAGTTCATTAGTTCCGCCGAAAGTCGACGACGTCGTTTGTGTTTCTCCCTGCTCGTCGCTGTGGTGCAGCCCTCCGATGGACTGCAGACAACCGACGATCCCGCTGCCATACGTACACGCGATGATGCAGGCAAATTTCGAGCCATCCCGACTGGTGAAGCTGTGTGGTACGAAAGGCGCGATCCAGTTACTGTCGCCGGTGTTCATTTCCACGCACCGTTTCGTGCCGTCCGGCTCGGAGTAGTAGAAGTTCACCGGACCGATGAAGAACGTGGACTGGAACAGCAGGTGCCCGTTGTTGAACGCGACTTCCGGATTTTCCGGGTCCGAATCCGACACGATACGCAGCTCCTTGATCCACTCCGGGCGAAAGGGACCCAAGCGGCTCATGGCGCAATCCCGGTACTCGTAGTACGGCGTTTTTTTGTTAGTTCTACCGTTTATGCGGTGCAGAATCCGCTTACTCACCTCCGACTCTTTGGCGCGGCAGATCCGGATACCGTTGAAGCAGTCGTCCGGCTCAACCCACAGCGCATTCAGCGAGACGGGGTAGTTTGTGTTCACCTTCCGCAAAATCTCCTGGGCGGTCTCCAGTTCGACGTTTCCGTTCAGCAAGTCGTCCAGCAGTGTGTCGGGAAAGTTCAACTCCTGCGCAATGATCTCCACCGGGCGCTTCAGGTCGTTGGCCTCCGCAAGCAAGCGCGAACCGATGGCCTTGATGTACTCCTTACGGCCGACCTGGTCCGACAGATAACAGAGCTCCGAGTTTGCTTGCAGCAAATCCTGGCTGGAGTGGATTTCCCGCCTGTTTCCGAAAATCGGCACGGCGAAAAATTCAGTTTGGTACTCGAGAATGCATTTCCGAAGCACATCTGGAACGTAAAAACAGGAAGCCGCGGCCGCGGGTGCCTCAGAGTTGTCGCCCACACCGAATGCCTGATCCATGGTTTCGTTTGTAGCCCGAAACAATCCGGTGAATTCACCGAAGGCCGTCATACCACGCTGAATCAAGTTCTTCCCAATCTGATCCACCAGATTCCAGCTGTTGTGTTTCGGAAAGGGCGTCACCGAGCACAATTCCAATTCCTGCAGCCCGGTTTCTCGCGACTTCGCGCCGCGCAGATGCATCTGTGCTCGCGACGAGCTGAAGCTCGGTTGCTGCACGGAGAGTGGAGAAGAACCATTGTTTCCCGGCAGCCCTGGAGACTCCACTGCCCCGCCGCCAATCGTTATGGACCTGTCGATCAACAAAGCATTCGGCGCCGGGAAAGCAACCAGCTTCTGCAACGCCACGTCCGTGAAAACGGTGTCCCCATAGCACACGTAGACCAAATGGCCGGCGGCAGGAGTAGGCTTCTCCTTTTCCTTCCGCATCAAAGATTCGTATCCAAGACGAAGCGAATCCGCGGGCCCGTTGTTCCAGAAAAGATTGTTCTCGACGAACAACAGCGAACATGAATTTTTCTCCAGCAAAGAGGCGGACCTCAGACCTGCTGAATTTCTCTTCTGCATCTCGCTCCCCCCGCGACTGGACGGCGTCTCGTCTTGCTCCGTATCCACTTCCGACACTGAAGCATCTGCTGCCGATTTTGAAGCGGTGCTTCCCACCAAATGCATGAGTTCCTGGCGCACCTCCGGGCTGAAGTAGTTGGCGTGCGCGCCGATAACGATAGTGAAGTGCTTGATGCCTTGGTTCACGAACATGCGGAGAATGTGGTTAATGATGGGCTCCCCAGCAATAGGCAGGAAGCATTTTGGCATCTGTTGTGTGTAGGGTGCGATGGGTGGACTTGCTATGCCAGCAGCAAGAATGATGCAGTGCTTCTTCACCTTATCCACCTGACCGCCTCCATTTCTGGCAGAGGGCGATGGAGGTGGGGGCCTCACGGATGACGACTCCATTTTGATTTTCGACGGTTGAGTTTGTCCGAATCTCAATTTCTTGGAAAGTGGAAGGATAAACCGGCTAGCGCAAGGAAACAATGCGGGGAATCTTCAATAAGCAGAAGCATATCGGGATCTGTGACTTCATCAAAGGCAGGATCTTCTGAAGAAGGGTTTCTGAATGCGATCGAAGGTCAACTTCTTCCGTTAATTCAAAATGCGTCCAAAAAAGCTGTTCATAAATCTCTTCTGCTTCATCAGCTCTCATTCTCTCATTCTCGCCTCCGACCAACCATAATTGAACACATACAATTGGCTTTAGGCCGCTGTGTGCGATTGAGCAGTCAGATCTTTGCTGAAAACGCGAACGACGGCCTCCAGGAGGGTAAAGAACGAGCTTTGTAGAAACGCGTCTGCATAGGTGAAGATTATGATGAAGATGTGATACTTTTTACTGGGATATTGTCGCTCGCTAATTGTAATTTCGTTCAGACAGAAAGTTTTTAACTCAAGCGCATTTCGTTGACGAAAGGCAATCGCAATTGCGCACTGCTCTTGGGACGACAAATAATGTAGTTCAGGAGTTTACTCTTGTATGTAATACGCCACTCCTCCCCACATGCATGTGAGCAATCACAAACCGGGACTGGGGGGCAAGAGAAAAAAACCGACGCGTTGGCGCTACTTTGATGCTACGAATCGCTTATCGGGTCGTGTGTCGAAGGAAACGCCTACCGGCAACGGAAAGCGGCATCACTTTTTTACCGCTCCTGCAGCAGGAGCTGGAGCCGGGGCGCTCCCGCTTCCAGTGGTTGTTCCCGCTGCAGCGGCATTTTGAGAAGCCTTGTGCTGGCGGTAAAGCCAATAAAAGCCACCGAGCGTGAGGATGTTGCCAGTGCCGAGCACCAGCAAGCCGCCGAGCACCATACCCACAGTTTTGGCCACTGGGTAGAGATCCTTCCACGTTGTGGTCACCACGTTTTCCCACATCACTTGGAAAATTTGCGGTGCAAAAATGGCGTGCATCAACCGGTCCCAAACAAAGGCGCCGCCTAACGACAGGAAGAGCATGGACATCATGGAAAAGCGCAGGTCCGCCGGAATCTCGACCAGCTTCAGGGTGTCGTTTACGCTGTTAATGTATGGTATTTGTCTGTTCCTGTTGATCATTGGAAACTAGATTGACCATGAGAGGGAGTTCCTTGCAGAAGGCTTTAAATTTTTTCAGGTCGTGACAAGCTCGTGGAAGTGAGAGCAAAAAAATCAGACCCGTCTTGAAACAAAAAGCTCGTGTTCTCATCGCAAGTGATCAGAAACACGGACCAATGAGACGTCTCATCATTTGAAATTGACATAGCTCGAGCGGCACTACATGCTTCGAAGATGTGACAAAAGTCGATTTTGCATGTCACTGAGTCATGAAACAGAAGACACGATAGGGCAGCGCACTTCTGGGATTAATCTCGGTGTTCGTTTTTTTTTAGGTTGCGTTGATTAAAAACGCACGCTATCAGAGAAAAGCGAGTTTTTGCCCAACGAACCGCATAAAATGTTCTTTGCGAACTGCACGAGAACGAGCTCTATCAAAATGCACTTTCCCCATCTCCGATCAGACCCGTCTTGAAACAATTAGCTCACGTTCTCCGCATCAGCCGAAGCTGAATCAGAAACACGGACCAAAGAGGTGTGTCATCATGATAAGGCACTTTTCTTGAACTTCGCGGGTTTTGTGAATGGGATGCGGATGGCAGCCGCGGCGGGAAGACATACTAAGTAAACTACAGATGCAATCTTTTTGTACAGCAAAGATTCAGATCCTAAGGGAAAAAGCAAATCCAAATGCAAAGGCAAAGATGAAAAAAACTTTATATACAGTGGCACGACGTTGGTAGCGCAGACCCAGACGAGCGCCATGCAGCCAAATAAGCTCAAGAAGAGCGCTTGGTTTTCCAGCATGCCCCGCATCCACGGTCTGCCCTTGTAGTTGACGAAGAGGACCGAGATTTGCTGCGAGACCTCCACGAGCCACACCATGGTGTTCAGCAGGTTCGGTTTGAAGGGCACTTTCGTGAACCACCACACGTCGTTCATGTCTTCTTCCTCCATGGCGTCGATGTGGTCGTTTCGCTCCTTCTCGAATTTCAGCACCGCCTGCAGCTCTTCCTCGCCCATCGCTTCCTTCGCCAAATTCATCACGTACACCATGCAGACCAGGTGGATCGCGAGCTGGCCCAGCAGACTGAAAAACAGCGCCGGGTGGAAGACCGAACGGAGGGGTCGAACCGGGTGCATGCGGTCGAGCGGTTTCGCGAAATTGAAAGCGATCGCCGCGACGGAAAGCAGAGTCCCCGACGCCATCATCTGCTGCTCGCTCGGCCGCGTGCCGTCCGCGGACATGACGGACAGGGAGTAGGCGGAAATCATGGAGTCCAGCATCATAATTTGCATTTGCTGCACCGCCGAGAGCAGCGTACACCGACCCTGGCGGATGATGTCCACCACTGCTTGGATGGAGGGGGTTCGGGAGGTGAACGGCGCCGCCATGGAGGCGTCGCCCAGTTTTACCGCCACCTGCTCGTCCGCCTGTTCCATGGCTTCGGTCCACTTGTCCATCCCGGACATGGCATTCACCGAGGTTTTCTGCATTTGCTGCTTTTCGTGCTCGATTTCTCTTTGCATCCGCGCCATCACGTCCTTCATCACTTGCATGTGTGCTTGCAGGCCGGTGTCCAGGCCGGCCTGCTTCCGTCGGTTCATTTCCTCCTCCACGTATTTCTGCTGGCGCCCGTACATACCCATTTGCTTACCTGGAATGCGAATGGCCCGGAATTTTACAGAGTAACACTTCACTTCGGATCTTCGGACCGACGACGTACATTTTTCTTGCTTCGGAAGAACAAAATTTGAGTGATCCTACCTGACCCGGAATTCACATATTTTTTGTGATCCCCAGCACGACCATCGACATTATCATTATCATTTCGCGAAGTAGCTTGGTATAATTTCGTCAGACGCAAATTACCCATGAAGAAGTGTCTCGCCCATGCCCACACACAAGGTGCGGTAGGCGCGGTAGTGACAAAATACTTCGTGTCATCATTCACAAGAAGATCAGAGGGACGTTCGAACAGCATTTCGAATAATTTCTGATCAGGTCAATTTTGGACAAACAGACAGCACTGTCAACTGAATACAGCGTAGCCGATCTAACGTATTTTTCGGTGGAGCACGCATTAAAAAAACCATCAACAAACAGAACATACGTTTGAAGTCCTCCTGCATCTTCGACCTCATCGTCGCGTTTTTTTTGTCTTCCTCGTCCCGAAGCCTCGCCAGCTCATCCTCTGCGGTTTTTCCTTGCAGTGCCAGCTGCTTCGCCTCTTCGTCTACTTCGTCTTCCTGTGACCCGAATAGATTACTGAAGAAGTCGTCTGGCGCCGCCTGCTTTTTCTTTTTCACATCGACGTTCGCATTTCCGAAACCGGACAGGAGCGCGACACCTACGTCGGCTTGTTTCAAGGCGCCGACGTCGTTGCCACCGTCACCGCACATCAACGTATGGTGCGGCACTTCCTTCTTAGCGCGGGCTGTGAAATATTGTGAATAGGAGTAGAAACGTCGAAAGATCAGGTAGCCAGGCATGGCATTATCAACACTTGCACAAGAACATGCCGCCGCCATAGAAGTCGCGCGCGTCCAGTTGCAACATGATCTTCGGCAACTCCAACATGTAACATTCGTATTCGACATGACTATCATATGTTGGTGTAGGCAAGAATATGCTCCAGCTGTAGCATGAAGAGCAGAAGACATTTACCTTCCCTCCCAGGTTCGTCGTAATGATGTCCGCCTATCGAGCGGATGATATCCTCTTTCTGCTGTGGACTCAACCGCGCGAAGACACAAACGTGGCGCAAGTTGTCCCACATGGCGTCTCCGTACTTCTCGATTGCGCTCTGGAGCGCCTTTCCGGTGAGTACCAAGTCGTGGTTTTTCGAGTGAAGCTCAGCCAGCTCTTCTGGGTCCGTGAACGCGATATCCTTTTGTGGTTTTGAAGAACTACTCGAGGAGCTACCTTCCTTTCCATCCTCTTGCTGCTCCTTGGTGGGATTCGAAATAGCCGGTTGCCACTTGGCTCCGTCCTCTGAAAGAATCAGGGCCTTAGAACCTGTCGTGTGAAACGGTAATAGTCTGATGTAACTTGTCCTCGGAATTGAAAAAGTCCGTCGCCTGAGTTAGCAGCTGAAATTCGAAATCCATTTTTCAGTTCACAATATACAAAATTCGGCACAGGTGAATAAGTGCAATTAGGCGGGATAGCCATGTTTATGCCTTGCAAGAGTTTTAGCAAACAGAAAAAATACTTGCATGCTTTGCAATCGCGACTTCCTTGGCTACTGAGTATGCGGTCAGGGCTGCGTCACCGGTCAACATGATGCAGGTGTGCGACGAGGCGCTGAGACTTTGGATCACCAGCTTGGAATCCCTCCGAGTTTCGCACTTGAAGCTACAGAATCCCGCAAAAATCAGATCTGCCTCAACTTGCTGTCGGGTTGTTTTCTCGAATTTCTTGGACTGGTTCGGATCTTGCGACAATCTCTTGTAACCCAACGCAAGCACACGGTGCCCCTGTTCGGCGAGATTGCGGTAGGCCGCGAGGTAGTTTTTCTCGAAAGCAGAACTACCGTCGTTTTTCCCGTTCAAACCATACAGCTTTTTATCCAGCAACTTGAGCATCATCTCCGGCGAGCCCTTCACAAACGCATAGATGCCACTACTGAGCATCTGTTTCCCCTGCGCCGATTTGGTATCCGCCGTCACCTTACACACGGTTGACATGCGCTGGAGACTGGACGCGAAGTGGTGACGCTGGACCACCTGAATGGCTGCGAGTTTCGACTTTTGCTTCTCCTGTTCGTAGGACTTTTCCAAGTCGTCGCAATCCTTCTTCAATTCTTTCTTCTTTGTTGGGTCCTGTTCCTTCTCCACCACCTCTTTTGCCTGCTTCAGTGCGCGCTCCTTCTGCAGGTACGTTCCCGGATGGGCAGTGGACGACTCGCTGCAGTAGCTCCATTCGATGCCCTTCAACGCTGCGATCTCGATCGGGTCCCCGCACATCTTGTTCTGGACTTCGATCAGGGCCGTGCAACCCCCGAGCACGAACGCGGCCGGTGCGTTCTCGTGGTCCTTCATCGCCTTCACGTGTTTCTTATACTCCGCCGGCGCGTCCAATGGGTGCGCGAGGATCTTGTCCGCGTCTGCTCCACTCGGCGCGTCCTTGCTGTTGGTTGGGATCACCAACCCCGTGCCCAACATGTGGTCGCTGGTCAAGGTTCCGGTTTTATCAAAGAAGCAGTACTCCGTTTTTCCCGCTTCCGGAACCCGGAAGGGCTCGGTGCAGAAGATCCCTTTCTTCATCAGGCTCATGAGCGCGGTGTGGACGGCAAAGGCCATTTGCATCGGCAATGACGCCGGGACGACTTGCGTGATGATCAGCACGCACCGGAGCAGGACTTTGTAGGTAGGGCGCTCCGGGTCTTCGAGGCCCTGTTATATTGGTGCGAGTCAAGACAATCATCTTCTGTTGAGATTGGTGTACTTTACAACTGGGCCCGGGTCGTGTGTTTGGATGGACTGCAGGTCATCTAACTGTCGTGTCACTATGAATGCAAAACTGCTCGCGAAGCAGAGCAAGACGTTCGTGAGGCTGCTCTTGAGCAAACACTGACTTGCACATGTTGACTTCACACATCATCATCTACAAAAAACATGCTTGTAATACCTTTTTCAGCACGTATGCGCTGGCGACGCAGGCGAAGCAGAACAGAAATAGCAACTGGAGCGCCGTTTCTTTCTTGTCGCCCGCGACGTTTTCCTGCGAGAATTCGATCATGCGCATGAGTTCGCCCTGGGAGGAGCTGAACCCCGTCCGGAGAACGTAGCAGACGATGCCGTGGTCTGGCGGGGCGTTGATGTCCGAATACATGTCGTGGGCGTCCTTCTTCACGACGTCGGCATTGCTGCTGTTTGTCGCTTGGATCAACGTCGTACCGGAATACAGTGTGTGCACCTTGTCCGCGCCGTGCATCTCGAACTGCTCCTGAATATCCTCCACCGTCGGCGGCAGTTCGTCCTTCATCTGCGGCACGGACTCGCCCGTCAGACTGGCTTCGTTCACCACGGCGGAGCCCTTGATGATAACGCAATCGCAGGGCACGGTGATCTCGGACGTGGTGTTCGTCCTGGCGGGTTGCTGCTGCTTTTTCTCGACCGCGAGTTCGGACGCGTCTTTCAGCTCTTGGCTCTGCTTCAGGTTCTGCTTCCGGTCCACGTCCTTCACGGACAAAAGGTTGGGCGTCAGGGACAACACGTCACCGGGGAGCAGCTCCGTAATGTTCACGCCGCCGACCCAGCGATTCCTTCGGTACACCCACACGTCGTAGGGCCTTGCGGACATACCGCGAAGCTGCGAGATGGACTTCAGACGCTGGAAGGCGGTGGAAGCCTCGAACCCGAGGATGGTCATCAGGGTGAACATGGTGTATTTCCAGTACGTGTCCATCGCCCAGAGAAAGGCCGCCATCAGCTGAAAACAGACGATCGGTGACTGCAGCTGTGCCTGGAACAGCTGCAGGAAGGTTGGGTACGGGAGCTCGAACACGTTGGACCCGTAGAGTTCCAAGTTTTTCTCGAGTTCCTCCTCCGTCTGCAGCCCGTGGGCAGCTTTGTAAAACTGCTTGTCGTGCCCCACGTCGTAGGACTGCACGAGCTTGCAAGCGAAGTCGCCGTCCCCGACCAGTTTACTGTTGTTTTCGTCATTGATGTTGTCTTCGTCAGCGGGGTCGTAAATTTCGTATTTGATGTGCTGGAATTCGAAGGTGTAGTTCGTGTTGGAATTCGGTTCCTGCACGTTCGCGAGCTCCGGTTTGCCCTTCTGCTTCAGCGGCAGAACGAGCAAAAATGCGTTTTCGTCGATCTGGTCGCTCGCCTCATAGAACAGCGCGGTTTTCACACGCAGAGACCATTTGCAGAGCAGGAAGACGAGAATGTTAAAGCCGAAAGTGAGAAAGATGAAGAGGCAGCAAAACGCATTGGGGAGATATTCTGACGGAAGCTCGTCCTCGTTAATTTTCAGCTCGTTCTTCTTCCCTTTCCTCCCTTGCGTATCTTCACCAACGATAATGCCTGTTGTGATGTGATGTGGATAAAAATATCGTGCTTATGTTACAACTTGTTTTTGAACTTGCTTCATCTTCTTTCACTTGGTCTACTTTTGACATTGGAATTACAGGCACACTTTCCGCATTTGCTGGTCTTTTGACATTGATCGTCTAGAAGTGTACCTTTGTCTTTGGCATCCTGTGCCTTCTTCCTCAAGATTCGTCTCTGCTCCGCCAGTGCCCATTCGCGTGGCTCCCCCAGTGTCATAAAAGACCATTGGATGCATACCGCGTATAGGGCCACGAATATGCCTACCAATATGAGCTTCTTTCGGTTGCATAGCCGATGGCAGGTCACCGACTGAATGTTCGGCGGATGCCGCAGCTGCATCTTTTTGCAATCAAATTTTCTTTAGTCAAAATACAGTGAGAAATATGAAATAGGCTCTATCCTATGCGACCGAAAAAGCCTAAATTGCCACTTGGAAACTTCATGCTTAGGCTAAGGTTATGCGCAAGCGCATGATACTAAAAAAAAATAAAACTTTACTCGTGAAGGTTTCTCTAATTTCTGAGAAAATCGCGTTGGGAAAATCAAAGTGAAACACATTGATTTCTGCCCGATCGTCAAAAAAAAACGAGACGGCTTAAAGATTTTTTTTGAGCGAGATGCTACATGCTGCAATTACACCATTTACTGGGGTTCATCAGGCTCGTGCTCGTCAATGGATCCTTTTTAGATTTCATGAATTTGATCACAAACGTGGAAAACAAAAATCAAAAGCGGATATCGCCTTCAGAACGGGCGTACGCGGAAAAAAATGATGTCAAAAATTCTGTTCCATTTGATGACGCTCGTACTAAAACATCACCCTGTCGGCGGGTTGTTTGTAGAACACACCGTGTGCGAAGTCATGCTCACGGAGATTGATTCCTTCCCAAGACAATGCTGAGCAATCCAGTTTGTAGCTTGGGACAAAGTCCCGCTCTTTCACGAAGATCAAGGAATGAGAGTGAGTCTGAATAAAATTTGAGCAATGTCATCCAGGCGCTCTGCTCCAAACTCCGAAGCTTGAAAGCAATGATATAAAAGTCAAAAATTTGAAAAAGAACTGGCTGCCGACAAATGAATTTCTGATAAGAATGGATCTGCTGTATCATCTGTGTAGGTGTGCTATGAAGGTCGCGCCCGGAGGGCGATATTGGTAACCAAATGCGTGCGCGAAAATCTAACCAGCGCGAAAGCCTAACCAGCCGCGGACAACTACTGTCGCCCACGGCGGCCCGCAGGCTCCTGCGATAAGCATTGAAAGCGAAATCCGGTCTGCTATTTCGCAGCGGGACATCCTTTGTAGCCCCCTGCGTGACAAACTGGCCACCTGGCTCGCAGCGGGGCATCCTTTCTAGCACCCTGCATGACAAACTGGCCACCTGGCCAGGAAGGTATGTGGAAAACCGCAAACCCGCGAACCCTGCTGGGCCACCAAAATCGGCCATTTCAGACCCGGGGAAGATGCCGAATTTCTGC